AAATCAGTTCAATCATCCTCAGATCACGTCAACTTGTTTGTGTCCAAGTTGGTTGGCTGGTAATAAGCAGGATTAATCACTACATGCAGGGTTTCTGTCCCACTGTCTGGTCTTATTGCTCTGGCTCTGAGGTTTAAAAAAAACATGAAAGGGGACAATGAACCTAAAGCCCCAGAACTGGGTTGCACCAGCTGTAAATTAAACCTGGTTTGAAGGTAATTTATGTTTTAGGATGGTGTTTATGTGCTACTTGCACCAGCAGAGATAGTTTTAACATAAGCATAAGATACAACTTTAACCTTACACCTAGCTCTGAGCAGGTGTTACGTCCTCCTTGAATACCACTTGTGTTAGCGCATTATTTAAAAGATGGGATGACTTGGAAGAGGATGAGGAGTAGAGTTTCACTTACTGTTTTCTACAGGCAGTACATTTCTCTGAATGGTTGCTGGAAGAGTAACCATCTTTTCTGCATCAATATTTAGTTTAGATTGGACGTTACAGTTTACTAGTTAAGATGAACCTTATGCTTTCATGGTGCAACCAGGCTTAGATTACAACTTAACTGGTTTTCATGTATAGATAAGTGTGGACTTAAGCATAGCTGGTGCAACAGGTCCCAGGATATTAATGTCATGAGCACCAGTATTCAGGCTAATTTGTTGTCCTTTCTTTGTCACCTACCTGCCAAGCTATTATTGTAATTCAGAGAATCAATAACTGGCTTGCTGAGTATTTGAATATCAAGTGAGTCAACATCTGAAGTTATGGCAGTTTAAAAAAGAAATGCATAACAAAGAGGAAAGTGTAAGGTAAGGGACTACATCTTGCTGGTAATGATTTTTAAAAAATATACGAACACAAGAACAAATTTATTTGATTTAATTAATTAATTTATTTATTTATTGGGGGGGTTGACTGTATTTTTAGGTTGATGCATGTCCACTACTTCTATTTCTTGAATAAATAATAAGGGAAGAGTGACAAATGTTACACACCAGTTTTGCTTTGTTTAGTACTTCAACTGGGAAAAAAAATTGCAGAAAGTCTTTTAATAGAGCAGTGAAATCAAATTTATGTTGAGTCAAGATCAGTCATATTTGAAGAGTTTAAGTTTGAAAATGGAGACAAAAAAAATGTTGTTTTGGAACATAGACTGTATTAAACATAACTACTGCTGACATCACACATAGGTTTCTGAAGCAGAGTTTGAGCCATGGTGGTTGCTGTTTTACAAATGCCTTCTCACACTAACAAACAGAACAAGGGGCAAAAAATTGAGGAAGGTAAAATGTATAACCTTGATATCTTCAACACAATGACATGAAAGACACTCTCTCTACAGTTCGTGTGGGAGGAGAAATTGGTTATTGAAACATTTTTTTGTTTGTTCTACAGATCTAGACTCTTTTCTGTACAGTGAATTTGACATCTGGTGCTTTTGCAGCCACTGAGCAAAGGAACTGCAGGTTTTAACACTTCTGCATTGGCTTCATAATACTTAGTTTGGAAAAGCAAAAAGAAATTATGCTTAACAGAACATTATTGCATACTCCTCATCTCTACCAGAACCTCTGACCCCAACATTAAACTGTCAAATTCAATGTTAGAGTCACCATCAGCCTCTGTAAAGGCATTATAAAGCCCAACAATGGCAGTCTCTATTGACTAGGGAAAGTCAGAAATTAAACCAAAACTTTTCTGACTCAGTTGAGCTTTAGGTCCGTCTCTTAGCAGTGAGCGGAGGCCAGTTTAAGCTGGTTTGATGTGTTTATGTGTTATGCTTTGAAGTTTGCCATATTGTTTTTAATGATTTTTATGTCTTTTGGATCTTCAGTTTTTTGTTTTTTTTTTAATTCAACTCATAAACTGAACTAAACTAACTCTAAAGTTTGGAGCCAAACAATCACAACATCATGCTCACCTGTCTATAAAGTCATTATCTAAATGAATGCATAACTCCTCCCTTTGATTTAAGCTAAGCAGGTGCATTATCTTTGAAAAAAAAAAAAAACTTTTTTTCATGGAAAAAAGAGCTACAGGTCACCAAACAGTTTTAAACATGCTATAAAATATGTTTATTACAGGTGTAAAATGTGCACAAACTGTGTTCTGGTTTCACAATAGGAATAAGAGTAGGAAAAAATGTAATAAGATATACTAAAAGTAAAATAAAGTAAAATATAATAAGTGTTAAACATGGCTGATATGCAAATGTGTGATTTTATTCAGAACATGTTATACAGTATGTGGCATGTTGAAGTGACATAATTATGGCATAAAGTGATACGGTATAATATGATAAATAGCAACAAGTTAATATCAGTGAAATATGAAATGTGAAAATGGAAAATAATTTGAGGATCAATGGGTCATGATAGATAATTGGCAATGAGGGGTGCAAAATCAGCATTTGAACAGAGCATAGGATAGGGTATAATAGAAAATGCACAATATGGAAGTAAGGGTATGAATGTAGCAGTATCAAGTGCAGTATGATGGTGCTATGTGTTAAATGTACAGCCCACTGCAGGGGAAAAGGGGTTTAAGAATGTGTATGGTTGTTCTTTTGTGTGTACGTGTGGAAAGAGAGCAATGGGAGCTTGTGCATTTTATAATAATAGCATTAGAAGTTTTTGTAAAACTAGTCATTCATCACCTCATTAATGTTGATAATATAATGTACATATTACCTAAGATAATGGGCATCATATTTGAGACATGCAGCTCCATGCTGCTCTTTGTCTCAGTCCCCTGTTCTGCTCCAGAGGCAGCAGCCTCACCTCAGGCCTGCTGACAGCCAACAGCCTGACTCTGTGCTGCTGCAGAGCTCAGCACAGCTGTCTGTTGTCCGTTTCCTCTTATCTTCATCTCTCCCTGCTTTGTGCCCACTCAGCATGACAATGATATACACCTCTGCCTCGTCATCTCTTTCAAACTCCTGACACAACTCAGACGATGACAGCCAAACGTACAGAATATTTCTACATCCTCTGCAGCTCATATTTGGTGCTACATGAGAAGGACGGAGTCAGGCATTATTGTGACAAACGGTGATATTTGTACAGCCCCAGAGGTGGTTTGAACCCACAATCTTTAAGTTTAACCTTGTTAACAAGACTTAAATCATGTTCAGTCTTCATCTAGCAGGGCTTGAGCAGCATTAGTAAACGGTCAGAGCTCCCTCTATGGGGCAGTCTCTTTTAAGGGACATGCTCAGATTACTTGTGTCAGCATTTCAGCTGAACAGAGGCACCGTGTTGACACACAGCAGATGAATATTAAACCTTGAGAAACAAAGATGTGCTGGAAGCAAAAGCCTGCATAAATATTTTTCATATGCACACACACACACTCACCCACACACAATCTTGAGCATCCCTCCCAGCAGGCACAATCACACTCAGGCAGATAATTCAGTGTCACAGGGAGCCTTGTCTCTGACCCTCTGGCCCCCTCCAGACAGGGAAGCAGCTGGACAGGGACCCACGGCTGCCTGGAACTCACTTCCCCTGGGGAGCTGGAAGGAGAAGAGTCCCTCTCTGCCTCGGAGAATGACCAGCTGAGCTTCCTCGGCTCAGTCTGTGGATGTACTGTTTAAAGTCTGAGTCCAGGAAGGTTTGAGCAGAAGAAGCCTTGGAAATGAGCAGGCAGCAGACTGGGGTTGTTTGCAGAAGTTAGCAGGCTGATTAAATGTACAATTTCAGGGTTTGCCTAGTTTTCCCTTCTGGTAAGATTTCTGTGAAGTTGCTGCTTTGAAAAAGTCACTCAATCTGCTTCAGGCTCTGTTGTGACAAACAGTTTTTCTGAGTAAATTCTGCCTGTTTAGAGATTTGAAATGTTTTAGTGTAGAAAGTTATTGAGCTTTAGTTTTATAATTTTGAATTACACTTTTGGACACAAACCAAAAATGTGTCTTATTTCACATGACTTGTCCTTCACTCAAGCAGACCAAATAAATCCTGCAGAAACCTGTTTGACTCTATTCAGATGAGAGCAACAGTTCTTGACTGATGCACTTTAAGTGTAGGCTTATCTTATTGTTGGTGCACATTATTTTTAAGTGATGTTTGATATTTTACATTAATCTTTTGTTGTGTAGTTACATGTCTTTGTGTTTCACTTGTCAGATTTTTTTACATTGTGTCTCTTAATTGTTGTGAAATGTTAGATGCTTAAAGTGCAAAAACAATATAAAATATTATAATTATAGTCACTACAGCAAGCTGACAATATAGCTTTAAGAAGTATAATACAGTTGAGCTTATGCGAGACTTAAGTTTGTTTACACACGAACTCATACACACACACACACACTCACTCACAATGTATTCAGCGGTGAGCGAGGCTCTGACTAAGTGCTTATTAATATTGCATGGTTAAATGGGAAATGTTAACATTTTTTCAATTGCCTTGGCAGCTTAATGAAAAATTAAAGAATCAGAGAGCTTTTGTTTTACCGTATAACTAAGAAAGGATCAACATGAAATTAATAAGACCTTTTTAAAGGGAATGAGATGTTTTTACTGAGGTCACTTTGTTTATTTACATAGGAGTTTAAAGCAGGTGAACAAACATGCCACAAATAAGTGGTTTGGTTGTAACAGAGCTGAATAACTCCATCTGAGCTCATTTGAATAGTTTCATTTACTGTTGGGTATGATTTTATCTTCATCTGGTTGATTTGTAGCTTCATCAATTGTGTGTTTTATCTGTAAATGAAGAAGATCTCAGATGTAAACCTTGTGCCTCCCATCTCTGCCTCTGCCCACTCTCTCCCATTAGCAGCTCCACTGAGACACAGCTTTTCTTCGCTGCTCACGCAATGCTGCTCCTACAGCACGGCTGCAGCCAACACACTGCAAGACCCAGATGATGACGTCTAGTCCATTATAAGACTGAGGAACTTAATGTGGAGGGAGCAGTTTGCGTTTTTGCGGAGAACATGTCTTCAAAATACGAGGTTATATCATCATAAAAAAACACTTTGATAGAGAATATTTGGATAAATATCAGCTTTATTGAAAAAAGTTTCATACAGTAAAAAACAAAATGAGTCAATCAGAGTCTGAGTCACTCTGAGCTTTAATGATCTGTCTGCTGGGACTCTCACTGAGGGTCCCAAAGCTGTGCGGTGGCCAGAGCTGTGCAGGACACAAAAAGTGGAGAGTTAGAAAGAGATTAGACTTGAATAATAAAGACAATAAAAGCAGAGTGTGCGTTGTTTAATCACACTAATCGCACACATTTGCTAATGTGTGGTTTAAGGATGTGTCTGCTGATCTTGTTATTTCATCAGCTGTGGTAGTAGGGCCTCCAGTGGAGTGCCGCTGTCCAATCAGATGGACAGAAGGTTGCCTGACCTGTTTTCCAGGGTCGTGGTTGCTATGACATCCAGTGACATGACAACACAGCAGAATGGAAAGCTAGACAATATGTTGTCCCGGCTTTGGTCAATCAGACACACTTGCTTTGAACTTCTAACTGACTCACGTCGCTGGATTAGGCGTCAAGTGGCCAGAAGGAACTAATCAAAAACCCAATCAGGGAAAAGTATCATTGATTGATTGACAAGGAGGTTTACATCTCACACTATAACAGTCAATTCATGAGGGGTTTCTTGAAACTAGATCCTGATTTTGCCATTAAGACATTTCTTATACATGAGCAGATACAGTGCACCTCCTCTCTTACCTTTAAGCAAACCCGCCCTCGGATGAGGGCATAGGGAACTGGGCCATAGCTCCTTGAGTCAGTGGAATTCCTGAGGTTATCTCCTTCTAGCCATACGTGGCCTTTTGGAACCTAAAAACATCAGCACACGCAGAGAAAGAGGGCGGGAATGATTACAAAACAGCTGTTTACACCACAGAGAGAGAAAACCTCTGATTCTTCACTTAAACATGTTAAAGTGAGTTCACCTACTATGAAGTCTACCTAAACTCCACCCCCCAACCCCCCATGAGTGGCCTAAGCAAGTCCCCCCTCCTCAGCCTATCTTAACGTCAACCTGCCTGTCCCTCTTTAACCCCGAACCGTCTTAGGAGAGGGGTCATGGGTAACGGGCAGGGTCGGGAGGGATTTAGAAGGACTTCAAACGGGGTCATTAGGCTGTTGGCTGAGATCTGCGCCCCTCTTACCCAGGGAGGGCAAAGCGAAAGAGAGGGGCCTGAGATAGCTGGGCAGAAAGAGAGAGGGAGAGAGGGCTTAGCTGCGGCTAGCAGCAGTGTCCAAGGGTCTCCACCGCGGTCCGACCTGCCAGTGGGGCGGTCATCCAAGCGGGCTCTAATTCACAGTGACACCAATTATGATTAATCTCATCACTTTAGGAGAGTAGGCTTGTCAAGGCCCTAATTAAGTGCGCTGTCCCCCCTATATGTGCAGACAGGATCAACAACACATTATATTGTCATAATGGGCATCACAATCCACGAGTCTATTTTTGTGTTGCCTAACTTTTTAACGGCAAAAGTCCTCTGGAGGAAAGAGCAGAACGGGAATAAAGAAGCAGTATCTTGACGTCACGTCTTCGCCTCTGCTCTTATTCCTTATTCCCGTCACCCCGCTCTCTGATTGGACCCTTCAGTCCTACTGTGAGATGCTGGGTTTTGTTTCATATTGGATAATTGAGACAGATGATGTGACATAATCACGAGCCAGTGACATGTTGACCTAACACGAGGTAAACAACTCTGTGAATAACGACGGCACAAATGAATATCATTAAAGGAGTCATCTGAGAACCATATGTCAGCATGCTGGATTCCCACCATTACACCTCATTAACATGGTAACATATGCTGGCTCCCAAGCACAAGAAGAAGAAACACCACCGTTTGTCATCTGCCAGACCAGAACCCACTGTTTTTCCTCATGTACTGTTAAGAAAACATCCCTCCTCCTCCTGCTCATCCTCAAGACACAAAGGTCTGACTAAAACACTTCAAATGTCCAGAGTTTACTGAAACCACTGTGCTGATGCAGTTTCTTCGAGAAAAACCTATTTTTACAACCAAACTATATATTATTTCTTATCAATCTAATCCCCAAGAGCTGCAGAAAGCACCTTTTTATGAAAGGACAACCTCAGAGCCAAACGTGGGTTAAAAAGAGAAGAGTAATTCAAAGGATCAACCAGGAAGACTTAGAGAGAAGTGAGAAAGTGAAGAGCTCTGAAACCTGACCTGCTGTGTGATGGCCAGAGAGAGGACAAAGCTCATGCATATCAGTTTGCAAGTCTCAGGCAGGTGTGTGAACAAGGAAAATAACCGAGTGTACAGAAAAGCTTTGGATTCAAAACAATTTGATGCAAAGTAGAAGTGTAATCAGACGATGCATCCTCTGTGACTCTGCTTTCAAAGTATAACTGCCGCTTTCAAGGGATATTCCAGTATTTTTAAAGTGAAGTTGTATGAGTTACATGCAACTGGTCAGTGTACTAGGCACACTTGATGTCAGTCAGCTCCAACTCTTAAATGAGTAACTTCCACTCAGTGAAGCTAGGCTATAGTTTTTAATTTAGCAAATTTTGATAAACTCCTACTCGAACACTTATCTCACTTTATGTATTCGCTCTGCACAGAATTTTTCAGCTCTTCACTTTGCCATCAGAAAGCCCCTTTTGTTTTTGCATTATTTGCAGACACAACATAGACACATGCAGTCGGATCAGCCAATCGTGTTTATGAACAAATCACTGAGTTCGGTTGAATTTTTGACCCAACAGCTGATCAGGGTGCTGCAGGCAGAGGAGCACATCTTTGACTACTGCATCCACAAATAGTGCCAAATTGAATTTGCTTCCTAATGTTAAAGTAAAGTGCTTAAATATTTCTGGATAGAGTGTGCACTTAAACTGAGAAAAGAGTTTAGGCCAGAATCTCTCAGAATTAGCTACATTGCATGACAGAGGCGGCCCTGTTTGCAGAAAACTGTGGCCCAGCTAGCATCTTTTTTCAACCAGCTGTTTCTTGGTGAAGAAGGCGAGCTGACTGGCATCCCTGGTGGCCAGTACACTTGGCAGAGACATGCCACTCATACAACAAAACTCCACACATACTAAAATATCCCTTTAAGCTCCTCTAAAAAGTGTAAAAGTGGACTTGATTTCGTTGTATGCACATAAGTGGTCCTCTGTAGCGTGGAGAGTGCAGGAGTCTTAGCTATTTTAGCACACACGGATGATATCAAGCTGTGACTGTGACACTGGAGCAGGTAAAACTGTCACCAGCAGATGATGTTTCCAACCACACAGACTTCCAGAGGTCCATGCAGGCCTAACATAGAGATGTAGTATTTCAATGCAGAGTCACTTTGATGGATGGCAGAGATTGCACCCGTCCTGAGCTGGTAGGCTGCGTAGATGAGAGGCATTGTGTACCTGTCAGAGACGTGTCGAGGAGCGCTGAAACTGGAGCTCTCCTCGCCGTGGAGGTGTGCTGTTTAACAGCCGCACTATTACAGTGCTCATTATGTTAACATGATTGAGGTGGTGAATTATGTTCAGCTTTAAATACATACAGCACTGCTCACCTTCCTCTATATTACTCTGTGTTTACCACAAAGAAAAGAACCTATGGGGGAATTTCATCTCTGTCTGTCTGTCTGTCTGTCTGTCACCCTCTCTGGCTCTCTTTGTGGTAATATTAGGGATCAAGTGTCATTGTTTTGACACAATAGCTCAGACACAGAAATGATTCCTAAAAGGTGACAGGGCAATTAGTCTGCCGTTGAAGCTCTGAGGGAGGAGAGGACCTGCCTGTCTGTCACAGCAAAAAACAGGAGGTGATGACAGGGTCTAACACCGCCTTCAAAAATTTGTCCTTACAGGTCCACCCATAATGCCTCACACCGTCCTAACAGTCACACACAAACACATACACAGCCTCTGGGGAAACTTCACTCCCTGAGAGAGGCCAGACAGTTAAATGAACAGCAGGAATTTTCTCACTTATTCAGCGATTTTACTCCTGGGATTTTAAATATCACCATGGGAAAGCTTGGTTTCATGAAAGTTAATAAGCTTTTACCTACTGTGGTTGTGAATCTGGTGACAGTTATACTTCAAAAGAGCAAAGTTGTATAGATACACTCATGTAGAAACGCATACATTTTCAAGAAGACAACAAAACACACACTCACTTATGGCTGGAAAAATCCCACAATATATCAGAAGTGAACGAACCACCATTACTGCGGTGGTATCACCCTGTGATATCTGCATTTCAGTGGAAGCTGTCCAAAGAAGCAAGCAGTTTTTTTTTTTTTTTACAGATACTCTAACTTTGTATAGTACTTGACTTTTTACAAAGATCCAGATGACAACTTTGCCTAAAACTCAAGCTTGTGTCCACTCTTGTATGAGAGTGAACACAGATTCACTGACCAAACACAGCTGAAAATTAACAGTTCATATCCCATTGTGCATTTCAGTGAGATTGAAGATTTGCAGCTTCATTGTAGAGACAACCAGAAAAACAACGAATGTATACAAGCTTCCGACTAAGACCTTTATATGTCAAAACATCCAGCCACATCCTGCTCCGAACATGAACCCTGAGCTCAATTTGCTTTGATACTGGCTTCAATTTAAGATTCAAGATTTACCATTTCCAGGTCAAGGTACCTTCATCAGCCACTGTGTGCTATCTTATAAAGCCTCTATCTGTGCAGATGTCACAGTCAGCAGGCAGTAGCAGACAACAAGATGCCACCAAAGAAATGAATAAAGCCCAAAAGTGGGAAAATTTGTGATCTTAGAATTTTTTATTTTTCATTCTCATACCAGCAGAACAAGTCCATTGCCTGTCAACCACCACAAACAAATTGGAAAATGTGTTGTAAAAATGATGAAAGTGTGTACTGAGTTCATGTGGGGATTATAGTTCCCTATCTCTGATTCATTGTACTATTATGTTTGAAAATGAATCTCAATGTCTTCGTAAACATACAGGAACAAAATATGCTCAATAAGGATGCTAGCTGGTCTTAAGGTTAAACTTAACGCTCCCCAAGTACAAAGGCTGGTCCTCACCGCAGGTGACCCAGTTTGACTTTCTGCCCTATCCACTGTCCTGACCTCTCTGAATTAATACCAAAATACCAAAAGTTAACTATAAACAAAGTGGGCTATTCAAATATTGTTGGGTTAATCAAATATATTACATCGTTTCAACTAAGTAAAGTGTCATAAAGCAGCATATATGAAAAACACAGAGAAGTACTTAAAAACATTTGGTTCTACTAAAAATAAATAAGAGCTAGAGTGACTGCCCAGAAATGAACATCTTAATATGTTGTATTGAAAAGCGTTGTTTGCTTAATTATTCCAAAATACATAAAATACCTCCTTTGAAATATTCAGATTTGCTTAAAAGACTTTTCGAAAAAGACTTTTGCAGCTTTTGCAAGTTGCATCATTTTGCAAAACAAGAAAAAAGACTTCTCCTGTACTTCTGGGTGGTTCTGGTTTCTTCATGGTGAAAGACACATAATGCATATTTTGTGTTTCATCCCCAGTGTTAAAATGTATTTTTGTGAGTTATTTTTTTAGTTTTTCAGACACAATTGTACAACAAGTGTACCTGTTATTTGGTGTGTTTAACAGTTTAATTCACACATTTTCGCGGATTTTATAGTCAGGCTTTTGTGCTTTACAAAACTTTGTAACTTGAGTTTTGATGACAGCATTATCATTAAACTTCATTCTGACTTACAAATCGTTCAAAACTGATCATCAATTGGTTGGTTTGGAAGGCTGTAAAATATTGAGTGGATGAAAGTGAAGGGAAATACAAAAGGAATTTGAAGTCAGTGAACTGAATGGACGAGCCAAACTGTGCGAAGAGTTGCAGGTTTATACTGCCTTAAGCTGAACATCAGTCAGTTCGTACCGGGATCAAATCTCACAACAGAGTGATGTCACCATCGCAGCTTCAGTCCTGTGCATGTGTAGGTGAAGCCGGCAGAGGAGGAAAGCTCTTTATTTCCCATTTGATTTGTTGAATGACACTTAGAGGCTCGACCTTATGTTATGTATCCCTGAACTCATTCGACAGTCTGCCCACAGTCTGTAGAATACACAATAAATTTAAAAACATGCAACTTAAACGCAACCTTTGCTTCGCAGACATATGCACACACATACATACACACTCAGAGACACACACACACACACACACACGCACACCTCCGCCCACCCATCAGTGTGTCCACTCGGCTGGCACTAACTCTAACAGGCTTCAGAGAGATTGCAGGCCTGGGCTGTGGGCGTTGGGGAGAGTAGTAATAGAAAAGCAATGACAGTGGTTTCAGCAGCAGAACCCCTGCTCACTCTCTGGTTTTATCACTGTTCTGAGGAAATATAGGTGTTGTCAAAAGCTGATATTTTGACCAATGACACAAAATGGAAGTGTGCGGTCTAAAATGTAAACAACTGTAATGGTGTATAGACGGAAGCGCACACACACAAAGAAAAACAAAAACTCAGGGCCAGTTTAGCATTATGCACAGAGATTCCCTCAAACTATCGAGTGTTTTGGGGGTAAAAGCTTTCTGTATTTATTCTTTCTTCACCTGCAACTTTTCCACTTTTTTCATCCTAAAGGGTTCATGATTTCTGATCATATGTAAGAAAAAAAGGGCCAGTGAAATTTTCGTAAAGCACGTAATCCCATGATGTGTTAGAGAAATAGTGTGCAGGGAACATACTCACATATGTGTGGCTCTTGAAAAGATCTGATGGGGCACTTGTGCAGATCTTGTCACCTTCCAGTCCAATCACCCTTTTACAAATGTTCATGTTTGGGTCAAATGGACTCTTGGCAATAACTATATCACCCCTGTGGAGAAGATTAAAGACATTTATATATTTGTAAGCTGAAAGTAAAAAGATATCACATTTACTTATGGTGTTTCTCTTCAGAAACCATTCCACATGCAACTTTTTATTTAATCATTTATTGTTAAATAAAGAGAAGGCAAGCAGATGACCATCTATCTTTATCTAAGAGAATGAAAGAATGTAATTGTAATGTTTGTTTTGCTTTTATTTGTTTGTATATGAATCCAATGTCCAGAACCTACTTTTCTATTTTGCAAAGATGGCGACTCATACGCTCAGAGAAAACGATATCATGGTTGACGATGGTGGGTTCCATCGATGGACCAGAACACTGTAACAAAACAGAAACAATGTGAAGTTAAAGACCACTTTTTTGAAAGATAAAAAATGATCATCCCTCTTTAAAAATAATAATATAAAAATACAAACCACAACAACTTCTCCAATGTATTCAAAGGCACAGTGTGCAATGCAGCCATACTGGACAGTGTAGCCCACAAACCCCAGAGTCTTCCCCAGCACACGGCGGAACATCTCCACCTGCAACAGTAATACACAAATACACTGCAGGTTATGGTATAATGTCAGAATGCATAGTTATGTCATGCCTCCTTCACAGTCTGATCCATTTATGGTAGGCTTAAGTCCCTCAGAGGGCTCCTAAAACAAAAGCTGTGCAGGGTTTAATTTCTAAAAGTGAGGACAAGGTTGTCACAGTTGGCCTACTGCTAAGATGTCACTTTCTCTGGTGTTTCATTCTCAGGGGCCGAGCGGCCAGTTCACAGCTGAAAACTGCCCTGACCTTTAACCCTTTGTAGGATGTACCAATCAACACCTTGCGTTTAGGTGATGGACAAACACAGAAACTGTGACATATCCAGCCAAGCAGCTCTGCACCTACTGAAGCCAGCCTCTGACAGTGTGCTGCCTCCACCGCCACCGCAGTCATTAGAGCTGTTATCAACTTCTGTCAGCACCATGGAAACACAAAGACACCCCATACACCCTTCTCACACCCACCCACCTGCCCTGTGAACACTCAGCCACACAAACACACACACGGACTATCTGTGTGTCTTCAGAGCAAACAACCAAGCCACACTCAGGTTATTGACTTTTACTCAAGCTGCAACCTGTTGGATAGACAGAAGAAAGTGAGTCAATCTTTACAGAGTGTCATGCACTGTGCGAGCACGTGCACACCTGCACTCAAACATGTTTACACAAACAGATACAAACTGTAGCTTCAGAGAAGTAGAGATAAAGTTGTTTTGTTAACCATGCCTCTCCTACTCCACACATTTACTTGGTTGACAAGAAATCAGTTCCTATTCACTGGCCTAAACAGTGGCCTGTTGAACACACTGTTATTATATAATGACTACAATGACAACAAAGTGACAGGAAAGTCTAACCCAACCTTAAAAAAAATACCCACCATTATACCGTGTATTATGATAATTAACAGAAAAGCCTCCCTAAATGACAGCATATCTGATAGTTCTGATCTGATAGTTACAGATCAGTGTTTCATGCGTATTCTGTCATGGTGTATAGAAAAATAGTGTTTCATTGCCTCTGACACATGTTGAAATGTCAGAGAAACATGGTATGTTCTGAAATCTATCACATAACTCAATGCATTTCTATATTTTACAAGTTAATACAAAATCCATCTGTTATTGGCTTTCTAGCAGTAAGTCTCTCATATAATTGGTATGCTTATTCATGGTGGATCCCTCTAAAGTCTATGGAAATTATTGTTGAAGATGTGCGCTTTTAATTGCAACCCCTGTCCCTGGTTAGGCTTCCATAATAAGAATAAGAATAACTGTATTAATCCCCGAAGGGAAATTCAATGATGGGAGAAATGAAAGAGTATTGAGTATAATATACTATAAATATTAAAAATAAACAATGAGATCAGTTTGCAATAAAATGAAGGACTTCAACAAAGATAAAGACCAGAGCACACAGAGACAAGAAAACAGAAAGAAAATGATCACATTTTTAAGCTCACAAAGGTTTGCACGTAGTGTGTATGTTTGTGATCTTTGAATTTAAACTGTGCACTAAAAAGTGTTCACAGTCATTTCTTTTTTCTTACTTCAGGTGACCATAAGGCTGGGCGATATGGCCTCAAATCAATATCACGATATATTGAGCAGTACACCTCAATGACGATAAATGGACGATAACTACCCTACAAGCTGCTCACCCCCTCACACATTAACTATGTCTACTTCAGCCGTGCTCCAGCCGCTCCAACTTTTGAACTGTCCTCCATCTCCTCACCTGTCTTTCCCTCTTTGTTACCGACTGGATGGGGTGGGGTCACGTCTCTGATGTAGGACAGCATCTTAAAGGGACATGAGACCATAGCCTACCTACACGCATCCAAAACCAACTTTTATTTATTGAATTTTTTGATATCAAATATATCGACATGGACAAAATGATGTCAGTTATTGTCGTAAATTTCGGTAACGGTAAATTTTTCGTTTATCGTCCAGTCCTAGGTGACCATACAAGTCTGGCAGAAGGTCAAAGTTCAAAGCTGAAGTAATTGACCACATACCTGACCTTATGTTTTTGACACAGAGACAGTCTCAAATTAAAGTTCTGTTAACCTGCAGAGTCTGTAATCTTGTGTTATTTGTTTTACTGAACTTGTGCTCAGATTCAACTGCTTACTGAGCGTCTTCTTGATTTTATGAGCACAATTCTACCAATTGGACTGAGATTGTTAGACTAAATCTATGCTAAAATTGGGAACAGAATAAGAAATGGAAATAATGTGATCATATCCACACAAAGCTTGGCGAAGAGGTCAGGCTGCACTTGAGACATTTTTATCTCAGCCCACTGTCCTGCCAGTCCACCACAGGGTAAAGAAATCTCTTTCTCAGTCCCCCCTGGTTCCTTCTGTCTTTTCCCCTCTTTCTCTCTCCATGTCTTCTCTCCCTCCCAGGGTATTATTAACCAAAGCAAGCAGAGCGGAAACCAAAGCCCCAAATCCTCAGAGCTCTGGGAATGACTTCCCAAAGATGGACACGGATTAGACCCCCAATTTCTCCCTTTGCCCCACCACCACCCCCACCACTGCCCCCCCTCATCTCCCCAGGTCCCCAACAGACCGGGTGTCAGGTGGCTCTCCCAGTCCTGCCAAAGGTGTTACCCCTAATCCCATTACCCCCCTCCACTCTTCTCACAAACACACATGCACACAATGCTCTCTCTCCTTCATGCCAACTATATTCCACCTACTAACCCCTCTATGTCTTCTTTCATCCCTTCCCCGGCTTGTGTCTTTGGCCCATTCGCCACCATCTCTGATCCAAAAGAGACCAACTCTATCCTTTTACCTCCTGTGTGCTGCTACCTCGATCTTCCCTCTGTTTCCTGATCACCCCTGGCAACCCTCTGCTTTCCGCCACCACTGTGAAAGACGGTGCGCAAGCAGGTGAAAGGGACATACATATGAGCTCAGCACAGGGCCCAAATGAGGTGCCCCCCTCCAATCACAGCCTGCTCTGTGTCTCCATAAACTCAGTCCTCCTACAGCTGCTACAATAACACCTCTGGCCCTCTAATTCCTCTGTTGGGAAGCAAGGAGTCTAAAGGTTAATGTGAATCTCAGGTCTGTGCTAAGGCGGCATGTTCAGCTCCTCCACCAGCATCTCTGCCTTTGCTGTACTGTAATGCACTCTCAGACGTGAGCTCACATCTTCTCGTCCTTCTGTCAGGCTGGGAGGGGGGGATCAGGAGTCTTTGCAAGCACTCATTCTCTGAGCACAGTGGACAGCCTCTCTTACAGCTGCCCTCATATCTCTGTCTCAGCCTCCCTCCTCCTCCATTCCAGCGTGCATTCATCATAGGTAGGGATTAAGGGACTTTGCATAACAAGATCACACAGCCAGTGACTGATATCAAGAGAGTCCATATGCAGCCGCCTGGTTTTCTGAGGCACCCTCTGTCATTGATAGTGTGTGTGCACATGTGGTGTGAATGTGCACACACAATAGCATTACCTATGTGTTTCATACAGAGTGTATACATAAGCTGCAGTGACTCCTCTGGGATTCAGAATGAGGTGGACATCCCCAAAGACCTCTGATTGTATCTCTATTACCTCCAATTCCCCTGAGCAAAGAGTCAGGCAACACATTTTCTCTGGCCTCTAATACTAAGTGCATGTGTGTGCATGTGTGTGTTTGTGTGTGTATCAGCATTAATTGAATGCTGTATTACAGCTGTAAATTAACACAAAGTCTCTCTGTTAATCCAGGATTACACGCCAAACATGTCCATGGGAAAACAAAGAAAGTCAGCGCAGCCCTCTCTGCAGAACCATCTGTGGTCACCGGCCTCCTGCCGTCACAGCGCAGCGCTACAGTGAGGAAAAGAGGGGGATCACAAATGAATAGCTGCCGGTGGAAACTCAGCTTTGTGTGTTTAACTCTGTGATCCTCTTACTGGGAGAGAGTCGCTCACTCAGGGCAGAGCCATCACAAGTAGATGAAAGAAAATAAATCTGTTTTTTTTTTTTCTTTGGTAGTGCAAACCATGAGAATAAAATGCAGCAGTAGCACTGATGTGTATCATTGTGTTTCCTCAGCTGAAAAAGGATCTTCACTGTGCAACACCTTTACACCAAAAAACAGTGCCTTGACCAGGGACAGACCAACAGATCGGTCCAGCTAAAATAGTCTGGCTAATTAACTTCACTGCAGGCTACTGCCTTAGTGTAGCTGCTGATGAGCAACGCCAACATCTTCATAATGATAACACGTTTTTCCATCCTAAATGACAGCATATCAAGTCTAAAACAATAACCAAGTCTGGCTCCATATAAATCATATTCATAGCGTTGTTTAATATTAACTCTAATGTGTGTCATGTTCTGAAATCAAAAGCATAAAAACTGTGTTTTACTCTATCATGAGTCAATTCAAAATCCCTCTAAAATATATGTTTCAGTCCAAAATATCCAGGTATTACATATTGTAATGTGCATGGAATGATTGTTGTTCATATAACTATTGACTATATCCTATTAAATGCCAAAAATCAATTACAGTGTGATATTGGCATCATGTATCAGCAATGGGCTGACCTCCACTGAAAAGGGCACTATAATGTGTAAAAACTGGGGCACTGCGAGAATTAAATGTGCATGTAGAGTATGTCACCTTCAACTGAGTGGCTTCTCAAATATATATATATATATGTATATATATATATATATTTTTTTTTTTTTCAGACACGCCTGCAAGAAAATGTACAGTCTCCACAAGATTTTGTTACTATTTCTCTGAATAGGTTGTTTTTAAGAAAAAATAATGTTAGGATGCACAATATCATTGGCATAGTATTGGCAGACAATAGCTTAAAAGTTTATCGTAAGGGAAATTTTAATTCAATTCTATTACAAGAGAGTTGTGTGTGTGTGTGTGTGTGTGTGTGTGTGTATATATCTATATGTGTGTGTGTTTTTTTTTTATATATATTTTTTTTTTTTTTTTTTTCCCCTGTGGCATTATCTTGCCAGGTTTGTTGAATTTCCTGAAAGAAAAAATAATAATATTGTGGTAGAAACTCAGTTTATATACAAAAAAAGGAGAAAGAACTGGTAATGAATGAAGTCAAAGTGGTATCAAGAACAGCGTGTCTAAATTAATATTTATTATAGACACATTATTGAAGCCATATGGAAATATTCAAAAGGAATAACCTCTTCTGGCCTCCAGAGATTTGAGCCTGCCATTGGCTGAGTAGTGTTAATTGATATACACGGCCAGTCTATTAGAAGCACAAAGAGAATCTCAATCCAAACAGCGTCTGAGGGCCTTCAGTGGACTCCTTACACAACTAAATTAGGAAAACATGGGCTGAGAGAGAGCTGGGCAACAGGGGGGCTAAGAGGCTTACAAGCCCCTTGTCAGATATTCCTCGTCTCCCTGAGGATCCCAGATGGAAGGGAGTCTGGAGGAGCAGGGACCAATCCCACCTCTGATGTCTTCCTCTGGGCAGCAGAAGGCAGAGGAAGGTGGGGCTGTAGTCCTGTTGTGCAGATCTTGATTTGATCTTAATGTGAGCGATAAAAAAGGAGGAGGCCCAGCATTCAGGGGGGGTCTGTTTGAACTATCAGACCAATCAGAGTTAATCCTGCTGATCTAGACACAGACACCTGGCTGGATGGAGAGTGACAGATGTAGAAGTCCTGGTCACCAGAGTGCAATGTCTCGCCCCCATCTCTTCTTGGTCTGCTCTTTATCAGGGGCTTAATTTAAGCGACTGATCTCCATATTGCTCTTTTCATTGTTGCTAATGGCAACACAGCCGTGAAACAGCTGAGCGAGGTTACTATTTGAGGAGCTGAGGGTTTAAACCTGCAATCAATGGGTCAGTCAGAGCAAATAATAGCCAAGTGATATGAATACAACTGCTATGAATTGAAAGGAAGTGTGGGCTGACAGAGTCCCCAGCCAATTATATAGAATGGAAAAATCAGCCGCTAAGCCTTATTGTATTGACCACAAGTGAAAGTGTGGTGCTGGGCTGGTGCTGAGAGAATAGAGAGACCTTATCTGGTGTTATATCAGATTCACAAAGGAGTTTGTGTTCTGCGGTGACCTGCTCATGACAAAGCCTGTTAGACTTTAACTCAAGCCAATGACAGACACCTCGACCTAACAGCAAAACTTTTCAAGGTCTATTTTCAGTTTTCCTGTAGGTCAGGCTTAATATGTTCTGCTGTATTTCATGCAACACCTGCAGAAAATTTCAGGAAATAAGAACAAAGCTATTTGCTGAATAGGATGCTGAATAAATAGAAAAGTCCCTTTACAGTTTTATTGTTTACAAAACCCATCATATGTTTATTGTACTCCTGCCCTTGGACTATTACCTTACCTCCAACGCTAACAAAACAAATACAGCACATGTTGATGATAATCTGGCATCCCCCGGACACAAAAAGTCCACTGCTTCTTGCAGTTTTACCCCGTTTGCAGACTTACACTAAAGGAACCAAAACAGTCTGTCCAGGAAAGGTCTGACATGTTATGACTGCTGCCATTATATGGCTCAATCAGATACTGCGGCTGATAAAGGTGACCAAAACACAGCAGAAAAATACACACATGCATATATGACACAGTGAAAAAGAGGGCTAACTGTGTTATTTTTGCAGAATCGAGCCGCTGTGTTTACACCACCACAGACTGAATTGTGCTGCAGAGGTTAAATCAGGATTGATAGAGAATGAAAATAAGGTGACTGGCGCTGTGCAGAAAGTTTCCACAGCATTGTGTTCCTGCAACCTGCACATACACAGCCAAAGCAGAGATGCAGGTCAGTCAGCGCATCTTATTTGTCTGGTATAGGCTTACCACAATGCTCAGTGTTGTCAGTCATGATATATTCCCTTGGTCTCCTGTCAGCACATATAAATCTCAACGGTGCTGTCAAAACAGCGGGTCTGCCTCTGCTGAGAGCATTTGTAAAGTGAGCAGTTGGGCTATTGCTTCCTCTGGAGCCTTACAGTATCCTGTGATCCTGTGCTGCCTCTGGCCTCTCTCTGCCTCACAAAGCTTTTTTACAGCTGTCTCAAGGATTACACTGATCACTCATCAGTCAGCCACTGTTAAGAGTGGACATAAGACAATCCAAAAGACACCAACCTTTACCCTGTGAGCGGATTACCCTTCTCACTGAGAATATTTAAAGTGCAGTAAAAGGCAAGTGTTCCTTAGAATATCACAGATAACTTGTAAAAAATAAGGGTTTTAGATATTGTTACAAAGACTTTGTGCGCAAATTACCTTTTGATCAGCTTGTAACGAAGGCAGCGTTTAGAATTTATTCACCATTTATTGTATTATTGGCACATGTACTCTTAATACAAATGTGTCTCTGAAAAAGGACCAGAGTGCGAAAACTGATTCCATTTGAGCTGAACCTCCCGAGTTTGAGGGTATTTTATTTTCATCGGTTTAGATGCTGGTCACTTCAACATACAGAGCCAATTCAATGTAGTCAGTTATTTTGAGAATAATCTGAGTCTGATGTTGAGTTTTTTCCTCATATATCACTCTGCCAGGTCACTTAACACTCAATATTTTTGTCTGCCACTTCTCCAATCTGGGTGGATCAATTTAGAAGTGTAAACCCTCTGTTAGTGGTAGGCTTCCTGCAGGAATTATTTAGCAGTTGTAGCTAATGTCTAATTTTAATGGGATCATATTTATTTATCTATGTGTTTGTTTGTTTTAAGTATGATTGCATGAGGTACAAGTCATCTCTGCCTCTTTATTGAGAAACCAGCAGGAGAACTGAAACTAGAGCAGCAGCAGCCTGATAAGGTTGGCTCTGCCACATAATCCAGCTAATTTTCACAAACTCCAACCAAAGCATCGTTCTTTGTGGAAGTATTTGGGAAAGTGTTTCAGGTCTACTTTGAATGCCACACCGATGTGTTTTTCTACCTGTAGTGCACAGATAATCTTTTTGGGTCTATGATGTAGAAGTAGAATTGACTTTAGCCCATTACACTAACTATTAAATCTGATGTGTTTGTTTCTCAGTTTGAAATAATCCAAAGAAACAAATAGGCTACAGAACATCATCCACAGTAGCTCTACACAGAAAGGATTTTTATTTTAGCTCCGTCTTCCCCTTAAGCAGCTAACAATGTGTATGACAAGGTAATCATGTTGTGTGGATCATGGACTACATCATGATGCAATTATAATGAAACAGCTCAACACTACAGAAAATCTGTAAAACAGCTGTGTTCAGGTTCTTGACGAGTTTCTTTAAAAATATGTTATACCTATTTCAAGAGACTGCTCAAGGAAACTGGTTCAAAATATCTTGAAACATTATTAATGGTAAGACCTGGCAGGTCATTATAGTTTATATTAAATGGAGTTATATTTTCGAACACAAATAAGACAAATTCACTTAAAATGGAGTCAATCAATCAATCAATCAAATTTTATTTATATAGGGCCAAATCACAACAGTCGTCATCCCAAGACACTTTCCAAAGAAAAAGAGCAGTTCTAAACCACGCTCACTGTTCGATGAATTAACAAGACCCAACCTAAAATGGGATTTGGCCCATCTCATCTAACATGAGTGACAGTGGCAAGAAAAACTTCATTTTAACAGGCAGAAACCTTGAGCAGGACCAGATTTATGCCAGCCACCAGGCCGCTGCTGGGTTGGGGAGGAATACAGAGAGATAAGGGGAGAGAAAGAGAGAGCGAGAGGAGTGGGAGAGGGCAGGGGGAGGGGGAGGGAAAGAGAACAAGATATAGGTAAGGAGAGAACGAGGGTGAGAGAGAGAGTGACAGGGGACAGCAGCAACATTAAAACAACAACAACAACAGCAGCTCATGTAATGCTGTTGTGTCAGTGAAAAGTGAAAGCACTGATGCTGAACAGTGTCAAAAACATCTGGAAAATGCAGTGACACGCTAAGCGACCCTTAATGCTCTGAGGCTAATTAAATTAACTGGACTGATCCTTTATGACTATATGCATCATGAGGTCACAATTCAATATGATCTTCGTCCTTCTGCATGGATAGTATCCTAGTATGTTATATACCACAAGCCTCACCACATAATTGTGCATCGAGTATTTCTCTGTGGGACGTACTTACAAAGATTCAACTGTACGTAACCTCATGCTGACTGTAAAAATAAAGTCCGGGTTTCTATCATACAGAAAGGAGCTGCTTTTGTTATTGATACTCTGGCCTGAAATGTTCTGAACCAGCAAGGTCAAAACGGCAAAGAGCCTGACTTTGCACGATTTTTTTCAACATGGCACACCTGCTAAACGCACACATACGCATGCCTATGTTAACGGGACACAGATACAGCAAAGAACTCTTGTGGTAATCGACAAAGCTTTACTTACCCACTGTCTGAGACAGTCAACGGTTTCTTTTTGACAGCCTCCACGAGTCACTCGAAGTCCACCAACAACCGCTGCTGTCATTGGTCCACCGCCAACAAGAGCGTCTTTCATTGGACAGCACGTCTCAAAACATTTAAAAGGCGTCACTACGTTATGAACAATATGGCGGCCTCCAAGAGCGGTGTGAGTAAACCTGCGGTTACGAGTTTCCAGAAGAAAACCAGGAGCAAACTAATCTCTATCTCCGGTACCAGACCGTCGGTTCAAAACGGACAGCTGTTGGTTTCAACCGGCGTGACGTCCCTGGACTATCTGCTCGGTCAGTCTGATGTGGGGTTTAATATAAGCGCTAGCAGGGCTAATGGCTAACACTTGCTAACACCATACATCAGTATACTGGCAGCTCGACTGGCAGCAGTTAGAGACAAAACGACACTTATGTTATACCAAAAAAACCTATAACCCACAGAGGTAAAGTTGTTTAATGCTGCTGAAATATCCCCGAAGCTAGTAAAGCGCGGCAGATTCCGACTCCACCAGAGACTAGAGGGGAACAAACGCCTTCATATCTCAGCATCCATGCATGTTCAGCCAACAATTTAGGACTAAAATCCACATACCTGCAAAGGCGTGACATGTTCCAATGTGTAATCTTGCAAAATCCTCATAAAACACGCCAAGAAACCACGTCTTATAGTTGTTTTCATGTTAGATATGTGCTCCAAACTTTATCAATGGAATTAAACAGCAAATGTTAATCACACTTCAGTTAATATCAAGGCGATATCACTGTCCTGTTATTTCTACATGGTTATTGTGTACGGAAAATTATGTTAAAGAATCTTATGAGAAGAGGCTTAAGACTCACCTTTTTAACCAGGCTTTTCACTGATTGTCTTTTTATATTTCTCTTACTGCAAATGTTCATTTTAATCAAAGTTCTTAATTTTTATGTCATTTTATTCATTATCTCTGTTCTTAGTCCTTTTCTTAATTCATGTATTAGAACTTTTATATGGTGAAGAGCTCTTACTTATTTGTTCATTTAATAGTATTTTCTTGTTTTATCAGATTTTAGTCTTTCTTTTTACCTTTTTATTATTTATTAATTTTTTTATTATTTTTATCTTTTATTTATTATCTTTATTTCCAGTGTTTCCCAAAGGTAGCTCTTTCCTCATGTAATGTCTTGATGTCAGGCCATGTCTCTCTAATGATATTTCTTAAATTCTCACACTGTGTGCACTTGTGTGTGTGTATGTGTGGGTGAGTGAGGGTGGGTGTGTGTCTTTGTGCATGTGTGGGTCCATGGTTGGGTGTGTGGGTGGGATGTTTGGGTTTTATTGTTGTTAAATGTTGTTTTTTAGCCTCTGTGAGGCACTTTGAACTGCATTCCTTTTGTCTGAAAAGTGCCATACAAATAAAGTTGAATTTGAATTTAAAAAATAAGCGTGAAAGAGATCATCCTGTTCATATCTATCTGGGCTATTACGTGTGCTGAATTAATATAAAAGTAATATTTTGCACTCCGTGCTCTAGGTTTTATATTGTCAGATATATTTTCTAACATTTCTTACATATTTTTCCCAGTGACACAATGACACTGACCAGCCTTAACATTATGAACACCCGGGCAATCTAATATGACCTAATAAGTCCAATACCGCCATAAATTCTACTTTCAGGCAGCTTCTACATTTTTAGATCAGTCGGGTGACAATTTTTCTTCAAATTGTTGAAGTTGTTAGTTTTGGTGTTGCACTGGAATGCATTGTATAATGATGGTAATAATGTTTATTTATACAGGACTTTTTGAAGAAACAGATTTCACTAAGTGCTTCACAATAAGACATTAAAAGGGAAAATACAGCAAGAAGTAATAAACTCTTACAATGAAGTAGATACCCTTCAAACAAAGGCAAGTCAAAACAAATGGATCTTGAAATACCTTTTTAAAACAGCCACAGTATCCACAGTTCTCTGTAACAGTAAAGGTAAACAACCTCAAACACACAGTCTCTTTTAGTTTTGAATCTTGTCTGATAAACAACTGACAGCAGCTTCCAGACAGAGTTTATGATAGAACTGCTGTGTTGGTTGCATTATATTGCCTGGGTCAGGTCTTCATAATCTCATGTAGTCAGTGTAAAATAATGTGAAATACCTTTTATTTTATTGAATTATTGCTTCAAATTGTATTTTAAACAGCTATGTTGCACAATCACATTTTCCAGATATGGCAGCACCGTGTCTTATTCTCTGATTACCAGCCATAAAAACTCTTCAATGCTTGAACATAGTTGCTAAAATAATGAAAAAAAAAATGCCATCCTGGTTGAATACAGCAGTTGTCATAAAGTTGAACACAACTTTAGAACTATAACATCCATCTTTCTTTGCACATAACATTCTTATACACACAGTCATGCAGCCATGTTGTTACTGTATTTTTAATGCTTTAAATACAAGAATACACAAGGTTTATGCAATAGTTTCCAGAACAGGACAGAGCGGTGACTGATTTGAAAAACATGTTTTGTTTAGTGTGGACCAGCAGCCGCACTGATGAGGCTGCCTGCAGTGTCTGCAGACATTATTTGTTTATCTTTTTTATCAGCCTTGTAAGTACAGGCATGAGCCAGAACTGAGTATTTTAACATCGGCCAAATAAATTGGCTGGCCTGATTTATTGGTCTATCTCTAGTGTGCTGCATTAAGACTGTAAGAGAAAGTGAAAGAAGTAGCAATTTGCTGAAGAGAGGCTCAACGTTGGTCACATTAATTTAGAAAAGCCTCATCTGTATTATTTGTTGGTGTTTGCAAGAAACTAACCTACATTTTTGTTCTCTGAATCCACAGGTGGTGGGTTGGCAGTAGGAACAGTGCTGCTCATAGGTAAGCCTTTCACTTATCAAAATGAACACTAGTCTAAAGAGCCTGTTAAGAAAACGTCCTTTCAAACCAATCAGCGATCCAGCACAAGATTCAAGGTCAAAGTGTAGTAACTTAGTACTTCTGCTCTAATGCACAGTTGTTTGATAATCATATTCTCCCTGGGTAGATGTGTGGTATACCCTTATAAATGCAGCATGGTGACCCCAACAAAAACAGGCCTTCTCCTGAGAAGATACACATATTGTTGGGTATTTGAAGTCATTTCATTCAATGTTTTTATTCTGAGCAAATTTGCTCGTAATAACTATGCTGTCATAAACAAAAATTAAAGCTCTTTATAATAATTATGAAGAATGGCTATGGGCGGATATTTATTACAGGTTACACAGAGTGTAGTTTGTGTTTCTTTGACTAAATGGTTAACAACATAAACAAGTCAAAGTTTAGCTTCCGGTAAGTTTGAGGAGTTAATGTGCTCTTAAATGTATGTTTATACTTGAAATCTTGTTTTTTCATTTTCTCTGACTGTTAAAGATACAGAATAGGACTGACTTTTTACCTGATGTTGATGCTGTATCCTTTACAGAGATAAGTTCAATGTTATACTTTGTACTGGAGCAAGGAAAATGCTTGTATGCAACTCTTCTTTGTAGCAGTTTGCAGCCTAAAGCTTTTTCCCTATCCTGAGTGATTTTAGATGTATTGACTCTGCCTTAACCTTCTGCTGAAATATAGCTAAAACATTTCATATGCATTCACCAACCCCCCGTCAGTGGCACTTTTTAGCATGCTGCAGATAATGGTGCTGTCTGTCTCTTCTCCGGCTCTTTGTGGTTAGTGTGTCTCAGTATAGCAGAACAGCAAATAGACCAATGACCTGAGGTCTCTTGTTACATTCCCAGGTGTTCACACTTCTACTTTGATCCTTAATTAATATGCTCATCTGCAGATGTGGAAGCTGTGGAAGTTTTTTGGGTGTACATTCAAAGCGAGTGGATTTTGTAGGGACATAAACGTCTTTCACTGTATTATTATTGTTATTATCATTCATCATAGGCCTGGCTATATGCACTGGTAGACAGTAAGGTTAAGGTAGTCTTGTTTCCCCTTGAAGCTGTAATTTGTGTGTAGCAAAGGCCTATACCAACTGATGATATTGCTTTGCCCTTTAATTCACCCCCCCAATCGATGCAGAAGTCAGTGATTATACACTAATGCGTTCTTCCCTTCCATTTTGTGAATCAATGTACGGTTGGTTTCATCTGGTAATGAGAGACACAGTAAAGGTGAAATGCGTGTGTGAGCTCTCTTGTGTTTGTCTCTGAAAGAGGGATGTGCGTGTGAGTGTGCACTGTGCTGTCTGTTTTGTTGAGTGTGTGTGTGTGTGTGTGAGTGGGTGGGTGGGATGGAGGGGACGGAGGGGGAGTTTTGGAGCGTGTGTTTGTTTGTGTTGGTTTCAGGCAGTCGTCTCCTACAGTCTGCCCCTTTAGCTGTGATGGCCTGTTTGTGAGACTCAGACATAAAATTATCAGACTGGTCGTTGTCTGCCTTTGAAGTGTCTTGAGCTGTCCATCCCGATTTGTCAACCAGAGGGGGATCAGGCCAGTATGGCTGCTGTCTGAAGATTTCTCATCTTGTGTGTTTTTTAAGAGAAGAAGAGAACAAAGCTTTCCAGCTCCTGTTACATTAACCATGAATGATTTCACTCCAATTAATTAAGCACATGCGATTTTCCTTTATTAAATCCATTATAACTCATTTTATCTTGAGCCTCGTTGTTTCCCATGCTTGAATTTTGAAAAACTTGCAAATTGCACCTTGAATAAGCATGAGCCTAACTTTTAGCCTATATTTACAATATTGTAGAAAACTACAACAAAATATTTGTCAAAGAAGTTAATCATCACCACTGTTAAAGGTCATATTTAGTCTGTTTGTTACCAGGTTTAGAAGGAAAATGCTGTCATGATGTGGTTGAAACTTGATGGAAAGGTTTAGTAAGAGTCGAAAAAAACCATAGCAATGTCAAGATTGTATGAATATGATTAAAATGACTTTGTTCAAGCTACGGCAGATCAGACTTAAAGCGATTTGAAATGTCTTCTGTATGAGCGTCTAGCTTATTGTAACAGCTGTTTCTAATGAAAGCTGTTGTGTTCATGGTGTTATTCGGGTTTTAGCATTTCAATTTTTTTTTCCAAGACTGTAAACTGTTTTCTGATTTTCACAATGCATATAAAATATTTCATTTCAAAGCATATACATAATGCATACACAGCTTGGAAGATGAGGCTTCATTATGGCACAGCTGTCTTTTGACACAGTGGGAAATTTATTCCAGACATATATAGTGATTGCGCTTTCAGGCTCGCACATCAAAAACAACTGGACGGTTTGCTTTGGCCGTGGTCTTTACTTTTTGGGAGTGCCCCCTTATTTTTAACTCCTGGTGTTATAGTTGTGGAGTGAAGCAGATTTATGCTCCATCTATCGCATGGAGAGTGAAGTGAGGTTATTTTTACATGTGCAATGAAAAGCCTCAAGTTTATTCATCACTATTGGAAATTAGGTTTTGAAGATTTCAGTACTTTTTAATACCCTATGTTCTTAAATGATACATGATCGATTCTTTTGTTAGTTTTTCTAGTGTTTATTAGTTTCTAAAAGCACCAGAATACAAACTTAGATCCACTTTTATTTTCAACCTGAAGCTGCTGTGTGCAACTTCACAAGAGAGCAAGAGATGACGGTAAAGGGACACAGATAATGTAAAGGAAGAGAGCGTGCAAATATGGTAAATAAAGCTGAAAAACAGAGAGATTAAACATTATATTCTCATTGTTTTACAGCAGTTACTGTCTTTGGTGAAACTCACATCCACAGCACATACTGTGATCACACACATAAAAAACTGTATCCTGTAACTATTCAGCTTTTTGCGTTTGGTCCGTTTTGTTTATTTTCACATCTTGATATTTTTTTACCTTTATCTGTTATCTGTCATTTGTCTCTCTACTTTACATCATTTCATTAAAGTAATTCAGATGATTGACAATAAAGTTGACTTGAGTAGAAATTAGAAACATGTCCACGCAGAAACATAAATCAGTCAGTAGGTACCACTTTTGGTTAGCTTGCAGCTGAGGTTGTGCTCCCTCCTGCCTGCTGTGTGTCTCCCTGCTCCACCCTCCATCACAGTCCTCATACACCTAGCTCTTTGATTCATATTTTGACAAATACACTTTTTTGTTTTGCTTCTTTTATTATACAAATACAAATACAAATATGTTGTTTAAGTCTGCTGGAGAAAGACAGAGGTGTCAGCTGGTCTCTTTATGTTCACAGAGTACTGTTGACAGGGAGCTGTACATGGTTGCACTATGACTGTAGCTCATAGAACGTCGGCATTAGTAAAAAAAAATACAAAACACAGACAAAGAGCAAATTTCTTCTTTGTAATTTTTATATCAAAACAGAGAGCAAAATCCTTTTATTATTACTGGTATTCAAGTTCAGAAATCTGGTATTGTGAGAACCCCGATAAGAAATGTATGTAGGTTAGACTTTTTATGGTTGACTAAAAAAAATGTATGCACAATAGGATTTGTATTAGAAAAAAATTTGATTGTAAAATCTTGAGAAAAAGAATCAAACTTTTAATGCATCACAAAACCTTTTCTCTTTCAAGGCCCTCAAAGGCCACCGTCACCTCACATACAGGAGGGGTGAGCAAAGGAGCATTCCGGTCTAGACTTTTACTGCTCGACATTGTTAATATATTCATATCTGACATTGTACCCTTAAACAGACATTACTGTTGGCCTTTGTTATAGTATCTATAATGCCAGTTTCGTTCTTTTAAACCCTGATTTTCCTAAATTTGTCTCTATTCTGGACCTGCTTTGTGGTCTTAATAAATTTGAGCCGCATGGTTGAAAAAATAAAAACTACATAAAGCCAAGATTCATACATTAGGGGGAAACACTCTGACCTAGATAATTTGCCTCCTCCCCCTGCAGCTTGAGCAGATATGATTCAGGTCTGCTGTTCTCCCACTCTTCTGTTTGAAGGCAGATGAAGCTGAGGCCGTCCCTTCCCCCTTTACCAAACCAAAGTCAAAATAAGCAGAAAAAAAGGAAGAAAAAATCATCCCATGACTGTCCAGAGTGACTGATCCACCTCAAAGATATGACCATACCCCACCCCCTGTTGCTCGTATATCCCCCCCACCACCACCACCTCCCACCCCCTCCCTTACCCCCCGCCTCTACAGCCTAATGACTCCTGGAGGTTCCATTTGTAAGGCTCCCATAGAAACACAGCCACAATAGGCCCCATCTTGAGAGGGCCCATCTGGGAGTCTTTGTGGGGCCTGCTGAAAGCCACAAAGGCCTGCTGACCTAGAAACCCATCAATAAGAGAACAGGGAGCCCCACCGACAACAAATTGAAGAGCTCTGGAATTTCCTGGGCCATCCTGAGTCCGTAGGTGAGGACATGGACCAGGAACGTGGGAGGTGGGGAATTCTCCGGATGTTTTAGGATGACACGTCAGGATGTCATTCCCAAGCTGTCAGCTGTATGTCCTTTACCTTTAACTGTCACTGCTGCCTTTGTCCTTGTGCCCACTGTTTGTCATTGTGTAGAGAGGCCTATGAAATCTTTCCTAAATGACGATTGTGACAGGAAGCAGCAGGAGCATGCTGGGTAGAGTCATGTGCCTTGTTAGGGGGGTTTCATGGTGATGATACAGCCTTTTTTTATGTGGGTTTAGGCCATGAAATATCCAGGTGGCCACTTTGTGTGTTCTGAAAGAGCTACGTTTGTGAAAGAATGCTGAATATTTAGGATCACATACCGGTCTGGATAATGCTCAAGACATTCCTTTAAATAAGACTGTAACATCAGCGCTCAAAACTGAGATCTGTTTCCTCTACTCATGTTTTAAAACCTCACATCTCACTTTTTTATAGGTTAAATTTCAGCTTTGGCTTTATTGATAGAGTGAAGAAGAAGATGTGCACCAAAGAGTTTGATAAACTAGAGATAGACCAATTGATCAGGTAGCAAATTATGTGGGCCAATTATTAGCATTTTGAAATGACATCGACTTCAAATCGGCAGCTGCCATCACAAGGCTGGTATCACCATCACCTTCTCTCTCTTTCCTTTTTGTTCTTTCATAGTGATGTTTTCAGGCATTTTTGTCTTTATTTCACAGGACAGCTGAGGAGAAACCAAAATTAAGACAATTAGTAATTACTTTTTTTAAGTGTTGTATTTTGTCAAATCCAAAAAGCAAAAACAGTGTGATATAGGCATTATATGTTGACCATCAGCTGAGCTGCTCCTTTGTTATCAGTAATTGTATTAACTGTCAAAAAGTGGATTTTTTTTCTTCTTCTGCAAACCAGTTAGCTAGTCCAACAAGAACTTAAATACTCTTTGTTCTTTGTTCCCATCAGGTACAACTTTTATGTGTGTGTTTTTTTTTTAACTTATTTTTATGAAAAGAAAAACCTGATATGAACGACACTAGCAGTGCAATGACAAAAGTATGCCATCACCATCAGTATTCATTCATAAAGCAAGGAGCACATGTCAGGGAGCAGTCACAATTGTATCCTGCCTCTGCTCCCTGCTGTCAGCTGTCCTGACAGATTGTTTACCTTTTTGGACCAGGGGGGAGGGGTCAGGTGCACACTTAAGACAGGTGTCTCCCTCTCACCTTCTCTGTTGGCTGGGAACATGATATGTAAAAGTGGACAGGAATATAGTTCAGACCTTAACAAGAGAACTGAATGTGTCATCTTCACTTTGATGGCAGATCTCAGCTGAGGCACCTCTGACTCTCTGCCATGTTGATTGCCACCTCAGCTGTTTCCCACCAAAGGTGGCCTGAATGTGGTCCTTACATCAATTGCAGTCAGTATCTGTGATGGGGTCATGAACAGCTGGATGTCTGTGGTGTGTGAATAAATGATCAGACAGAAAAAAGATCCACTGATGGTTGTAGGCCTGATTTATTTCTCATATTTGCCTCTGAACTCTTTTACTTGGCCATGAAAGAGTATGACAACGAAGGACAGTTTCTTGAGGTAGACTTCCTCACTTATCCTCAACTCTGATTGCTTTTGTCTTTTCTTTCTCAGAGGAGGACCGATACGATAGCTACTCCCGTACGATCTTGAAGTACTTCCTGGCAGAAGGTGTTGTATGTCGACATGAACTTTTCGTGGCATCTGCTCAAGATAACCCAGATGATATCCTACAGGTATGATCGGAGGTGATGTCTCTTTTATAAGCTCTGAGGATGATCTTTTGCAAAGTTTATTGTGTTTTTTCAAGCTACAAATGTTGACGGTCCATCTTCAGAGAATCTAAGATAGCCTCAATGTGTCTACTTTACTGCTCCTTATACTATGGAAAAAACCGTTTCCGAAAACTTTTGTTAACCTTCTCTCACTTAAAGAAAGAGTTGTTTTTTTTCTCACAGTATATTAATGAATCACCTCTGTACAGTATTCTTCCTGGGTCTGGCCATGATTTAGCAGGTAGTATTATAGGCACACAGCTTTCCCCAAGATGTGTCTGGGTCAGCGGGGGTGTCTGAGAGGTCGAGGGTGGCATGGTTGTGACATTGTTGAAATGTTTCCCGATGCATCACCGTGTGAAGAGAAGTGTCGCCTCAGAAGCTGACTGCCACCCATCATACAGGAGGAGGGCCTCTCACCCACTGATTGATAGTGGGAGGGGTCACAGCCTCAGCCTCTCTTTACATATCAAAGCCTTATTAAAAGAGAGGAAGTCCCAACGGGGATATATCACATCATTTAGTGTTTCCACAGCCACATTCACAGTATGCTAATCTTCAGATGCGAAGCTTGTACTTTATGTGTTGTGTTAACACACAAGAACACACAGGCTACCAGCTATTTGGAAGAAACCAGGTTAGGGTGTAAAACAGAACATGTTCACATGGGCAGCAAAACTTGAGCCCTCTAAAACCATCTTAACTCACATCAGCTTATCAGTCATTGAACAGGCAAGATTTTCCCATTTTGGAAGAAAACTACTTGTTGAATACTGAAAGATGTGTGAGTGGTGGGACTCCGTTTTTTTCCAGATTATGTACATTGGTATGAGTTTTACAAACACTTCACTGTTCAGCTCTGGAAAATGACTCATGTTGACTCAGTTCAGTTCCAGCTTTGGTCAGACTTTGGATCTTATTGTGTTTATTACAAGGACACAGCGCTACAAGGATCAGTCATCCCCCTGCACTAATGCCACAGAAATCTTCTCCTCCTCTGAAAGCTTAGTGATGGACACATACAGTTGTAGAGAGACAGTACGGGGTGGACTCACTGAAAAATCATTCTTGCTGATTTTTTCAGCTCAGATCTTTTTTTTCATGTTTACAAAAACTGATCCTGCCAAATGCTGACCCTGAATATCATGTACATTACACACACTGAAAAGACTCACTTTTGGCTCAGTGACAAGTAGGGCTGGGTGATAAACCGAAAATTTACCGATACTGAAATTTACGACAATAACCAACGTCATATTGCACATATCAGTATATTCGGTGTCAAAAGAATAAATAAATAAAAGTTGGTTTTGGATGTGTGTAGGTAGGCTATGGTTTCATGTCCCCTATAAGACGCTGTCCTATGTCAGAGACTTGACTCCACCCCATCCAGTCCATAACAAAGAGAGAAAGACAGGTGAGGAGATGGAGGACGGTTCAAAAATTGTAGCGGTTGGATCGGCAGCTGGGGTAGACAAAGTTAATGTGAGAGGGGGTGAGCAGCTTGTTGAGTAGTTATCATCCATTTATCATTATCGGGGTGAACTACTTAATATATCGTGATATTGATTTGAGGCCATATCGCCCAGCCCTAATGACAAGCCATTTGATATACAGCAAAAGGATAAACAAATGTCTCACATTTGACTGTTCACATTCAACTTAATGTATCTTATCATGAATATCATTTCATTCATTTCAGGAACTTCCCTCTCCCATCCTGGATGATGTTGCTATCCACAAACCAGCGGAGCAGCCAAGGTTGCCCTCTGACCCTCCGGACAGTCTGGACGCCATGAAGATTGCCTGGCGCTATCAGAATCTGCCAAAAGTACAGGTAACTAAGTTATCCCATGATAGCTTGATTCGTCTGTTATTAAGGAACTGCAGCATGTCTGAGGTAGAGTAAGCAGTATGATATTGGTAACTCTGTGGTTTTACTCCTGTTATGAGAGGTCCGACTCGGGTCCGTGTTAAGGATGGTATGAGAAAGCAGTCCTGGCTCTCTGGCCCTTGTGGTTTGGCAATTGTCTCCAGCACTAAATCCATGAGCTTCTAAACTCCTTTGTGGAGTGAATGAGGCCTCAGCCTCTCCTTTCAGAGCTGGACCAGATTACTCACACTTAGCTGGCAATAGGTAGGCTTTTCAGTGGTCCCCAACTCACATATACACAAACACACACACGCCTGCACCCCTGCTTAGCCTGGGAAACAAGAGTACTTTGCAGTCTGTGCATTGACATGTCTGCTCGCTCAACCCTATGACCCAGACCTGCGCCTCTGTCTTCCCCCAAATCCCTGCCTTTCCCCCTGCTAGGGTCGGCAGCCCTACACTCTTTCTTCCGCTTTGAGAGCTGACCCTCCCCTTCTCCTTCTCTGCAGTCTCCCCCCTTCTGTCTATAATCCATATCGCTATGTGGATTAACAACACACAGTGTATCCCTGGGGATCCTCTCCTTCTTTCTCTCTCCCTGGAAACTTCTTTATATCTGTGTCCTTTTCTCACCTCTCCCCCTTCCTCTGTAAAATCGTCTTTACAAACTACTAGTAAGCCCCCACCAGAGGATTTGCATCCCAAATTCACCCCCAGAGTCAACGCTTACGTTCCCCTTACACACACCTCTCCTGGCAGAGCCCACTGTGTCGCTCTCTCGATGAAGACATCAGATCAAAGGTGAAGCCATCAGGGCGGGGATGGAACGCTAAGCGGGTTGCCAGGCTCACAAAGAGAAGATGAGCCCCTGACCCCCCTGCCCTGCTGACCCCCTCGTCCCGCCAGGAGAGGGACACACCGGGGGCCCTAATCCAGATTAAGAGTAGATTAAGGGCCCCTCTAACAATGGAATCCCCGGTTTTGCTGAGAGAGAAGAGCTAAAACTCTCTCTTTCAGCTGCTGGAAAACATCCGCCTTCCCCTGCGTCTCTGACACGTTTGCTTTCACAGCCAGAAGTGGACGTTTATGTGAAGAAATGATTAAGGCTGCAGTCGTAGAGGTTGTTTAACTTCTCCACTGTAGGAATGTTGAGGACTGACCCATAAACAATGCAATTGCATTACCATAGTAATGTGAAGCACACTCATTTAACATGTTTTCAAGACAAATAAGATTATTTTTCTCTATGAATTGAGTTATTCTTGTCTAGAATTAGGGAAATTCACATCCAAAGTGAGTCGCGCTGCTAGGCCTGGGGTTATTAGTATTACATCAAAATGTTCATCGATTTAAGGCCTTTTGTGTTCATGTGTTTTAACATGAGTTTGACCTTTTGACCTCCTCAGACTGCCCTGGCATCCTCGTCGCGGTTCGGCCACTATTATGACGTCTCCAAGACGATGGAGCCAGAAATTCGGCAGGCAGCCAAGTGCCACCGCTTCTACCTTCCAGAGCATCCCACCCAGTCATCACCCACACACAGGTAAGAAGACAAGACATCATCCAGAGAAGTAGTGGAAACCAATGAGACACCATCTGCAGAACACAGGCACACTAACATGACACCATCTGCAAACCACAGCTACACAAATAAGACAACATCCACACAACACAGGCAAGCAAACATGGCACTGTTCACAGAATACAGGGAAACCAACAAAGCAGACGCTCTGATATAATCTAAAGAGCACATTCAGTGTAAATCCAGCAACTACAATCATGGATGAGAGAGGTGAGTCCACCTGAAAGAAGAAAACTCAAAACTGAGATTTGACTTGGACTCATGCACAGCCAAAGAAAAAAGTGTTTTTGTGGTTTATTTGAAGTTTATCTTGTTTTCAGTAACTGCGCTTTCTGTGAAACACCAGCCAAAAGTGTTAAGATGATAAAAATGCTGATTGAAAAACAAAATATGTGGTCTCAAACTTTTCGGTTATCTCAATTAGTAAAACAAACTGTCCAAAAAAAATGCTGGTGATGTATTTTTTGCAACAAAAATTAAATGATTTCAAACTCAGAGGCTGTAACTTAAGATAGAGTTCGTCCACAATTAGAAAAAAACAAGAATTCGGACAGCAAAGTTGTTATGTTAAAAAATTATAATCATTGTTTTATGAGATTAAAGTTGTTTTATTATGAGATTAAATCCATGTTGTTCAAATAAAGTCACTCACAATGGTGCTGTTTGAAAAGATGCACGTATCCTTTCATGAGTGTTTTTTTTAGTGGCAAAGCATTTGGAAAAGGATAATTTAACAAGATGCTTCAGAGTCCTCATTTTGTCAAACTAAAACTACAACATGGTCACAACTTGTAATCTCCAAACCGACTTTGTTCTCTCAGCAGTTATATTCTCATAGCAATATGACTTTTATCTCATGACAACTTAATACTCATAAAATCCTGACTTTACTGCAACGTTGTTCTTGTCATATTTTGACTTACTGCAACTCAATCTGGAACTGGATAATGACTTTATTATGATGTAAAACTCAAAATCTTAAGCATAATCTAAACCATAACTCTTTAAAAGAGCACTTGATTTTTGCCCTCATAGTAGCTCATAGTAACCATCACATGCTTGTCATTTCTGCTTTAAAATGACTAAAAAAAAAGTCATCTGGAAAATATAATTGATTTAGCTTCAAGATAAACAAGGGAGTTAAAATTTCCCCAATTTGTTGCTAATAAATCTGACATTTAAAACCTCAATCTGTCAGTCAGACTTTGATTGTAATTTCACTTTTCATACACCGGTATAAAAACACTTAAAGTAAGTGTTTTTAAAGTAAAGTATGCTTAAAGTAAGAGAAAAAGTTTTGAATAAAGGACTTATAATAAAACAAGAACCAATGAACTGAGGAAAGAAACGTCTCCTGCAATGTGTTGTTTTTGTGTAATTACTAATATTCGATGAGCCTATTTTAATTATGAGAACATTTTTATCATTACAGCTTAACCCTGGAGTAGGTGCATATTTAAAATGTTACAATATGTGTAATTTCATGAAAACAGTAGTTTGGACATGATTTTAAGGACATTTTTGCCCTTAAAACAGCTGAAACAAATCCAGCTCAGCCTCTATTCTTCGTAGCTCTCCAGTGGCCAAAGACATTCAGCCTCTTGGAAAGGTTGTGTATGTCTATTCAAATAAGGGTCTTGTTTGCTCAGCGTCTGTTTGATTTCTCCTGCGTTGAGTGTACTTAGGGTTCAGAGGTCATGCAGGCTCTTTACTCAGAGAGTGCTGCTGAACACACAAGGGCACACGAAGGCACACTCACACACACTCTGGGTAAATACAGCAATCTGGAGCACAGAGGATGTGGAGGGGGCTTTATAGAATCCCTCTTCCTTTATTTCAGCAAACAGAGACTGTTTAACCGAGCGCCCATGCAAACACATTAAAAGCGGTGGATGTGTTCAGTTTAAAGTCAACATTTTTACAAGTGTAGACATAAAGATGACAGAATTCAGAGTTTCGCTCGACATCCGATCAGAAATTAACCGTCCCGATCAGCAGGAAATAAATGAAAGATCTGATTTATTGATATTTGAAGCATTTTTAAGGCAGTTTAAGTAGTGGCAGTGACATGGTTATGCTGCGTCTGAATGGGTTATAGATCTGACAGACAGACAGCAGGAAGCTACACCTGCACTGCACCATTGTGCCCCCAGCTCCGCCCCAATATAACCCCCACACATATACACACATACACACACGCACCACACACACTCCTAAGCAGGCTACTCCCCCTTGCACGTGTCCACAGCCCCATGTTGATACCCTAGCTGTTAAATTGCTCCGTTTCACTTGAAGGCATAATTGGCACAAATTGCTCTCTAGGTGATACAGATCCTGTTGTTTAAGACCAAGCATCCCCCCTTCTCTCCTCTTTTCTTCCCTCGCTGAATGAGAAACACCCAGATAAAGAAGTGTCCTCCTGTATGATCCTAATTAGCCGACGCACTAGCCCCTGTAGCTAAGCACCTAGACCTTTTTGGTACCTGAATGAGGGGTGCTCAGTGGGGGCAGCTAAAACACAATGCCGTCCCACACAATGGCTGCCAACCTCCTGCTCGACTGCATGTCAAACCATCCCAGCCCCCTACCTCAGAGCAGGGGCATGGGCAGGGAGGCCGAGGAGGGTAGGTGTCCCTCTTTCACCAAACCGACTCTATCATTAGGCCCAGCGGGGTCAGGAGGCACCATTGTTGGGCTGAATAACTGAAATAGAGTACATGGATATACTTGGCGCAAGTGTAATCAACACAAGTGAGTATTACTGTTCTTTATGCAGGCCTATTGGCGTGTGACCAATCTATGTGTATCAGCTTTTGTAGCCTGCAGGTCCAATTGACAACTGACACAGCAGCCCACTGTGACTCGCTACAGAGTGGTCATTACAGTGGTACGGCCTTCTTCAGTGAAGGGACCTGAGTGTTTGTGTGTAAAAAGATGGGGTTAACATTCCTACTGGCCATCCTGTTGGCACATGAAGGGCTCAGCAGTATCGCGTCCCATATATGTTGCTGCATGTTGCTCCCTTTGGCGGCCCTTTGTCAATGGTGCACATCTTACCCCTGATTAAACACCAAACTGCTGCTCCCTGTTAATTTGAGATATCAGCCCATTAACTCCCTCCTCCTGCTCTCTTATCTTTGTCGTCTGCATGTTTGTGAGTTTACATCTGTCGATCTGTCCGTCCCTCTGTCTGTCTGTCTCTGCACAATCAGATCCTCGGGGAGCTGACAGAGAACCAGTCATGTTGTAATTTAATCAACCAAATAAATTAATTGGATCTCTTGATATGGATCATCTGTCTGCTTCAGTGGCTTCAGAAAAGCACAGTCAGGAGGAACATGCTGCAGTCATGGAGGATTAAGCTACTGTGGTGATGGGCCTGGCCCAGTTTTATCAAACTGGTTTCAATTACAGTTTACATGTCCTGAGTAACCATTTCTGTTCTCTGTCTGGTTTGTCCTCCACTGTGCCCACTCTCTCCTCTGTCCTGTGCTCCTCTCAGTACCATGCTCAAGTCCTACTCTGCATTGCTGAAGTCACTTCAAGAGGTCATAAACAGGGAGGGATTTGATCTAACAACCCCAATGGTAAGAATGGAGTGCATTTGTTCCTGTTCAACCTATAAAAACAGGTTTTTACTTTTGCAACTTTACTTGCAGATACAGTCGTCTAGAAATTAAAATTCCAATCAGTCTTTAACCATTTTTAAGCAATCCAGCACATCCTCCCTCTGTACAGCAGTCTTACTGCAACTTGGGCAAGTGAGAGTGTTGAATTTCTTCTAAGATGATGAATTTTTTTGAATTTGAACAATTTGACTCCATATTTGTAACAATACTACAATTGATCATCAATATCTCTGCCCTAACCCTAACCCTTTTTATGTTTCCCATTCCTGTTGTGGTTCACTTGACAAACACATTGATTCATGGTAGTAAGAGTGTAATAAGCTGCCACATACATCCATGCAAAAGGACATGTTTTCCTGTTTTTATTTTCACAGTCACTTAATTGTTAGTAAAGATAAACTCTTAACCCCGATGGAGCTGTTTAGGTTACATATGTCTGCCTGCAGCCTCCCCTCCCCCGATAAGCCCTGTCAGACTATTAGGATTTAAAAAAACAAAACGTCGTAGGCAACATATTTTTTAAGAGACACGAGATCTGCATCTGTGACCCCCAGCTCTTCTGTCACATTCCAACCACCATTTCTTTCAAGTTTGTTTACCTCCCTCTCACCTGCTCAGCTTGGCCTCACCTGTGTGTCCCAGCTGTGTGTGTCTTACCTTTGACATACATCTTTTTAATAACTATCAATCCTGTATAGAACGCCAGAAACACTCACGGCCCTGTCTGTTCTCCTCAGGGCTAAGAGTGTGATGTTGTTCACACTGTGATGTCCCTGTATATAATCATTTTTCTACATATACTGTATATCTATACAGCATTGGTGTGTGTGTGTGTATGCTTTTTCTGGTTGTGTATGTGTGTTTGTGCGCCTCATTCACCTACATTCGGTGACCCCTCTGCTCGTCACCTGGAGCCACCTCTCCCCCTGTCACTCACACACAGGATTTACCTCCAGTACCCCCCACCCTCCCTCCCCGAGCGCTGTCACTCACACGCCAGATTAACTGCTGACATCATTAAAGCAGTGTGGCCGCCTGACATGCTGTTGGCACAGTCCAGGAATGCAGACCGGCACAGAGCGACATGGGCTCTGGCACAGAAATGCCCAGTATGGCTGATCCTCAGAGTGTGCGCCTTTTGTGTGTTTATTTATTAATCAGGAACTGTTAACGAGATTCACAGACAGTTTGTAAATAACAGAATAGATTAAGGATTAATATTCTTGGACATAGTTTTTGGGAGATCATTTAAGATGAGTGTGGCAGGCTGGCAGCAGGGCTGTGAGTCTCCACAGAGACTGGCTAGTGATTAGGTTGTGGTCCCCAGGCTGGCTCTAGCCTATATGGTTGGCCTCTGGTCTTTGGCTGGACTGCACTGGCACTGTTCCCTGCTTTTTCTATAGGATAAACTATAGGAGTTAAGTTTGGCTTCTCCTCCTGATGCCACAGCAACAGTCTTGTTACCACAGCCGCCCCCCTGCAGGGATAAAGACATAGAAAAAGATTTCTAATACTGTGGCCTCCAAGAACTGTGTAGGCAAGGCTGTTAAACAAAGACAGAGCATATGTAATAATGACAAAGGCACAGGCTCACATAGGGCACCGATAGAAAAAAAAAATAAGGCATCAGTTTATGAGTAGATGTTGAATGGTGCAGAGGACGAACGTAGAGTCCAGTTTAAGGGTCCTCCTTTGGGAAACTATGAGCCAACAGTGAAAAACTCCGAGACACAATGGGGTTTATTTTTCTTAGATGGCTGTGATTCTGATCCAGATCCAAACTCAGCTTAGGTCATACTGTCGGGAGAGGAAGCGATGGGAAGTTGGGCGGAGGAGATTGAGAGGAGAGGAGAGGTTGAGATAATGGAGGGGGAGGGATCAAGGAGAGGAGAGGAGAGGCTGGAAAAAAGGGGGGAAAATGAGAGCAGATTTTCAGCCAGAGCTTTGTTAATCACTCTTGGCTCTCACCTCGGTAATCAGGGGCTATCGTGAAGAAAACCCAAATAAAAGGCAATTGTACTAAAGGTTAAAAACCTCTCACAGTTTGGACAGGCGCCTCCATTCTCTCAGTTTCGGTGATATATATCCCACTTCTGTTTGGCCACTTTTTCAGTGTCTTCATGAGAGTGGGTTACTGTTGATCTCTTGTGGTGGGCTGGGGGGGTTTCAAGGGAAGGCACTCCACCCTTACCCAGGCCCCCTTGGCTGCAGAGCATCGCTGTTGTGCCAAGAATGTGCTGGGGTTTCTGGGTGGCGGCCATATTGGAAGCCTGTCTGACAGGTCCATTGTGCGTGTGTCAGATGGCCTCTGTGATTGGGCAGTTGTGTCCAGTCACGTTTGGGCACCGTGTTTCGATCGTCTGTGCTGGTGAGCAGACTGTCCAGTGGCTCTCTCCCACAGTTTGGAAATACTACCCAAAACAGCACCTTTCCAACTTCGCCCAAAAGCTGCAATCTGTTCAGTCTTGATTTGAGAACTGAAATAAAACTGTATCACTGCATCAATGAGTGTCTACAGATATTTGCATTATTGTTTTTTTTTCTCATTTTTCCAAACTCTTCTTTTCTTTCTCCGTCCTATAGTCAAACTCCCGTAATATCCTACGAGTCGGGCTCCACTCTCTTGGCTCAGCACTGTGGGGTGATGACCTGTGCTGCCGTGACAACCCCAGAAACGGCCACGCCCTCGCAACTTTCCTCTACGGACTGCGTGCTTTGCTTAGGTCATCGCTATCAGTCGCAGTAGTTACTGTGCCTTCACACCTTATTCAGGTAAGACTTTGTCACATTAGGATAATCAGGCACATGTTGTGAGCACAAGCATGTACTGAAGACGTATATCTACCAAACACTCCCTGTGTAGTACCATTGAAACTCACTCTCCCGTGGATATTAAGGTTGGTTTTGCTAATCCACAGCAGACAGTACTCTCAGTTGTGGGGGGTTATTCCCAGCTGATGGAAGCATCAACCTCATCAGCAGCTCGTCAAACTTGACAGTGGTCAACACAGGGACATCTTTTCCATCTTTAACAGTGGAGTTGTGTAAAATCATTTTCAGATAAACAAGGAATTATGGGTATTATTTAAAGTCATAACTGATGATTTTTACTTAAAAATATGAAGTTGTGTGCATTTCCTTACTTTCAAATCAAGAAATGTCAGTTTGTGTGGATAACCCCTTAACTTGATTGTCTCTAACATGACTTTGAAGTAGCACTGTCAACTCTTAAAAAATCTATTGTGATTAATCACAGTGTGGCAAACTCATATGTACTTAAAACTTTCTAGAACAAACCATGTGCTACATTAAAATGCAAAGAAACCAGCAGCCTACCAAATAATCTTTAGGATTTTGATGGTGGTGTCTGGGGTGGAGAATCAGTTATCAAATGGAGCCCTGGCCACTTATTGGATTCACCCCTGCTAGAGCCAAGATCACCTGAGCCTGTCCTTCTCATCGTGCACAAAACTTTGCAGTATCATGGATGCAAAAACTGTTCTAGAGCAACAGAAGGTGCCTGTTTTCCATCTAGCCTAGATGCCCAATATCTCCTGTAGTGACAATTTTAAAGTCAGATTACTCCATTATGCCTAATGCATAAGGTATGTCTCCACATGCTGTGAACGACTCAATCAGGAATGATTATGCAGGGCTGTGAGAAGACAAATGTCTCATCTGTGAGTCCATAATGCGCTTCATTGTCAGTTTTTTCACTTTAATGAAAGAAGTTGTTCAATTTGATAATCCACAAACTTGTAGAGAAGCATTTTACAAAGTTGAATAACTCGTCATTGCAGATGTCTGCTAGATTGCTTTTTGCTGGTTGTCCACAAGTTCTGCATTGTCTTTTTTGCCCTTCAGGACTACATTGCTGTTCTTTGTCTTTATTTAATACATTTCAGGCCAACTTTGGTACATTTAATCACAGGGGTTAATGTCAGCACCCCTGCTTTTAACACATTACACACAAGCAGGACGTTAGGAACAAAAGCAAGCAGTACCCTGCATGAAGTAAAGATTGAAAGAGATTCACCACTTCTTGATTGTAAAATATCAAAGAATTAGCAGGTTTCTTATCTATAAGACATTATATCATCAGAAAATCAGGAGAAACCGAAGAAAAAAAGGTTTGAAATAAATACTGAATTACCTGATCTTCAGACCCTCAGGCAGCTCCACAGCAAAAACAGGCATGACTCTAAATCACTACATGGGCTCAAAATCCCATCTCAAAACCGCTGTTCGTGCACTAGGTTCATCACTGCATCCACAAATGCAGGTTAAAACTGTACTTTGCAAAGAGGAAACTATATGTAAACATGATCCAAAAACCCCAGAGACTTCTCTGGACCCGGAACCTTCATGACGGACTGGGGGAAAGTGGTAAACTGTGCTATGGTCTGATGAATCAGAGTTTGAGATTCTTTTTGTAAATTGTAAGCTCTATGCTCTCACGCTGAAGAGGAGAGGGACTTATTACCAGCGCACAGTTCAAACACCAGCATCCCTGATGGTATAGGGATGCATAGGAGTTCAGGAGTATATTTAGGATTTGGAGCAACATCTGCTGCCATCTGACAATGACTTTCTCAGGGAAGACCTTCATATTTCAGCAAGACAATGACAAACCTAATTCTACATGTATTACAACAGCATGGTTCTGTTGTAGAAAAGACCTGCTGCTAAACTGGCCTGGCTGCAGTCCTAACCTATCACCCTTTGATAACATTTGTAGCATCATAGCACAAAAAATGTGACAAAAAACCTTTGAGCTGCTGTTCTTGAAGACTCCAAAATCAGGCAACTGGACTGTGTAGAGTTGAGAAGACGTTTCGCCTCTTATCCAAGAAGCTTCTTCTGCAGAACTGAAGAAGCTGATTTTGGAGTCTTCAAGAAAACCATGACCTGGATGAATGAGAATCTACATAGACACTTTGAGCTGCTGGAATCTCATTCAATCATGCAAGAATGGGACAACATTTCACTTTCTCAACCCCAGAAACTGATCCTCTCGGTGCCTAAGTGCAAACAGAGTTGTTAAAACAAGGGTTTGAGGGAACCACTCCACTACCCTTGCAATGTACAGTGTGTATATTTAACTGAACAGAACTGCACTGCTTGCAGCACAATTTATCTGACGGCAGTAACTTACTAGCAGTGACACTATGAATAACTTATAAATCTTCTCTAATGCTAATTTGACTGAGTTGAAAACAGATAGTTATTTTAAATTGAGATATCTGTTACAGATCCTTAATATTGAGGTTTTAAAAAGCACTAACTCTTCTGTTCTCACCTTGGTTCCCCCTCTGAGGTATAAATAATCCGCTGAACTTGAATTGACTCTAATTTACACGTTATGGACAGTTAGGAATTTTTTGTGCCTGTGTTGATGTTTGGCCAATGTATTCCTGCTTTGTCTTGTCCAATAAGAGGGGACAAAGTTTGAACCCTTTTGTAGCGGGGCCTCCTCTTGACCCCGTGGTTCAGTGTCACCCTGGTATGACTCAGGCTTGCGAGGGGCCTCTTCCTCCACGCATCACTCCCCAAACAGACCCAGTTGAGTGCACACTTCATTCAGAGGCCTCTAAATCTATTTGTTTGTTTGGGCTTTTAATTACTTGAAGCTGTACACAATGAGAGTGTGCGTGTGTTTGCATTTTATTCTCTTACAAATATCCCTCCTTGTAGCTGTGTGTGTGTGTGTCTCTGGCTGTGTTTGTGTGTGTGTGTGTTTGTGTGTGTGTTTGGGGGATATGAGTCCGCGTGCATGCGTCTGTGTACAGTCTGGCCTCACAGTGTGAAGGTGGAGTCATCTGCTGAGGCATATGGCAAACCACAGCCCCCCCTCCCAGACAGACGACCAAAGAAGCACACTGACCACAAAGCCTTTTGAGACCTTCTTCTAAAATGTTTCATCTCAGCCTCCTTTTAATCGCTTTACTTTTTTATGGTCTTCATTCACAGATACAGGAAAGTTTCATTGTGTGTGATCCTTCAGAAGAAGCTGTAGGTCGATGCTTAACTTTCAGAACAGCTGGGTTGTCACAACATGCTCTGGCTCCAAGCCTATATGCTCAGTGCACAGCGGCCTTGGCGTAGTCAAAAAAGGTAGAGTGGCTAACTAGCAGATGTCAGCTGTGGTGGGAGCGGTCCCTATGTCCCTCTCTGGCCTGGCCCCCAAACCCTTAATCTGTCCCCTCCCCCCTCCCCGCCCTGGGGAGTGAAGTGAATGAGCGAGGGGGAAGAAGAGAGAGGGGGGAAAAACTGGGACTGAGTCAGGTGTTTGGTGACTAAGCCAACATGGCTGTAATGAGAGGTGGTTGAGAAAGCCATCCATGAAATGACCTTATCATTAGCTCCAAATCAAATCACGGCGTCTTAAGAGAGGATACAAACTGATCAGCTGTGGTGTGCATTTCGCTCATTTGAAGTGAATGTTGTCAGTGTTTACAGTGTTTACAGTGTTTTGGCTCCCCTCTCTGTTGTTGCCTTTTCTTTGTTAATTAATTTAGTTAACGTGAGCTAACGTAGCCTTTGGAAGACCGTCTAGACTAGCAGCAATGGGCTAGTTGTCCGAGAAAGCACCGGACTTCACATCCATTATTGAGCAGCTTGGGAAGTTGAGCAACTCACTGAAAGCCTCCTCAGAGCAGCCCAGTGCCACAGTCCATCTGAAACTTTAATTAGGCTTGTCCTGGCTCGGCCCTCCTACATCATAATACCTCCTGCATCCCCATAAGTAAACACACACACACACACACACAAACACAGAATATACTCCTCCCTAAATATATCAGTGTATATCTTCACTGCTGCACGAAATAAGTGGTTTCCCAACCTATGCAAACACTTTGATCCTGTGTTTGGTCTGCAGACTGTTGAATACATCTTAATACAGGTTCTTTGTAATAATCCATCAACCATAGACACAAATATATAACTGCAGCTAAACATTAATTCTCTTCACTCCTTTAGATTGAGGACAAGAAATCTATCAATAGCCTTTTTCTTTTTTATTTATCTACTTTGATTACTTTAGAGAGGCTTGAAAACTTTTCCGTGCACAAAGTGACTCACCAAAGTATTAAATTTCCAAAAATCTTGTCTTTCTGACAATTGAAGGAAAAGAAAAGCAGCTGATGTCATTTGTTATCTGACCAACATAATGACAAGATTTGACTGTTTATCAATGACAGCCATAAACAGCATTTTCACTGATTGAAAACCGCCACATTTATGTCCTGCTCATCTGCTGTTAATTGTTTTACTTAATAGTTAATTGCAAAATTTCAACAATAGCTTTCCCTACAGATTATCTTTCAGTCGTCTGAAGAATTCAACTATTTATAAAATCAGGGCATCCCACTTTATCATCATCATGGCTATTTTAGCTGTTTGATTTTTTTATGTGACTGTGTGTTTCTAGAGTAAATAAGGTTTTCAGAAGAGCTTCATCTCATTTTCACCTCTACAATTAAAGTATGTTTATTTTTTCTCATATATGGACTTTACTCTTCTCCTTCAGGGTTATGTACTAAACTTTTGTGCAGATTATGCTCACATGGTGATATGGATTTTTAAAAGTAGTGAAACCATGAACAGCTCCACGTCATGTAGCCAAACAACTACAGGGTGCATTAATATCTGCGAACTTCAAGGAGCCATGGTTTGTTTCAGATAAATTCTGTGTAGGATGTTCACTTGGCTCTCATTGTGACCTCACATTAGGTGATGGTCAGCTGATTCCTGTGGTGTTCAGAGGATTTACAGTGATGAAATCTGAGCTAATTGAGCCAGCATGGACTTTCTTGATGAACTGAGGCGACTCTTTGTTTGAGTGTCCTCTCAATAATGTATAAGATCTCTCATCAGATGTACAGTTGAGTTGAGTGTTCTCCTGATCACCCCCTTAAACTTGGTGGCTTTGCAGCACATGCATGTTTCACTGTTGTTATTTGGCCCCTCAGACCGTACATTCAAGCTACCCTGTGTGGACACTTTGGATTCCTCCAACTTTGAAACTTCTCTGTCTTTGGCAAGGATCCTGGTCTTTGTATTGAAATAAGCAAAGAAAGTTGTAATGGCCCACACAGATGAGTACAGATAAAGTTTCAACTGACCCTCTCGCTGGCACAGACGCTATTGGCCATATCGTGCCATCAGTGTTTTGAATAATTTGTCGTATCCAAACTCTTACACTGCTTTAATTGCTGCATTAGCGTGACCTCAGATAGCCTGAAAGTGCCGGTGGCTCTGGCTGGTGGGATATGCATACTTTAAAAGTAGGACAAAAATGAAAAGGAAGAAGAAAGAGTGGGGAAAAGACATGAAGGCATGAAAACTGCATTAGGCGGTGGCAGCCAACACAGAGAGGAGGATGTGAATGATTCAGGAGGCAAAGAGATTAATAATGCAGGACTCCCTCTTTCCCTCCATCCCAGTGTCCCTCTCTCTCTCTTTCCTTCCCTACCTTCCGCTTCCCTCAACCTCTGCTTCCAGCCTTTTGTATGTTTCTCCTTCATTCTTTCGATCTACTGTATTCACCCCTGATTTGTCCTCTCTGTTATCAAGTCATTGACCTAACCAGTAGGGGGAGCTCTCCACATCAGACCACTGTAGTTCTGTTCTTCTCAGTCCTCCCCTGCTGTGTACAGGTCTGAGAGCGCATCAACTTAGAGTTTTTTTCTTAAATAAAATAGTAGTTTGTTCAAATAAAACAATGTCAGAGTGCAGCTTCTTTCTTTAGTCACGCATCTTTTGTAAGGTGTATGTCCGCTTTATGGCCCTGACATCACCTGTGTGACCCCTATCAGTGCTCTTTCCCCTCACACCTCATAACCCTCACCTAAGCCAGGGGCACAAATGACCTGGCCACAGGAAATGATGACCTAAATTAATTGCAACACTGATGGCCCGTCAGGAGGCTTTTAATTACCTGCTCATGTTTCTCCCCCCCCCCCCCCTCCCTCCCTCTCTCCCCTCTCTCTCCCCCACTCTGGGTCTTACAGGACAGAGCTCTAATGGGCAGCATAACCAGGCTATGTGACAATGCCATCGCCCTGGAATCATTCAAAGGCTCTGAGAGAGAGACCAACCCACTCTACAAAGATTACCATGGTAAGAACACACACACTCGCTTATCTTTCTGTCTCTTTTCCAACAAATACACACACACATATACACACTCACACACACACATACACAGGCAGTGCATTAAGGCTGGGGCTGGGCTGTGGATGGAGGCAGGGCAGCCCCCTTGCAGGCCAGGCTGTCAGTGCGCGTTAGTGTGCTGCTGCTCAATCAGACGTGCTCCTCAGTAGACAGGCCGGGGGGGATTCAGCTGCCACGCTGTACCCCCTCTCCCTCGCACCCTCACCCGCCTCCATCCCTGCCTCCTCCCCCCCTCCAGCAGAGCCTCTCTCCTCTCTCCCTCTCGCCTCGCCCCCTCTCCATCCCCAGTCCCATACCCCTGAGGCTCTGGAGCAGAGCAGACCAACGCAGGGGAATCGATATTCTCACCATCACTCTCTCTTCCTCTCTGCCTCCATCTCTCCATCCCTCGCTCAATGTCTCCATGGCCAGCATGCTTTGCTAATAAATGGAGGGCAAGGCTTGCACTAGGGGAAGAGGACACCGGTAAGGGACGATGGGAGAGTTGGAAACGAAAGAAGTGGAGGAGGAGGAGGAGGAGGAGGAGGAGGGGTGGCCAACATAGTTTGTCCCTGCTCTTCTAGTCCCCTCCACCACTTTTCCTCCACCATTCTTCCCTTCTCTTATTTGCTTCCCTCTTTCTATCACTCTATCACACTCTTCACGCATAAAGGTCAGTTTAAGCGAGTGGGGTATTTTTAGCCATGCCTCTCGAAACTCTCCCACTCACTCTTGTGCTTTTCCTCTCATTCCCCCCTTCCCCCCTCTCCGGGTTAGACAGCCCTGGTTGTGACAGATGAAGAGATGAGGAGTAAAAACATTCAATGGCAGAATTTGGTTTCATGTGACACCATGTTTTATTTAGATTACACATCCCATACATATCAGATTCCTCTGCATTGTTAACCCGGGAAGCTCATAAGCCCATTCAACCTGCCAGTGTTGGAGTGCGTCATTTTTTTAAAGAGTTTTGTATTTCAAAAATGTTCCTCGCGCTATTTGCAATTAATATTTTTTGAATTTCTTGTTGGTGAATATATTTGCCCTCTGTTTAACCAGCCAGAGAAATTCTGGTCGGATTATGAAATACATTTATGTGCATGATTGTTTTGATGTGTGTTCATGAGTGCAAACGCATCTGGTGTGAGAGTGCGCGCGGACGCGCGTGCGTGCATGTTTGCGGCAGCAGTTCAGGGCTGCTCAAAGCATGCTGGGAAACCTGTCACTGCAAATCAGGCGAGGGGAAATCACCCAAGTGCACAGAGAAGAGAACCCACCATCCCCCACTTTCTCTGTCTGTCTCCCTTTCTCCATTACCCCCTCGATCTCTTCTTTTCCCTCTCACGCCCAGCTATACCAGCCTACTTTACCGTACTTTTATAAAAATGTAACTTTGTGGTGAGAGCAGAATGAAGAAGAGTAACAAATAGCCCTCAGCGTCCCCGTATCCTCTGCAGGAATCCCTTGCTTGTGTATTTGCTTTCCGTCGCTCATGCTCCTATGTGTCCTTTAATTGGCAAATATCCTTTACAGTAGCCACATGCTCCAGCCTGTGGGGAGGAAAGAGAAGAGTAGGGACGCTGAGATGGGAATATTAATAAATACCAAATGACCTGCAGTTTCTCTAGCAGTTTCCTCATACTGAAAGTGATTCATTATATTTGCTTTAAAACTCTCATTTTTGTAGTTCCTGTCAGTGGAGTTAAGTGTAAATATGTTACTTAGTGAAAACAGAAGTGTGGAAAAGAGAGGTATTTCTTGTGTTAACTCAGTTAAGTTTCCTTTAATTTTAGTTTCCAGATTTAATTTAATTGCATAATCTAAACAGAATATAAACTCAATGTAAGCATAACATTTGTAGATTTTTATTTGAGAGATTCAACTTCCTTTGACCAACACAGATAGTCTATGAATGTACAAAAACCTGGATGACGTTTTGAAGGACTTTTTTGCAATATTTGTACTGAAACATCCCCTCAAGACACAGACATTTTGAACAAACAACGAAAAAATTGTGCAACTGTGTGAAAAATGTACAATGCACAGACAGAAGTAAGCAATAAATCTCCAACAACAGGTGTGTTGAGCCGTAAAATGTAAGTTAATTTCTCAAAGATGTCTTAAGCAATTTTTTTCTGACTTTAACATGTTTTATTTTGACAAAAGCGCTCTTCACTAAGGTGTCCAATTAAAGAGAAATGTTTGTTTTTGAGAAAGCACACATATTCCTATTAGCGTCTTTACGGCTTATAATAAAAGTAGCAGAAGACCTTGCATATGCATGTACTCAGACTGTTTTTTTAGCCTACCGGTATTTATTTTTCATCTGCTCTCTGTGTTTTGCAGGCCTGCTACATGTACGCCAAATACCTCAGCTGAACTGTCTGGCGAGTAAACTCCCCGACCATAAGGACCTGGCCTTTAAGCTGAAGAGAAAGCAGTTCACGATTGAGGTATGTTGTCTATTTTACTTGGCATAAACAAAACCCAGCACTCAGTAGTTGAGGCCTCCCCTTTAATTATTGATGCTGTCTCCTAGATGAATTATTTTGTTGTATTTGGGTTGCCCCAGTTTATTCCTGTAATTTATTTTCATAACTTTTTAGGCCAAACCCTAAAACAGTGGCTGTGTTTAGATACAGGGCAATCATAAATTAAAGAGAAGAGTTTCCTGTGGTACAGGTCATCACACTCACAGTGGTGTTGAACTGAAGTGCTGATGATAATGAGAAGTCTTTCTTTTAGCTTCAATCTGTCAGCTTATGTTTACTTTTTTACTTTAGTTTTTTATCGGGTGTTAAAATCAAAGGTGAAGTTATTGATTATACACTGCTGCTGCCACACTTGGTCTGCTGCAATGTCAAAAGACATCAGAGGGGAAGAAAGAGAAAGTGTACTCATAAATATGCAATGAGTAAAATACCAGTGGCAATATATGTTTTGCATTTTTATCGTAAAGAGGATAAACAAGTCTCTGTCCATCCACTGTAAACAAAATCAAGCAACTACAACAAACAGGGTAACGTGAGCACAAACATTTTGGCCACAATAGCTCTCAGAGGGGACAGGCTCTGTACAGGAGGTGCTGCCTACTTTGTCTGGCAGGTTGTTGTTTATTCACTCCCAAGCTAGCAGCTGACGCTTTGTAGGAAAAAGAGCAGTACAGGTCAGAATTACCTTCCTTTGGACCACAGAAGGGTTAAGGGTGTGCTGAGGTAAAGATAGGTGCAGTAACAATGACCAGAAATTCACATTGATTTATTTTGCATTGCTCCATATACTGTATGTAACTCCAAAATATGATTGTAAGCACTTTTACATGTTTGTGTATTATACCCCTGAACATGTGAAGGGACTGCAGCTGTAGGATGTTGGGTCTTGAAGCCTTTATGTCTGGCTATTGGTGACCTCATCCCAGTCAGCTTCCTAAATAAGTCCTCCATTTACCAAAGGAGCATTGTTCACTTTTCCTTAACTGTGTAGACATTTCTACTCTTGTACTAAATTGGCAAACTTGTGGCCTTGAAACTTATCTTAGTGTTGTCTCTGTCAGGGCTGCTATGCATTTGGCAGCCTAAAGGAGGAATATGTGGAGTTTGTTTGGTCTACAGAAAAACCATCAAAGTTTTCTAAAACAAAACATAAAAAAATCATGAAAGCTGGACTTCAGACTTCTCAGGGCAATAAAATACGATTTCACATTTTCCTTCATTAATACTGATTATTAGCTAATAAAGCGCAAATATGTTCAAAACAAATCAGTTTAGCTGCGTAATTCTTCGTTTGTGTGGAATATCAATAGATCCGTTCTCTAAATCTAAAATTGTAATCTTCTTGTCAAGATGCCTCAGATCCTAAACTCCTTTTTCTTGGCTCTGTTCAGTCTTTAAATTACACACATCATCATGGACCAGATGCCTCCTTCAACAAGCTCAAAATTAAACAGAAAACAACACATTCTGGCTCTAGTTTTCTTCTTCTGAGTTTTTCAAAATATTTCTGTATTTGAAATTTAATGAACAAATGACAACATCCGGTTGGCCTATCACCTATCCAACAACCAATCAAATAGCAGTGGGGCAACAGGCAATCAGTCCCACTTGGCATGGACTTTGTGCCATTCAGTGTTATTGCCAAAGGCTTTGGGCATGCGTAATGCTGTTTCTTCTCACCCGGGGTACTTAACATCACAGACAATGTGTTATAACAACAAAGCTGCTTCCAATGCCAAGTGCACCTGAAAACACTTCATTAAAACAGTTTCCTGCTGACTTCCTTATACACTAATGGTTAATACCTGCACTTATCTCTAACTAGTTTGTATAAATTTATCCAAAATTTGTCATTGAAGGTTGTTAGTTCACCTAAAAACCCTTTTTTATGCTGTTTTATTCGAAGTCTATTTCAGGAAGACTTTGCTGTTTTTTTCTGCGACACATTAGAGCCAGGTGTGATGGATGAGTATTTAAATGAAGTGTTTTCTCTGTATTAATCGAACATGTAATATTTTGCTTCCGAGCCGTACAGCTTTTGGTTTGCTTGACCTTGTAACGCCTGCAGAGTATGACATATAGACAACACAGCCTTTCCATTTCTTCCGTCATCTTGATGAATGATTCCTCTACTTCTAATGCTTTCTCTTCCTGTCATGGACGAATCCATTTTGCATGTGTCACATCATGATTCTCACTCAGAGCAATCAATCTGTCACTGAACTACCACTCAGGAGACAAATTAAGGGGCCCTCCTCTTAGCTCAGCCTCATGATTGGTCCTCATTACATTATCATTACCTTATCACACCCTCTGGGCCCTGGCTCTTAGTGAGTCCTATTGTTTCAGGCAGGAGGTGAAGGGGAGGAGAGGAATGCCCCCACTCCCTCCCCCCAAACCCCCCTCTACATCCTACGGTCAGCCTCTTCTCATTTGCTGCCAGTCTTTGCCATCTTTCTAACCCTAACTCCTGCCTGCATTTGCCCACTCCTCCTCCTTCCTCTGACCCCCTGAATGGGCCACTCAAGTAGAGATTTATTAGGTCCGTAAAAGTCAAGGTGGTTATCCTCAGTGTTCTTTTAATTAGGCCCCTGTATTTGGCAGGGCAGGGGGCCGAGACCTGGAGCATCTCTGTAGCTCTGTGGGGCCTAAATACTGTGTCACATATCCCAGCAGCGCATTGTAAAGACTGAGCTTTGTCTGCCTTGCTTGTTAAAAGGCTTTATTTGTCTATTTCTTTTATGTTGTCGTTGTCTTTGTGCAGTAATCATGCCTTTGCATTACTTTCTCACACATACCATTAAAAGAAAGCTCGTGTCAAACTCTGAGAGGGATGGATTGCCAAGGTAAGACAGCACAAATGAAACGTCAATCACCGACTTTGTCATGACAGTTTTATATGTGTCAGGGAATTTCCCAGAGAACATTGTATCGTATCACCAGTCAAGCATCAAATCAATCAAAACACAGATTAGTCATGTTAGATGGTGTTATGCTCTTGTGTTCTCTGAAACTTTGATTGGCTGTCATTAATTTGCACACCACCTCAGGTGTCTCGAAGGCGTGAGTGCAGCTTGGCTCTTTGTTCCTCCTTGCAGAGGCATCGATACATACAAACACACCTGAGTATGAGATGCACGCAGCTGTACCGTTGTACCGACTTCTGCGTGGCTCTGTGTTTGACCTGCTGGCCGTCTGCCCTGGTGGGCCGCTGATTGACACATGAGATGGTGATTGGATTCTTAGAGCTGTGTCTGGAGTGTGACAGCTCACACCATCCCTGCTAATCACCTCATTTACTCAAGCTACAGGACTCCTCCGCCTCAGGCCACGTAACGCAGCATTCTCTTACTCAGTTGTGGTGTTCAGGATATCATAGTCGTGATAAGCTTATCCCCTGCTGCTGCACTTATTTGAACTTTTGACTCCCTTTCCGTACATTTAAAATTCAGCGTATCTTGCCACGCACTGTGTATCATCTATCAGGATTAATTCGTGATGCGGTTGCGGTGACTGACAGGTGATTGACAGCGCCAACTCCTCACCAGTTGGGTCAAGCAGCGACACGTCACCTGAACAGTGCACAGAGTCACGCTCGGTAATACATTTCTTAACCGCTGTGTGAGTCAGGCTGGTATCACCTAGCGCCCCAGGAACGCGGAAAAAAACATTTGTTGTGCCGGCACACAGAGTTCAGTTGTTTATGATAATTGAATTCTCTTAATTGGAGGTTGTAGTCCATTAATTCCCAACCCCTCACTCAACACCGTCATCAAGGTTCTGTTGGTTCTGTGATAAGGTTACCACGGCAACAGTTGACATCTCAGAGAGTTCAAGCTACGGTTGATGAGCAGTTATTAGCCACGACGCCTGAAGCCAGAATTAACCCATGGCCCTGTCTGAGCAGGTAGGGGAGCGTTAGGTGTTTAGACAAGATTAACACATACTCATAGACACACACACAAACATTGCACGCCCCCACACACAGATATTGACATTCATGCAGCAGCGCAAGAGCATTCTTATCCACAAACTCACGCATGCACACATGTAACACGCAATGTGTGTGAGAATTCCCTCGCTCACTTGGATGAGGCCGACACGGGCTCTTGTCACCAGTTTCACAATGCAGGATGCTTTGAGGTTGAGGCTCTGAAGAATGCAGATGGTACGCAATTACACTCTGCTTACCTCTGTTTGACCCTTTAAACTGACAGGCAATGTGCCTGTGGGGTACCGGGGTGCCAGAGGCAGGTCAGAGGGTCAAATACAGTATAAGACGGGGATTTGTGTCAAATTAGTCTCTTCTTAGAGAGGTTGTATGGAGGTGTCTGTTGCGCTGATGAGCCCTGTCACCTGGATGGCTGAGCAGTCTGTACATACGTGTTAGCTTTAAGGAAAAGTGAAGTTTGAGAGCTTTAGTTTCATGATAATGGTTTTCGTGTTTTTCCTACGATATTTCAAAAAACTCATGGTAGAGAGTCAGTGAGGGATGATTAAGGAGCAGCAGGTTGACCAATGATTGAAGTCCTGAGACCAAATTTAGAGGTAATTCTTCACCTCATGTCTCATTGGTGAATGATGTCGTTATGGTAACTCACAGTTTCTGAATACTATCAATGTAGGTCAAACTAATATTCATGTCAGAATCCCAAATGAAAAATTATTGTTTTTGAAGACTTTTTTTTTTCTTTCATTTCTGGGCTACAGCCAAATTATCTCTGTCATTGATAACTCTGTGTTTTCTTGATGGATTTTGTCCAAAACCCCCAGCCCCTTCGTCTACTATCACAAATAAATAATTAAAACCTCCAATATCTGCATTTGTTCACATGCACATTTTTGTCATATCTGCTTAACAATGACTAAAATAATGAATTTCCAACATTTAACTGACTATTATTCTCTCTTCAATTAAAACATTGCAGCTCTGGTTAAAAAAGACTGAAACACTGGCCGCATTTTTATTTGTCTTTTTTCCTCCAGTTCTGTTCACACTCACATACCTTAGCTGCTCTCCTTTTATTTACACACTGTCACCAGCCCCACTCTTTCTCTCATCTGTGTGTCTCTGACCTTTTTAACAGTAATTATCAGCAGCTTGGTTTATACACACCCAAACAACTTTGGTTTTACTCCAAGTTAGGTTATCACAACAGGTGGTCTGGATATGGATAAGACTTGTCAATGGTAATGAAAACTAAAAGAGTGTATCATGATTTCACAGCAGACAGCTGCACATAACTTTTGAAAATATAGTTTGAGAATAGGGCTTGGCAATATGGCCTCAAATCAATATCATGATATATTGAGCAGTTCACTTCAATAACGATAAATGGAAGATAACTACTCCACAAGCTGCTCACCCCCTCCTACATTAACTTTGTCGACTTCAGCCGCTGCTCCAGCTGCTACAACTTTTGAACCGCTCTTCATCTTCTCACGTGTCTTTCCCTTTTTGTTATGGACTGGATGGGGTGGAGTCATGTCTGACGTAGGACAGCGTCTTAAAGGGACATGAGACCATAGCCTACCTACACACATCCAAAACCAACATTTATTTATTTATTTATTTGGCACTGAATATATTGACATGGGCCCTATTTGGCTATTGTATCTTCAGTATAGTGCAGAGACCATAAGAGCTGGTCTACATTGCTGATTTCAGATGTGATCATTTATGGACAAAAAAAGTGAAGAGATCTGAGATGCACTGATTGTTAATATCAGGGCTGATATGATACCAGTGTTTAAAACAACAGTTTAGCTGACAGTCAGTAGTCAGTACAAAAGTTTTTTGGCATTACTTCTTTGTAGCCAGTTGGCATACTTAGTTGCCAAAAAACACACTGGAGGCAGCCCGCCCAGGTATCGTCTATGTGTGGGAAACACTTTTTAATCTGACTCAGCTTTTTGCCAAAAGGCCACATCCCTTATCCCACAGGGCACTGATCTTGGGCATGACTGCAAAGACTGTTTTAAAAATTCCCTTATTGTATTACTAGCTGCCATGTAGAGTTTTGGAATCTGACTGATCAAACTGGACCCCTAAACTTTCTTTTATCATCCCCCTTGGATCTGAGACAACCAACTTTCATTTCAAATATACATCTTGACTCATCTCATGAACTTCCGTCCCACAATGCAGAAACTTGGACTCAGCTCTCTCTGTAAATTTTTAAGCTAAATGGAGGGGAAGCCAAGAGGGTGCAGAAAAAGGGTTTAGAGATGGAAATGGTACGAAGGAGATGACGACTTGAGGAGAAAAGGAAGCTGAACTGAAAGAGTCCGAGGGAGGTGTGTAGAGTAGGTTAATGTTTCTTGGCATGTCCTCAAAACGTCTTTAAGACATCGCCAGTGTCTGCCCCCTGTTGAAGCCTGTGGGTGCCGAGGGAAGGGTGTTAATGGACCTATGTGAGGAACAGAGCGAAGGCTTGGAGAGGAGGGGGGAGGCATGAGCTGAGAGGAGCAGTTAAGTGATTCTCAGGTCAGGTCTAATTAAAATGAGGCCTTTTCCTCAGAGGCACCAAACCGTCTTATTGAGAGAGAAATAAAAAGGGAGGAGAGGAAAGAATCGTAGAAAGCAGAATGGGTTAGACAGAGAGCCAGTCCTCAGGGCTTGTTTGTGTACTTGTTTATATGTGTTTTTGTACTTCATGCCTGGTCCTATATCTGCTTCCCCATGTCTTAAATAATGCTTAGTACCAAAGATCAGAGAACAGCCAATGTTATAAGAACTCGCATGGAGAGAGAACTGGACTGGGTCATTTAATATTTACTTCCATTAGTAGATTAAAATGACTATGTACAGGCTGAGAGTCCACTAAATACGAACAATAGGCTCTCTGCATATCCTGAACCTTTTAGGGACTTACAAAAAATTCTTAGCTTCTCTGTAAAACCGCCTCTGATTCCTACATCTGTCTTGGGAATCACAATCAGATGGGAATGGACCTCTGCAATAATATTCCAATTGAATAATTTATACTTCCTCCCTCAGTGCACACCAGCCTCTGTCGCATTTTGGAATGAGGTGTGCTTATGGTTGGTGCGTGTATGAGAAAGAGAGAGAAAGAGAGAGCTTGGTGCAGGCCAGCCGGTGGCACGCGATCGGACCCCTCAGCATAACAATATTCACCACATACATCAGATTTGCATCAATTATTTAACAAGTATTTTATCTATTCCGCGAATGTGCATGTGTGTTTGAAAAGGGCCAGCTTGTAAGGTCTCTGTGCTGAGTCTTGGGTGTGTGGTAGGGACGCTAACGTGTGCATGTTTTAAGGTTTGTTTGTTGTGGTGCCTGCAAGGTGGGACATTCAGGTTTTTCCTGGAAGCCTTAAAACCCCTGAGGTGTTTTCAGTTGCGCATGAAACAGACTTAAACTTAAACTGATGTGCCTGTATGAGGACTACATAAGCTACAGATCAAATAAGACCATCAGTGGAAATTTGTGTTCTTTATGTCTAAAATAGCAGCTTATACTCAAGACACAGTTGGATTTTTTTTTTCTACATTTTCCATGGCAAAGGATTCAGCATGTGACTCATTTTACTGTTAAAAAAAGCAGGATGAGAGTTTGTCTAAAAACATGTACAGAGCAAGATCAGCAAAAGGACTTATTCACAGAGGACACCAAAATCTACATCCAGGGTCTTCAGTTTTTTTTTTGACGACACAGATCAGACAGCAACTGTCATAATTTTAAGGGAAGAACTATTACACACCTTGTTGCAGTCCTCTCATACTATCATGGGAGGATAAACTAAATACAGTAAAAGCACAATACTATGCTACAGAAAATGCTCAATGACCAAAACTTTAATCGGTGTGAGTCATGAGTCCGCTTCCCTGAACTAAGGTGGCTGTGCCATGAGGTTATACGTTTGAGTGACAGGTGCAGCCTGTTTCTATATTTAGTCTGCTGCAGAGTGATAAAAACCATTTTTATGAAACTGCGGTCTGTTCTTTTTTTCAGTTGAATTCAGCTTTTTTTTTCCTCTCGGTGTCTGATATCCTCACTGTCTGTGGGCCTTTTTTCAGCACCACCCTATTGAGAATAATTCTTATAATCTGTGTCGTCATGTTATCTCCCAGTAACTAAAAGTGACCTCTCACCCTGCATGTGCAGCTGTGATCCACTTTGACCTTTGAGGCAATGGGTTCATGGTGGATGACTTAATATGAAACCAAACTTTCAATTCATATTGGAGATAGACTGATCAATCAGTTTGCTGATAAACACATTCACACAAATTTACACATTTTACCCATACCCAATGACAACTCACCTAATCTAAACATGAAAGTCTTTTTTAAACTTTAACTAAAATATGTACAGCTTTTCGTTGCTCATTTGTTAGTGTCACTAACTACTTTGTCAGTGTTATATTAGCACTGTTAATTGGCCATTCGCAGACCTGCTTTCACAACATCAGTATCTGCTTCGATGGTTTAAAACACTAATCCATAGACCAATAATTCCCAATCCATTCAAATCATTGGCCCAGTTATTTATTACAGTTCACATTAAGCTAAACATTAAGCCATGGTGAACAAGATGTCTGCAGGCATATCTGTCTCTTCTTCTCTGATCTTTGGAGTTGACACACCTTCAAACATACAGGCCACAACGCTGACAACTTTTAACATTTTTGCTACAATTACTACTGCTTCTTGTATATGTCATTTGGTCGGCAACTTGACGATGTTCTCACCAGCTCTGTCATCATCAGGATTGCAAGGCAGGCTCTTGCTCCGTTGACCCCCTATCAGAGATAGTTTGAACTTGCTGTCATTACTTCTGAGAGAGTCAGCCCAAGATGGAAACCCACATTTTTTCCACAGTGTCATCAGGTTGAGGCGAAATATGGAATTAAGCACTGTTGTTATGAGGTTTTGACCAATCAGAATAAAGTACCCTACAGCTGGGTGATACAGAAATTAAAAGTTCCATGTAGGAGCTCTGCCAAATACTTCTTTAAGAGTCTCCTAAAGTCAGAAATTCAAACCCAGTTTCCAGTTCAAAATGTCGAGAAACTAGTCATTGTAAGCTTTTTTAGAGTCTGACCTAAAGAGGAGGATTAACTTGTCCCAAGTCCTGACAAAGTCAGGTTTCAGAGATCATTAAAGACCCTGGTAAAAGTAATCCCCCATGAGTTTTATTTTCATCAAACACCCTGGGAGAAGGAGCGTACTCACTGAAGTTAGGTCAAAGCTCAGCCAGAGAATATCTGGGACTTTGCCAAATGTGCTGCCCTCTATACCATATCAACACAACGCCGAAACATTTCTCACAAACAGGCAGCAATAAAGGCAAACAAAACAGGGCATATGTGCTCCTCCTGCCACACTGAGTAAGAGTGCAGACTGCCTGAACTCGCCCTGGAAGTGAAGCTGTTTCATCAGTGAGCAGTGAACCCTTAACATAGTCCATGCACCACTCAGCCCCCATCAGACCAGACGGGCCACACTGGACTCAGACCTGATTAAAGTAGCCCTCGTTGTCTTCAGCTCCCATTAGAGTGAGAGAGGAGGCTGTAACATGCATTCCTCTCTCCGTCCATGGGGTCTTATGGCACTATAGGGTATGTGTAAGAGTGGTCAGAGAGGGTTCACTATTAGCATAATGGTAGTGACTGGGGAACCATAGGCCCCCTGGTGCTTATAAACTGGGTCTTCACTGATTCTTTGGTGTCTGCCTCATTTTATTGTTATCTACAAGGCTTTAAAGGGACAGTGCGTATTCTTGCCTTAGGTCCATGAACTTTTGTACAAGTCATGAAAACTGTTTGCAGGAGTGGTAAATGTGTTGACTTAAAATCCTCACAAACCCTTTGCTGCTTTTTCTCACAGTCGAGCAGGATTACTAGTTCACCATTTTCCCCCGGTTCTGGGATATGTACACCCAAAACTTAGGCTTGGTTATTAATACAATGAACAATCTGGAAATGTAGTCATCAAATCAACCTTAACTTTTATTGTGTTTTCAACTGGATATAAGATAGTCTCCTTTCAATACTAATACCTGCTGACAGTTAGCTTTGTCTAAACTTTTACTCCCATTATCTGCCGATGGGCAATTAGGATTATTACAGCACACTGACCAAAGGGCCTCTTCACTGTTTTCTACTGTTCTGGTTTGTAGCAAGTATTGTGGTTCAGTTTATGGGAAAGAGGGAGAAATTATCACCATGTGTAATGACAATATATCTATAGAGAATCAAAGACTGTGAGACAACTGGCTTGTATCAAAGCTTTCTTGTTGGACTTGCTACTTAGCCTTGTTTTGCTCTTGGCTTAGTATTAGTAGGAGTCATTGGCTGTATATAGATTAGACAATGCGCTTTCAATCCTGCTTATTGTGAGATCTAAAGCCAAAGTACCACCCTGATGAGTGCTGACATACTCTGCTTAAGGCATGCACAGAAGTGCATCATACTCCTCATAAACTCAAACTCACTGAACAGCAGAGCAGACGCCTTTTAGTTAGTTTGAAGCAGAGAGTAATGCTAAAGGAAAGTTCAGTGGTTCTTGTTTCACTGTACATTATATTTTCTCTTACCATACCTCTAATAGGTTAAAGACAGCCACAGGAAACTGTATATGTCAGCAGATTCAGCCAATCATCCTTTTAAGATTAAATGATGAATCTTAACTGAGAGTTGAAAAATCTGTACTCCAGATGCACAACGATAGTCAGTCAGCACGGAGATCACCTGGTCACACACGTGAACAATGTGAACAAACTGATCACGATGGTGCGCGGCAACCCTGAGCTATAGGATACAACTTTTTTTAGAAAACAAGATCACTGTGAGAAAAGTGAGTGAGGAGGTCAGATTGTCTGATGAGTTGTAAACCATGACAGATCCTCACTGTGTAGTAATCAAATTAGTTTTATAGGTTAACAATGTACTAAATGGTAAAGTAGAGGAGGCGGGTTTAGGAACCACTGCTGCCAGTCACCAAGGGGAGCTTTATTGAAGTTATAGCTTCAACTGGACATCTACTGGTGTGTCAACTTTATGTATGGTTAGTGAAGACAAAACATCACTAGGAATATCTGTAACTATACGAGTAAGTGTTGCAGAGTACATGAATATGCAAGGCTCAGATTTAACAAAGTGTGTGACAATGTAAAAATTAGTCCAATCATCACCTTCATCATCAACTTAGTTAAAAAAAAAAACACCTTAACCTGATCAAAACCTTGATATCATCCTGCACACTACCTTTGTAAATAGTTACCACCAACATCAGCAAAAAACAAAAGCCCTGAATGATGCTTTTGTATGAAATACATCAAGTAAAACCATACATATGTGATTAAATTAAAGTGTACTTCTGTATTTGCAGCCATTTTAGTTTTTTAAAAAGCTTAATTGTTCTTTCCAAGAGTCCAAACAGTCGAGGCTTCAGTTCATGCTCTTAACAAAGTCCACTCTGAAACTGTCCTGACAAATATTGATATTATCACTGAGAATGATTATAATAAGAGCTGTAAAGATGTAGCTGCTGTGATTCTTAATCTAAAGAAGTCTGAATGAGACAGCCCCCTCCCTGCTGTTGGTCCACAGAGAAAGTTAAAATTGCCATCACGGGCACAAACAGCTCCACGGTCGGTGCGGTTCAAAGGTGGAATGTTGATCCGGAGCAGGACCATCAAACTCAGGAAGGCTCTCTGCTTGGGTCCTAAAAATAACTTTCCCACACTCTCACCGCTCGCTGTCCTGGGGGTCAGGATGAAGAGTGTGAGTGTGTGTTTCTCTGTGTGTCTCTTTAAATAATACCTGCGGTTTGCTGCTTGTAATAAGGATCAATTTAAAATACAGATCGATTGTTGACTGCTGATTCTGAAGTCTCTAAAACATTTAGTTTAGTTGGCGGTTCGTATTTACATTTTCGTTTTTGTTAGGATGGAGTTGAACGACTGGAACATTATTTGTTTTAAAACAGATTTGACCAGATTATCAATTATGTCTGATTGGATCATATTTGGGAGATAAATTCTTTTATCGTTTTTTTTAGTGATTCAGTATTTGGTCTTATCAAAGCTGTAGCCCCAAAACATAATCATTTATTTAGCTGAAAATCATAAATGCTAAGCTTTGTAAGACTGCTAACCTTAAATGTGAGCAGCCCATCATCTCTAAACTCCAAACAGTAGAGTCTGTGTGCTCACTTCATTTATTTGTTTGCGTCACAAAAAGTCGACTCAGAGATGCTTCATCAGCTGGACACTTCTCTTTTTTCCCAAATGCTTTCTCTGTCAGCAATCCTTCAATGAGTCCTGGTCTGACAAAACAAATTGGCAGTCTTGATCCTCTTTTGGTCCCTTTCTCTGCGAGCACACCATAAAGGCATTTGTTTCAGCTAATCATGGGAGCTACTTAACCCCTGCTACTGTGAATATGGTGGTATTTAAAAAGGATTCACCCAACAGTCAACACTGAGTTGTTTAAAGTGGTGTCGGCCATTGAGAGAAGCTGGCCGGCTGCTGAATGTAGAGGGGGCTCATGAATTTTATGAGGGCGAGTGTCCCCGTCCTTCAGAGTTCACAGGTGGCTATTGAAAGGCCCGGGCCAGATGATGGAGGATAGTTAGGACACATATAGAGCCCTGAATAGACTTAAATTACTCTGTAGATCAGTCAGAGGGCCACTGCAAGGACAAGCCTGCACATCAAAAGGCAAGTTAGAGGGCAAGGTGATGCTGCCTTATGGAAAAATTCAAGACCCCATCGGTGATTTAGAGTCAGTGGGTCCTGTGCAACAAAAATAGAACAGTTTTCTTTGTGCATTTGTCAAAGTTTGTGTGAGTGCTACCCAACACACATACGTTAATGTGTGAAGGTGGGGGAGGCAGTGTGTGGGAGAATACTCCAGTGTGTGGCTTAACCAAACTTTCCTTTTGTCCCTAACAATGATGAGTGATGATGAGTGACAGGGGTGTTAGGAGTGGGATCTGGGGAACAGAATGCGCCTAAGCAGTGTTCACCCAGACTCACACAAAAGGCAGCAAAAGGTCAAATCTGAGGCAAGCTTCTTATCCACTGGCATAGAATATTGCAGCATGTTATGTGTCATGTAATTGGCTAAAACATGTCATGTATCCGTCCTGGTTGGGCCAACAGATCATCATTTCTTCCTCTGCAATCCTGGACCTCGAGGTGTTTTTCTTAAGTATGCCAAATCCTTTAGATGTGGATTATCTGACGCATTTTTAGGAGTTTTATGACACTGAGCCTCGTTGCCCTCATTTGGACTCTGACATCTCCTCGTCTTCTGCTGCCCAAGTGCATATCAGTTTACCCCCTCTCTCCCAAGCAAGTCAGAAAACATGCACAGTTGTCCTTTTGTTACGCAAAATCCATACATTCTGCTTACACAGCCCAACTACACCCACGGAAACCCCTCCCTCCACCCCCTCAACCACACACACATTATGCTCCACCACTAGCAAGGGATGAGGCGGACTTGCGTGCAAGTGTTTCCCAGGAGGCAGTTGTAGACTCAGGGTTCTGAGGCCCGGGGATGGCTCTAGATGGCGGTTAGCGAGGAACCAGTATTTCTTTTTTTTTTTTTTTTGCCTGCTCTTCTCCTTCCCCTCCCCCCTTTCTGAGCGCAGGCAGTGATCGTAATGGGGGGTGACAGCTCACCTCTCCCTAGCGTGCCTACGGTCCTCGGAGCGTTAGACCCCCCCGCGTAACCCCAGCGCCACCCCCCCAAGTCCCGGAAGGCCACAAAGGTTACTCCATATGTTAGTCTGAGGATTCTTATGAATCTTTTTCTTTTTTTATGTCAGACAAGTGTATTTTCTGTTAACATTTATTCAAATCAAGTCAAATACGGCATCATTCTGCTTGATCCCATCTTCATAAATATGTGTCCTCTTGCTCGGAGTCTGTGTCATTGTTTCATTTTTTTTTGCTTTGTCATCCTCTGCCTCCTGTTATTCTCTATGAGCAGCGACTCAGTGATGTGAAAAGATCCAGGACCGGGAGTTTCACAACTATTAAAGGCTCCAATGTTTGGAGAAAAGAAAGTGATCTGATAGCCCGATGTTGTACACTCACTTACACTCACTGTTTGTTTTGGGACGTCATTTATGCTTGTTTCATTACACACTGTGAATGTTCACGTGTGCATGCATGTGTGTTAAGCACGCTGACAGAGTGCCCGCACACGCATTCACAACTTTACAACAAGTTTGAAGTCTTCTAACTGTTGTTTTACTACTTTATCTAAACTATTAAAAAAGTTTGGATTTTAGGTTTGTATGTTGAGTTAAAGTTGCGCGAGGAATACTTAAGGGCACAGCTTAAGAAAGTGAAGGTTTTACTTATTGAGGTGGTTCATTTACTCATATCAAAAAAATACCTGCTTACCTCAACAAGAAGAAAGATCCCACTGAATGTCACTCTGCAGTTTAATCTCACAGGACATGAAAGCTAACAACTTCCTTTGATGCACATCCGTAAAAACACTCAGCAGTCGTCGTTTGTGCTTTCTGCACCAACAGAAGCCTTCTAAGGAGACAGAAGATGTAATGCACAAAATTATAATTAAATCAGTACAGTGAATTTCTTGCAGCTCACAGCTTGGTGTTTGTGTGTGCTTTTGAATCTCTACAAGAGTGTTAATGCCTGTGCGAGTCTGGGATAACCAGCCAGTGAAATTGTATAATGAGTAATGTGTGTATTGAGAGCAGAGGGTTTGCGTGCTTGGATGGGTGAGGAATATCGCACAAAAGCATGTGTAGTGGTGAATATTAGAGCAGGAAGAGCGTTAGCAAGGTCACTTTGCGCACAGACAGAAGTGCTTTCCCATTTCTGACTCACTTGCTCTCTCTCTCTCGTTGAGTCTCTCTCTCTGTCTTTTGTCCTCTCCCTACTTTTTTTTTTCTTTTTTTAATTATAGTCAGCTTTTTAAGAGAGCTGCTCCCCTACATGTCGAGCCCTTATCCCAACTTAGCAGCCATCACATTCACCCTTTCACCTCATTTGCTATCAGAAACAAAGTCAGCTTGGCGTCTTGTACGCTGGTGCCTGTTAAAGGATGTTGTAATCATGCTGAACATTCAAGCTAAACTCAATTGCTGAAGCTCATTTGCCCCACCCCTACAAATAAAGAGAGAAAAGATAAGCAATCTAATTTGGATGGTCGGACAGAAGTGCACGCACACACAGCAGCAGCAGTGATGCTGTGGGAATCAATCTGCAGCGTTAGAATATGTGAGATAAGTGCCAAAGGGGGTGTATGCTGCTCCTCTGCATCCTCTGCAAACACCCTGCAGGCTAAAGTGGAATCCTGGCCACGCCCCACATATCACCCCATGTGACATTAAGGGATGCATTCAGCACATACTCAGGACACGCAACATTTTTCCAAGCTTTTTTTTTTTCAAATCCCCGTGAGAGCTCTACATATTTCTCAACGCGGCGTACAAGTGCATCGCCACTTCAGACCTTAACGGCAGCCTACATATCAGAGAGGAGGCACTGGTCTGGTGTAATCTGACTTGTCTTAATTACAGGCAGTATCCAGTAATAGGCTGCTTCCACAGATATCAGCCATTAGAGCGGTGTCTCTGACGGTGGAGGCCTGATTGGCTACGAGGCAGGTGATAAAGAAGCCATGCCTCATTTACCTCCAATTTTTTGTTCACACATCCCCGTATTAAAGTCAAGCGTGAAGATGGCAAAAAGACTGTGTTAAACTGATTTATTATGTGCTGCTTAGCTAATCTGCTCCTTCTGATTGCATTGTCAGCAATCAGTGCAGCTCTACAAGTAAATGATTTGACTGGTTGAAAGTTGTTTCAGCAAAGTTTGAAGATTTTATTAAACGTGTCTTTTCTGGACTCATTAAAATTGATAGCAGTCGGGCATTGTGACTTATCCTCCTTTTTCTGCTGTGAGCCAATAAAGGAGCCTCTCAGGCCTTTGGCTTGTCTGGTGTGGTTTCACTACCATACCAGCAGCTCTTGTCTGCTAATTGAAGTAAACCACAACAAGTGAACTCAAATAGACTCCACAATGACGTTCTCCCGTACATGACTTTGACTATTTCCTTTAATCTCTCTTAACAAGGGTTGACGTACAAACCAGTATTGAAGATAACAGCCTTAAAGTATTGATATTGAGCGAAAAATAAGCATACAGTAAATTGTAGCCGTCCTTTACTCTGGTTACCACGTCATTAAACAGAGGATAGACGAAGAAGACATAGCAGACCGCAAGTGAGGTGGCTGTAGCAGACCCCCGAGACATGATTTGTCTCTAATAATTTAACATTGATACTTTGTGTCTGTTCTTTTCACAGTTTTCACACTGCTTTGTAACTCACAATCTACTGGAAGTATACTCCAAAATAAAAGCATAGTTTGACAGTGGAGGAAATAAAGCGCAACCTAAAAGCAAGACAAAAAATATCAAAATAAAAGCATGACAGACGTTTGTTGAATGTTCTCGAGGCTGGTGATAATTCATTCATTTGAATATTGTTAGAAATGACATGTTAGGTAAGTGTTTATTAGTTAAGTTTATCAAATATTGTGTTCCTACACCCTTGTCTTGCTTTTCCTCAGTTTGACTGATCATGTTGTTCTGTCGCAAAAATAATCATGAGATGAAAATCTGATATCATGACAGGCCTAATCTGAGCTCACCGAACCTTTCTTTCCTCGCCAACAGTACGCACATGCCTTCTGACCAACTCATCCACTACTCTACTTTATCATGAGCTATGATGCTAACAATTTACACCGTTGTAAATAATGACCTGAAGAATATTGATTGGTTTACAATCTCTCCATCTCACCCTTTCACTTTGCCTTTGTTAGCTCCAGATTAGCAGCATGTGATATGCTGACATGATATGTTTGAGTAATTCCACAGTCGGCATCACCATCCATTTCAACTGCCATAAAACAAAGTCAGCCCATTAAAGGTAATATACCCATTATTAGTATGGAAATGAGAGCAGGAATGTGCTGGTGTACTGAAAGCTTGTCATATGAGTGACAGTTAAAGACACTCCTGGTTCAGTGCACTGTATTTAAGAAATGTTTGATGTTTTTCAAACTCCGTATTTGGCAGATTATGCTCGGGTGGCAGCTCACACCTTGTTGGTATTTAAGACAGATTTCAGCGGATATTAGCGGATTGTGGTGGCGGTTGCATTTAAGGGTGCAGCTCCCTCATAACAGGGAGGTGTCGTCTGCTGACAGATCACTGTCTGGATGAGAGAGCACAGCAGCATCCCACCTCATTACCGTAGCAACACACTAACCGAGGGACCGACACACTGCTCTCTGTGATTAAGATGTAAATTTCCTCTAATTGGAATGTAAATTCATACATTTATATGAAGACGTCAGCTGTCAGATTGCAATATTGTATCCTTTTTTCTCTGTCTCCCCTGTTCCCTGAACAGGGACTAGGTGCCTGTAATCTGTATCATACTCCCGCAGCCCATCCTGGGATTTGCCGTTTGTTTAATGTCGGGCCCATTGTCCTGCATCCAGCCCGTCATTGTAATGCTTCCCATTCATGTTTCTGTGTTTTGTTGCAGTCTGATTTGCTCTCGCTACCTGTGTTTGTTCCACCATGCATGGCTGAGCCGTCAGGGCTTTGGGGACGGGGAGGGACTTTGAGACGGGGCCGGGGTCATCGGGTGGCCGTATTTTGTGTGTGCATCGATTACTTCTGCTGAATGTTCCTCAATGCAAATAAGTCTGCCACTTTGAGAGGAAGCACATGTATCTGAAGTAATTAATTTTACCCTTGAATAACAGCTGTGGTGTTGGTGTGACGTGTTCCAAATTGAGCTTTCTCACCAAAAAGGTGTTAATTTAGGGCTTTGGCTCATGAAGTAAGTGTGTTTGCCAGTGTATATGGTCCATATCACTGAGATGTCTCTTGTTTGTCACAATATTACCTTTCACTGTGTTATGGCACATTGACATCTACTCAATGTGCCTCTCTCTAATTTAAATGTAACTGTAAAGATATCATGATGAGTGTACTACAGAACCACTCTTCACTTGTTCACTTTTTCAGTGCAGCGGGATAAAGGAAAAAATGATTATGTAGGTAATCCAAACCAGTCTTGCAAGTACTTTGAAATCCCATTTTTGTGTGCATATTTTTTAAGGAAGGGTTCTACACATTTCTACGACTATTAGGGGAAAACAAGTAAGATGATCGCCTCAGTACAGGAAGTATTTCTAAGTATGATGGCTTATTTATATCTGTCATGACAACTGAATACTTAGGACTTACACGGAATACTTCGCCTAGTTTGACAGAACAAGTCTTACCAATACTTGTCTCAACATGTCGTGCTTTCGAGGGGATCATCGTGTGCAAAGGAACAAAAAATATGTCACAACTATTCTGCTCATACAGAGGTTAGCAAACAGTCATTTGTCAGTGAGAGTCAAGGAAAAAGAAAACCGGGTAACACTTTATACAAACCACCTCTTATTAGCACATTTATCAAGCCTTATAAATACATTTATAGCCATCTTTATTAGTGATTATAAGGATTTATAACAGCACATTTCAATGTTTATGAAGTGTTTATCTACATTAAGGAATTACATTAAGGAATTTTGATTAACTTTGTCGTTGAAAAGCTGCAAAGGTCACAGGTGTGGTATAACCTGTACAGCCTGTGATAGGATTGATCAACACATGCATGAAGCTGCATTGGTGAAGGTGTGCTACATCAGGAACTGATGACATGAGACAGAGTAACCAAGAAAATCACCATTCAAAAAACACCCAGTATGCTTTAAGTGGTGCATTAATCTATGCTGTATGAAAGGCCGCTCTGTTCACACAGATATGAAATTCACCATAGTTCAGTACAGGTTAATTAGAATACATTATAAGTACATTATTGTAAGTCATAGTAAGGTGTTGCATGCAAATTAATGCAGCAAAGAGATTGTGACTTTGTATGACATAGCGCACATTGATAAAATTGCACAGATCTATAATCTTAATCCAAAGCCTCATATGTCATTTTGACAGACTTAAGGCAGCTGCAAAAAATAAAAACAAACCAGATATTTACAAACAAGCCCAGAGACACTGAGCTCATCATGAGTGTCAAAATTAATTTCATTTATTGTGTAAAGACAGAGGATGGCGTGCCAGGTCCCGCACACTGGACATGTTTTGATGAACATAAACAAAAGCAGGACAATTTCCCTTTTGTATTTTTGTTGATTGTGCAAATCATGAAGCATTTTTGGGCGTGAGCTCGAGGATCCTGCATGACTCCTGTACATTCCTCTTAGGCACAGGCAGCGTGTGAAACCTCACGGGTCACGCACACTTTCTTCGAAGCAGATTCAGTTTCTGGAATGGCAAAGACATTTTTACCAAATTTTCACACGCTTTCTAAAAACTGTTTTTCTGGTGAATAGAAAGTTTCTATGTGTGTGTATGTGTGCGTGCCCACAGACTTTCATCAGATACAAACAAAAGCATCAGACGGTGTGATGTGTTCACAGTGTATCAGTGTGTGAAGGGTGCTGCAGGCTTTGATAACAGCATGTGTAGGTGTTGTAGGGTGCAGAAAATTAAAAACACTGAGGTACCCCGGGGGAAACTACAGGCCACATCAGGCAAGGAGCAAATAGGGAGAAAGGGTGAAAGGGTTCGTCTATTTCAGGTCCAGCTGCAGGCCACACTCGCTGAACCTGTGTGAGGGACACGGTTAGGAAAAGGCCAGTCAGACTGTTTGTTGGGTTGCATGTGACAGAGCCTGGGATTCCCGTATATACAGTCTGTTTCCAGCTGTGGTCTGAGCTGTACACCAGGAATCCTGACTATGCTGCAACAGCTTGTCAGTGACTACTCCACCCACCTGTGGCAGCAGACCTATGCAACGTTCCTTCCTTCAATTAGCCCTCCATCAGGAAGGAATCCTAATAAACCTGATGCTTTCACTTCCACTCCATCCATCAGTGCCTGTTTATGACATTGAATCAACAGCGTGGAAGGCTGACACGTTTCCAGCCGCTCTTCCTGGTAACCAGGAATCTGCCTCTGGTCAGGTGAACCGGTCGACCGCTCACATCCTGGTGACTGGAGAGCAGCCTATCAGGTCTTCATCCTGATACACCTCCTCCTCCCCCCTTGATACACCACCCTCAGTGACTAACAGTTCACCCATCACCTGACTCTTCAGGTGTCAGGAGAGGAAGTGAATCATCCACTTAGCCTTTGGGTGTCCAAGTACAAGTCATCCACTTTCGATACAGGATGCTTGATTTAAAGTGATAAACAGCCCATTCCAGAAATATTCAGACTATATGTAAAAGGTTTTAAAAAATTCCCAAATCATTAAAATCGTACATTTGAGTAAATAAGAAATAGAGAGAAGACAACATTTCAGATGTTGAAATTTAAAGATTTTATTGTTGTATGAAATATTTATTTTCATTTTAAATTTAATACAGTCAATACATTTAAAATAAAAAAGTTATATTTACTGTAGGGGTGGGAGAAAAAATCAATGCAGCATAGTATCGCAATATTTTATCTGGTGAATTATTTTTTTCAAATTTATTGTTCATATGAAGTCAAATCTACGATAATAAAAAAATATAATCAAGTGTTTGTCCAGTGAGGTTGGCAGAGGTGACATCATAGAGCAGGAGAAAGTTAGTACAACAAATATATGTAAGGTTTGCAAGATATGCTTCATTAAATAAATAAAACACAGTGTAAATAAGACAAACATAAAGGAAAGACAAATGCTAAATTAGCTAAACAGTTGAAAAATTTGTATAAATCGCAATATATTATATCGTAATACTCACTGTATTGCAAAATTTTAAAAATTGCAATAATATTGTATTGTGGCACAAGTATCGTGATAATATTGTATAGTAGGGCCACTGGTGATTCGCACCCCTATTTTACTGTTGTGTCGCATCAACAAACCCTGAGTTCATCTCAATGAACCCAGTAGACCAGCCTCTGGAGTTCGGAAAGTTAAGTGTTGTCCCACTCTTGCCTAATAAAGGATATCAGCTGATCAACAGTTCAGGGTCACTGTCAGATTTTTGGTGACATGGTGCTTCAAAGGTTTTTGGATGTCTGACAAGTTAAGACTGCAGGCAGGCAAGTTTAACAGCATGAGTTTTCCACTACTGAGCCATGCTGTCGAAGTATGTGCAGAATGCCGTTTGGCATTGTCTCGCTGAAATATGCAAAGTCTTCCTGAAAAAGTCATTGTCTGGATGGTACCTGTTGATTTACACTTCAGCATCAGTGGAGCCTTCACAGATGTGTTTATCGCTGAGAGAAGGCTGCTTCAACTCCTGTTTGAAGAAGTCAGCCTGATTACCTCAGAAAAACACAAGTTTTACCACTTATTGCTGAAAGAAAGGAAAGCACCATTTATAAAGTCACATATCAGTCTAAATGCGCCTCATATTTCACAACTTTAGCTCCCTGTCGGACAACCTTTTCTTTTGGCTCTGCTACAGTGTCCACATTTCTGCACATGCTGGGTACATACAAGAGAAAAGGTAAGAGGGAAGTAGGTGAGGGAGAGACAGACAGGAAGGGAGAGAGAGACCATTATGTCCCCCAGGTATGACAGAGGCACTCATGCAGAAGGATCCCACATGGAGGGAGGTGTGTGTGTGTGTGTGTGTGTGTGTGTGTGTGTGTGTGTGTGTGTGTGTGTGTGTGTGTATGTGTGTGTGTGGGTGCATGAAGGAACTCTTGGCTTCCTCTCCTCGTTTGTACCCCCCCTCCTCCCAAAAACACATCTGTCTTCTTTTCTCTGCCACACACCTTTCCTGCATCCTCCGCTCACCTTCTCACTCCAGCAGCAGACTTTTCACAGCTTAAAATGTTTTCTCATATTTTCAGACGGCCTCAGAGTGTCTGTTTCCTCTAAGTGTTTCTTCTCACGTCTAATGCACACCTGCCATATTTTGTCAAACTTTTACAGGAGCGTGCTCTTTGGCTGCTTTTTTTTTTCCTGAGCGGATGTTCTTTGGCCTCTGGACACACCGCGGCTCCCGTTACCCTGAGCGGTCCGTCTTACATGCAAATATGTGTCGCCTCAACAGTGATCACCATTTTAGTCAGCGGCGTAGCTATCTCATGGCTGCATGCATTAAAACAATTAAACTTTGCCCCTCCCCCGCCACAACAATCATTTGCGGATGTGTTGGGTGAAATTTAGCAAGAAATTATCATTTTCTGAATCACTTCACTCTGCTTGCTCAGTGTTTGTTTCATTCTTTCTCTTTTCTCCGTCTCCTCTTTGAGCTCTTTAAAAGACTTGGAGCCCCCTGCATGTTCTTCCTTTTGCCTCCTTTCTCTGTACTTTTTTTTTCATCATTATCCAACAGCACTTTTCTGTGCGTGCAAATGCTTTCTGAACGGCGTCCTTTCTTCCCTTTCAGGCTGGATGTCATTGTTGCTGCCTGTGGGCTGGGTGTATTTATTTAGGGGTAATTGGTGTGTGGATGAGTGAGGTAATGAGGTGCATCCACACTTGGCTGCTCCCCTCCCTGAGAGCTGGAGACAGACGTAGCCTAGCTGGGCTCCGGCTCGAGCTGCACCACACTGCTGTCTCCTGCACACGGGCCAGAATGGCTGTTTCATACCCAGGTGGACAAACACAATCACCGGGGCTGATACCTCATTGGAGTGTCTGCAGCATGGAGTGATGTGTGTGTGCGTGCGTGTGCAAAAATCCTTGTCTGTGTGTGTGTGTGCACACATGTATTTATGGGTGAAAAGGGAAAAAACAGCGCTTGTAGTTGCCTCTGTGTCGAGTCCTTGTTTGTCTTGCGGCTTGTGTTTGTATAAGTGATTTTCCCCCTGTGTTTGTAAGTGCATGTATATCAGGCTGAGTGGGTGTTCAATGGAGCTCAAGGAGGACCTCTGGCTCTCGTAGCCCCCTGCCAACCTCAAACTGGCCCTGATGTCCTGCAGAGTTACCTAATGATTTCACTTACACCTCCCTTATCTGTCTGGCCCATGTGGCAGCAACCGTCTGACGCTTCAGCCTTTACATGCCATTTGCTGCCTCATATCCTGTGAAATTCAATTGCACAGCTCAAACTGAAGCCAGAGTACGGGATCTCCCTCTCTCTCTCTCTCACTCACTCTCTCTCTCTCTCTCTCTCTCTCCCTTTCTCTCTCTCTCTCTCCCTCTCTCTACTGTATTTGTAGAAACAAACATAAACAGCTCTTCCATGACACTGTTTTCCATGTTATCTCACAGCAATGTTGCGTTTTCTGAGTTATCGCACTTGCGTGTCGACACTTTGTTTCACTGCAGCCTTGCCGACAGACTTTGGATGAGATGCAGAAGTTTTAGGGCCCAAAAGCTTGGATGTTCGAGGCTGCCCACAGGTGTTCAGCAGATAATATTATGCATCAATTGTTTTGTTGTTATCAGGGTAATTGGTGTAGACCTGCCAGCCCTTTGATAGACACACAATTACTGTATGTGATGCATAAGTGGACTCATTTTAGGGCAGGATTTTGAGTTGCTAATGGTGCATTATTCAGCTTTTGGTCTGTCCCCAAAAGTGCCGGGCCAAATCAAACACGCCGCTCCAGGGTAATTGAGGCCCACTCCGCACCCCCTGCGGTGAGCAAGGCAGAACTGTAATCCCCTGACAACTCTGACTTGGCCCCAATCTGGCAGGCTGCCCATTTCCCAGCAAAACGCCTAACTCCACATGGAGGAGAATGAAGAAGCTGATCGTCACATTTAGAGCGCTTTCCAATTTTGTGATTCTTTTCAACTCAGCAGCTCTTTGTAGCCATCTCTGGACTTGCCCTTACTTTTTCATTTTAAACTGTACTTCATGCAACATGATTGCACACTAATTACACGCCATCAAACTAATATTCTTACTCATTAGTCTCCTGAAGCTTTTGTGGTTTTATGATCAAAGGTTTCCACAAAAGGCGTCTAACCACCCTTACCACGGAAAGCACTTACTTTCTTTTGTTGGACTGGTTCGTCTGATAAGTTTCCAGGAAGTTTTGCTCAGAATGAAAAAGACTGTTTTTCTACAAGGAAATGTTTTTCAAAGTTATGAGAGCATTTTTGAGTTTTTCTGTCTGATGCATTTTTTAAAGAGGAACAGAATTGCATTTTTATTCATTAAGACCTCTTTTGTTAAAGCAAGTTAGCTGCAAACACAAACATTTCAGACGTAACACAATGTAAGACCTAAAATTTGTTTTGATATTGATTATTAATTCACTCCAAATGGGCTATCAGCTGACATCAGCTGTCTTGGCTCCTTGGCATACACATCTGCAAATCTTTGAGGCCCAGACATGAAATGTTTTATTTTCTTATGCTGATTAAATTGGAGTTAGTAGCAAAGTAGCAGTTCAGTCCACAAGTTTATGTCTGTCGAAGATATTTTCCTTCTTGAAAAGTTAACACTGCTCAATATTAGACACGAGACCACTTGAACACTGTCCCAGGGCAGTTTCCGTATTCATTTGTCATGTTATTTAAAATCATCTCAGCTGAGCACGAGGATCATGTTCCATTTTAAGGAGCCAACACCAATCGATGTAGACTTGTCACTTTTCCTTCAGTCAGGCTAAAGATGAACAATGTGAGGGCTTGTTTTAAACTTTTTTTTTTTTTTTTTTGGCCGCAAAAATGTGCACAATGTTAAATTTCTGCTGAATTGCTTAAAGTGTAAACAGAATAAGTCATAAACAATGATTGACATAATACTTAAAAATTTAGATTATTATTACGGTATCATTTTTCAGTTTGAATCCATTTTTATCATTTCAAAATGTGATTTTCTTGTCATTGTTATTAAACCCAGACATGCTCTGCAGTGCCGCCCCTCAGAGGGCTCGTTTTCAGAGAGGGTATCACATGCATTTAGCACTGTCTCTCTGATTTTTAACTTTAGCATGTCTCCTCCTCCTCGGGGCCTGGCTCACTCTTTTAATGGCTTTAGTAATGCTTTACAATTAACACTAAGCCAGCGCTCTAGGTTAGGCAAAGACTGGTGTGTTTCAGGCAAAATGAGAAAACACAAAACAAGCATTCCCCCATCACCCAAGGTGCCTCCACGACCCAGAGGTCATGGGGGAAATGGAAGGTGGTGAATTTTTTGACAGGGCAGCCGGGGTGATGTCTCATTCCCTCTGACATCTCAAACACCCTAAAGGTGGCTTTGCCAACAGTCTACCCAGGAAGCACTTCACCTTGCTGTGGCTAAATTTACACAACCACCTGCCCACAGGGAGCACACTGGAGAGAACAGAGGTGGAGGTGGGGGTGGGCATGGGGGGCAAAGGGGGAGGGCAGAGGGGAGGGTATGGGAGACTGAAGTGTGTCAAAGGATGCAATGCATAATAAATGTACATAGATACATCAAATGATTATTCTTTTTCAACTTAGGTGTAAATTTTTTATCCAAGAAGTTTTTCCATCTCTACGTTTGTGTTTATCATCTTCAGTATTTTGTCTCTGTAGGCCTCAGTATTTCCTTTCTGCGTGTTCTTTCTTTTGTTCATCAAATTTGCATCTAAGCACAGAAAGGGAAGTGGTGAACTGGGTTTTCCAGAGTGCTGTCTAGAGTTCAGTAGAGTAGAGGAACCAAAGGTTGAACTCTGTAACTGTGGAGAAAGAGGGTCACAAATAAACGTGCAAGAGGAAACACTTGAATATTAACAGATACATGCATTACTTGTTCTAAATTCTGTATTTTTTTGTAATAGTTTCTGTCTTGATGGAAACATGTTGACTATTGTCTTAAGTTTATCAGGCTACAAGGAGTCAGTTAACAGAAATAAATTTCTAGAAGCATAACTGTGCATTAAACCTTGTACGGTTTTTGCACAAGTATCTCCCACATTATGAGACATTTGTTAAATGAAATGAAAAAAACAAGTGGAGAGGCTCTCTTCATGGTGTACAAAATGACCTACATTTAAATATGAAAGCCTTGACTGCTTTTTTGTTTAACTAACACTTACTAACACTGAGTTGAAAGGAAAAGACAACCAGGCAGATTTTGGGCCCTTTAGACAAATCTCAGCAAAAGTTATAGTTTTTTGATGGTCTGAAAAATGACCTTGCCAGATTTTCCTGCAGTGTGAGACATGTTAAGAAGGATTTAGCTTTCCCAAATCTGCTCAAAAAAGGTTGTGGTCATGTCAGTTGAAAATGATAAGCATTAATTCTGTCAGTTATTTGCAATCAGATGTCCTGCAAAGTGTTGGAGGAACCTTGAGGACAGTCAAGCATGCAGTCTGTGGATTGTCATGTGTAACAAAACAATTGCCAGTTAGGAAGCAAGCTGCCAAGTGCAGCAATAGTAAATGCAAGGGAGAAGCTTAGATGGATGTTAGATATAGAAACAACCAAGTTGTTTTGTAACGATACAAAAGGTCCTGCAAAATATACCTTAGCTGAACTGACTGAGAGAAGTTGCGCTGAAGTTTCCACCACCATGGATGTACCAGCGTCCTTAACATGATGTTTTTTTTAGTCTAGTCATGTTTAACTCTGAATAATGTTGCTAGTTTTTAATAGAGTGTGGACTCTGGTTGTTGTGAATGAATCTGTCACTGTGTGGTGTACTGTCTTGGCCATATTGTTAAACTTTATATACTATAAGACCAAAACTGTCAGGGTGCTGGTCAGTGCAAACCCCTTTAACAGAGGCTATAGGCCCTACTGCAGCTGTCTCCAGTTCGATTCCCAGCCCTGACCTTTTGCTGCATGTCTCCTCCACTTTCTTCCCTCCTAGTTTCCTGTCTCCTTTAGTGATCCTATCTAATAAAGGCAAAAATGCCGATAAGTATGTTATATATTTTTTGAATGTAAATCTGTAGTATATTGTCAGAATGTCTGCGGTCTCTTGCATTTGTACACCTCTTAAGTTTTCAAACTCTGATAGTGTGGGCCAGACTTGTTATGATTAGCTTGAATCAATTGCCACATGGTTCACTTCTGCAGCCAGCAGATGTCTACTTGTAGATTGATCGTTTCTGTTGACCTTGCCAGATTTTCCTGCAGTGTGAGACATGTTAAGAAGGATTTAGCTTTCCCAAATCTGCTCAAAAAAGGTTGTGGTCATGTCAGTTGAAAAAGATAAGCATTAATTCTGTCAGTTATTTGCAATCAGATATCCTGCAAAGTGTTGGAGGAACGATTGATTGTTTCTGTTGATGAAATGGTAAAGCCTACATAAGTCCATTGAATCTAAATTGTGACATTGTAAAATGCAGGACATCTGAAGGGGATGGATGTTTATGAAAAACAGTGTAGTTTCATCTTGGTTTGCCAGAGTTGTAGAAACTGTTTTATCCTACAGCATCAAAAGTTGATTTACATCTAGTCTAATTAAATGTCCAAACATAATAAAAGTATGCTTCCTTACTTTTCGAATATTTTCATAGCATTATGAATAAGCTCAAGGCTAATGTCAGCTGTTAAAGCTGTATATTCATTTCTTTCATAGATTTACTCATAGACGTCACATTGAAACTCTTAAGACGGACAGTGGGATAGAATAGTAACAAATGTGGAAGCTCCCCAGTGGCAGAGTTCAGGCTGTTTGCCTGTGGGCTGATGCGGAGTGAATGGCCTTAGAGGCTCTAGGCTGGTCTATGTGTGGCCCGGCTGGTCCAAGTCAGCAGTAATGACTGGCTTTGGCCGGCATGCCTGTTAATGTGAATGGGGTTACTCTGGGCAACACCTTTTCAGCTGGGTCCTATGAAGTCCCCAGTATGGTGGTCTTTGTCCACACAAGGGCTGTCCTCTCAGCAAAAAGGGCTCCTTTTTTTGTGAGGACTATCAACTGGTGATGGATTATACCCACCCCCCTTTATTCATCCGGCTGGACTAACAGACAGGGATCCATGCAAACATACACACTCTTATACATAGGTACAAACACAAAGACATCAAAAGTATCACCAGCACTTCTCATATCATCTTAAACAGTCACGTTATGGAAAGATGAGAAGCACAAACTTTTCTTAGACACACTCAACAGGTGCATATCGTACATTTGGCTGCTCTTCACCTCTCTTCTGCTTTGAGGACATGAAGACATTGTAAGAGACATCAGCTCCATGAATACGGGAGCAAATCTACATCCTGGTTAGCCAAATGCCAATCGCATAGACTGATGTATTTTGCATCATTTCTTTGTTGTTTGTTTGTTGTTGAATTTCTTTAAAGGAGAGACTACATCAGAATGCATAGCTCATTAAAGTCCCTCTTAAAATGTCTCGGGAACATGTCTCACAAACTGCATGTCACTCTTCTTTCACAGAGACCCTGTGATATTCCCTCTCCACACGCTCTCTTTCCAATTTGATCATAAAAAATGAATCCGTTTGTCCACAAGGGACTTCTTCTGCCCAATAAAAACGTCTCTGAACTGTCAGTTTGGTGTGATAGCTTTCCAAGTTTTCATGAATTATAAAGATTGGCCAATATTTGCTGAGGCAGATGTTCAGCAGAACATCAGTGCATCCCCGGTAGACATTAGAAATATGTTTAACAAAATAATAAATAATATTTCAGTTAAAATGACAAAGCCTGAGTTTTGTCCGTGGGGTTATTCTCAGGGCAATGACACAATAAGTAAGTTTAGGATATGCGGGCAGGGCGGTACCAGTCCTGGTGATGCGGGCTCTGTTGCTCGCTCATGAACCTTCCTTTCAAGCAAAGTTCACCGATCCTCACTTAATGTCAAGACACATCTTTAAAAAGAAAATCCATCTTCTCCAGTCACATGTCCCTGTATTTCCTATCTCATCCTGCTAACTCAACAACAGCAGACTATCCCTCTGTGAGTGTGGTAGCCCCGCCCCTCCCAAGAGGTCAGCCACTTACCCGGGCTGACACAGTAACCTCCAGACAACCTTTCGCTTTGCCAAATGTTATGCCTGTAAACTGCCTGAACTCCATCACATTGCAGAGGATGAGGGAGGAAGAGGGATCTCTGTTGTTGGGAGGGAAGGGCTTGGGAAACCTTAGTTGTCCCAGTCTGCTTTGTGTGCTTTGTACCCTGTGTGTGACACATGCATAGGCTAGTGGCATCGTGTCTGTCTGTCCGTCTGTCTTTGCACATGGCTGTGTGAGCTTGTAGCTGAGTGCGACACAGAAAAAAAGAGATGAATAATGCATGACAGAATCCTAAGTAATGCTCAGGCTTTTGTTCTTTTTTTTCAGTGTCTGAAACGCTGACAGAACCAGTTCGCAAAGTGATTCCTCTGGAATATTTTGACATGTTGGGAAATTGTTGTTTTCTTCTATATTGTGACTTTGCCAAACAATCAGCCAGGAATACTGGAAGCCATGATTCATTCAGTCTCAATTTTTGGTTTTAGTGTTAGGAAAGAAAACAAAGGTAGGATTTAGTGAGCTCTGGATGGGAATGGGTTTATTTTACCTGCACACAGATCCAGACTGCTTGCTTCCAGTCTTGTGTGTGTTGGTTATTGTTAACAATCAGAAGCCCCTTTCACACAAACACTTCACACTTGAAAATCTTCCAACATTATTACATCAGCTGAAAATGTGAAAGACAGTGGCCAAATTTTTCACCCTGAATGAATCCAGACTTTTACCTGCCAGTCTCTTCGTATAAACCCCGGAAATCAAGGTGAGCCAATGTCAAAGCAGTAGGCAACAGTCGTGACCTTCAACAAGAGAGAGTGAGCAAAGTTATACTGTTAAGTCCATGTTAAGTGGAGTGTTGGAAACATCCTCATAGACTTTCTAGTGATATGAACACAAAATCAGTCCATACCATGGGAGATGGCGACTTATCTTCCTGCTGTACGTAGTGCCCAGCAGCTCACCGAAACCAACATGGATACACCTGTTTACTGGGATATTTTCCAGCTGTGAGGTGCAAGGTTTTTCTTAAGATATGAAAATCCTAAAATTGTTTAATTTGTCAGGAGTAGTTGCGTGAAAATAAAGCGTTGTAGATGAGGTGATGCAGAACTGGAATTAGTGAAGAGCAGCATCATACACAAACCATTTCCACAAGTTGTCAGTTACCAAGTACAGTGGCTTTCAACAACAAACAAAGTAATGAAATTTTAAGTTGTTCTAACCAAAATTTAAAGTCCAACTAACTGACTAGTTAAAAAAATAAATAAAAACACTCCAAAAAAAATCAGTGTCTAATGGTTTAACCCAGGGGTTCCCCAAAAGACCAGAACCCCTAAAATACTGTTGCCAGAGACTGATGACCCCACTGTCTCTTGAGGTGGTCTAGCATTGCTCACTGCCACACACACTAACAGGCCAGTTCAAAAACACACCTGAGAGCACAGGCAAACAAATGTATAGTTTTAAAGTGGTTTAAGAAAGAGTAGATGCAGAAGTCAAACAACTTCAGGTTTCTTTTTTTTGTTTTCTGCTCATATTGTCCAGTTTTCTTTGCAGCTGTAAGCCGAGCAGCTGAGACTGATGCTGTTGTTAATTTAGAGGTCATGTGGGAATGAAAAAGAGTAGAAGACTGATTCATTATTTATTATTAATTTACATGAGTTTACCAAAGTAAACTATGGTTGTATAAACTTCACAACAATAGATGAAATATAATGTTTTTAATAAGATTTCAACAGTCTTCAAACGCCATCTTGCAACCCCTAGGAAGGCCCTTACCCCAACTTTGGAATCACTAGCTTGGTCAACTGAACAAGTACATCACCACCAATAATATACTTCCCAGAATAACAGAACCATGCTTAGTGTTTTACCCAAAAGTCTGCCTCGAAACAAATAAGCAGACTTGATGAATAAGATGATGAACATGTCCTTAAATTCATCTGTGTTTTGTCTGGATACTTAGGTCAGCTGTTCCTATACATTTATATGTTTGTGGTTTGGCTGTTAAATTTCAAAATCAAGTTGTAAAAGCAGTCCAGAAATCTCAACTATCACAAATAATTTGGGCTGCTTGTCCTACAGAGATGGAGTAGAGGGTTTATCTGTAGCAGTGAGCTGTTATTGAAGGTAGAGAAGGTTATGTAGTGTAGCCATGTTTCCCTGTCTGATTATTCTAGCAGGGCATCTATACAGCACCATGAAACCTGCTTTCACCAAACATGTCAGTGGTGTTTGAACCTGAGGATGTTTATATCAGAGTCATGGTTCCAGGGGTAAAATGTGTGTTTGAAGGGGTGGAGGGCACAAGAGGTCCCCCAGATATGCTGTCATAACCCATGCAGCCACGCTCTGTGCTATGGGCCTATCGGTAGTGAAGGCAGCACTTAGACATGTTTGTACTCTTCGCCCTATATTCCCTTCCCTTCCTCCCCGGGCACCATGTCACTCCAGGGGCAAACCAGCACTGTGCCCAAGACCATAACACCAACTAACCCCCCCTCACTACGCACCACCACTGGGGTCAATGTGCCCTCACCCCCTCACCCTACAACGCCCACGGTCCGTACCAACACTGCCCTCCAAAGAGAAACAAAAGCGAACTGAAAAGAGACAAAATGGCCCCTCGCTGCTTCCCTGTCAAAGCTCCTGACAGGCCCGAGCGGAGGCCCCCAGAGGAGGCTGCAACTGAAGAAGATGACGACTGAGATAACAAGTCAAGTTGTTGTGTTACGGCACAGTTACACTTTGGCCCCTGTTTGTCCATTTGGTTATTCAGATGCACATCGGAGCTTACTGATTCCCATGCATGTCATGTTTAGTAACATGACAGATACTATCATCTGCTGTTTTACATCAGTCTGTGGAGCGTGAAGGGTAAGTGAGGAGCCCTCTGTTCAACACAACAGGAATAAGCATTCCATTAGGTATTAAAAAACCTTGAAAATATTGTCAGCTAATCAATTTCCTGTTTGGACATGCTCGCTTTTAATGGAAATTCACTCACTTATTAGTCCCTTCCAATTTTTCCAGTGTTTGGGATTATAATTACACTCAAAATGCTTACTCATCCTTCTGCCTGCCTGCTGCCTACTCTGTCAGATGCATTAGCCATGAAGCAGAAGAGATGAGGAGCCTGTGTCTGTATCTGTCTTTCTGTCAGTCCTCCTAAATGTCTGTGTGCCTGCCGCTCAGATTATCCAGGATCAGGAAGCAGGTGACATGTTGAGCAGGTGACCATCACCCAATTAACAAAAAAAAAAAAAACCTTGAGACCTGTGCGCTCTTGCTTTCATCTCTCTAAACTCTGAGAGTCTTATTCCCCTCTTTGACTAACAAAACACCAAGGTTTGCAAAGTCCGTGTAAGGCTCCAGAAGAGGTTTGAGAATCTATAAGTCTCTACATTTCATTTGATATCATAAGACTACTAAGTACAGCTAACACTAAATTAAACTAGTAGGTGTAAATTCCCAAACTATCAAAATAATAAGCTAATAGTCATGAAAAATACTGAAAACAACATATGAAATGTTTAAACTGAGAAATTGCGTTGCTTCATGTAGGCCATATGGTTATGCCAGGAATACATTTGATAAAAGTTGTTACGGGTTCATGTTTACTGTTGTGTTGCATCAGCTCTTCTTTTAACAACTCCTTGTTAGCATTAGTGAGTCCAGGAGACCAGTATCAGGACTGTAGCCAGGCCAGTTTAGCAGCAGGACTCGTCTACTACAGAGCCATGCTGTAGTAATACAAGGAGAATGTGGTTTGGCATTGTCTTGTAGAAATATGATGGTTGTTCCTGAAAAGTTATTGTCTGGATGGCAGCATATGTTGCTCAAAGACCTGTATATATTTTACTAAACATCAATAGCGCCTCCCCTGATGTGTTAGCTCCCCTTGCCATGGACTCTTACGGTCCCCATCACCATCAGGGATGCCAGCGTTGGACTGTGAGTTGATAACAAGCCAGGTGGTCCTGAAGATCAAGGCTATCCAGTACTTGTTTTGGTACTTGTGTCTTTTCTGCAGATTTCTCCAGATTCTCTGAATTTTTTAATGATATCATGTACTATAAATAACATTCCTAATTTCTCTGTAATTTTACACTTATATTATTATGGGATTGTTTTTGTAGATTTATTTGAACAATTTCACGAAAGAGGAAGTGAGAATTGATGAAGTGTACAATGGCAAAGAATTTCTGTGAAATGGAAAAGCCTGAGTTGTAAGAACTGCTCCAGTCTATGGGTTATTCTCAGGGCAAGGTCAGGTATCATGTTGCACTCTTTGCTGTGACAAAAGAAGAGGAAGCAAGAGCTTCTGCTCGGCTTTTGTTCGGCACAGCTGGGCTTGAATTACTTAAGTGACAGGATTTATGCTCTGTATTTTCTGCATTTTTTACTGGTGAGGCAGAGGAAGTATTCTCAGACATTTCTGTCCTCAATGTGATGATAGTTTGCTCTGTGAATGGAAAAGTGCATCACTTCATTACATGGACTTTGCTGTGCTAAAATCAGCACAAGCCCTATAGGTCCAGTAAATGATTTCCCACACCGTGTGGTGTAACTTTAGAGGAGTGAGGGGATTACGGCAGAGGAGGTGATTTAGCTTACTTTGGTGAATGGATTGGCAAGCGACACAGGGACATGTCTCCCAATTTTGTTGTGCTAGCATCTCTACCTTTGATTGGTTGTAGAAATGGAGCTTGAAATGTGTTGCAGACTAACCCACACATAGCTGTGCTGCTTCATGAGACAGAATTAGTAAAAGGTTAGTAAAAGTAAAAGGTTGCCAATAAATGTTGGACCTGCCTTGTATTGATCAGTTTTCAAGAAAAGCCCAATGTAATGTTTGATTCAACTCAACATCTAACATTTCTTTCTCAGGTGTTACAGGAAACTGTAAGCATGATTAGTCAGTTAGTTGTGTCATTATTGTAATAACTTCAGCTTAGCGATACAATGTTCAGTTTCTCTCATTGCAGCGACTTAATAGAGCTCATATTATGCTGACCAAATCACAACAATAAGTGTGTTAAGTAGGTGTTTATGGTAAACATCGTGTCACTTCCATGAACATGTTCCAGCATCAGCTAATCTGATTGGAACAGCCAGACCGGGCGTCATGTGTTCCAATAGGTGTAGGGTTTCCCATAGTTCTAAGCTGTACAGTGACACGGGCCATTTGAAAGTGTGGCTAAACCCTATGGAATAAATGACTCGTTAAATTACCACCTAATACTCAGGTCATTAGCAAGCTGTTACTAGCACAGGAATGCCTTTGAAGGTGCTGCTTTGTGTGAGTCGGTCCCGGTTAAGCTCCGGTTGAAAAAGTTGGTCCATTTGAATTGTTGAAAATACATACAACATGGCGTGTGATTTTAAAACTCGCAATCAAAATGAGGCAAAGTTTTGGACGACTTTGATTTGGTTTGTTTTCTGACCCATCAAATAGCTGCTTGATTCCCCGCTGTGACACAAACTGTGTATGGAGATGGTAAACGATCAGTAACAAGCAGCATGAAACAACATATTCCTGAAGAGCCGGCTCTTTGGGCTGTTTAGGAAGCTGAAGGGAATTGTCCATTGTAGGGTGATATTAGTAACCCTCTTAGGCAAAGCTAGTCCGAGGGCCGGCCCTGAGGGCTCATTTCAAGTGCTTAGCGCTCGTTTGGAGCTTTGTCACCCCTCACCCTGTTGCCAGCATGGCCCCAGCCCCTCTGGCTGTGGAGCGGAGCTGAACCACAGACCTTTACCCCTACCCGCCACCAGGGAGGGAACACTGACATCACAACTCTAACACACACACTCGTTCTCGCACTAACATTGTGGCTCACATCCATTTTCACAACCCCCCTCCTCTGCCAGTGCACCACAGCCAATGGTCTATTTTCCCGCCGTTCACTCCCATCCAGACACCCCCCACCCCCACCCCCCTTATTTTTTTCCTCTTTCTCCACTCTCGTGAAGGTTGCCAGGCAGCAGAGAAAGACTTCACACACACATACACCCCACTATGCCTCTGAGGGTTTTCCGGATGTCCTTGTTTACATCATGGAGTGTGCAGGTCGTAGGGAAGCAGACTCACAGCCTCCCTGGTTATGTCTGTCTGAGTCCTGCATTGACCTCCATTCATTTACTGTCAATGTAAATGTTCATGGCAGCCTCTCAGTTGGCCTATCATCACACTTGGATCACACTTAAGTTTTGAATTTCAAAATCTGAAAAATTCACTTTTTTGGACTTTCCATTTATATAACAGATGCTGACAGTAATGTGAAATTACTTATTTCAAGTGTGACCACATACTTAGTATTTTCCCGGCTCTGGTAGTCAGTAATTTATCAGCTCTCAGTTATTGGCTGTCACTGATGTGCAGCAAGGTTGTTGACAGTAACCAGGCTCCCTATCCCCTGTGTGTCAAACCGATCGATTGGTTTTGTCTGCTCCTCCCTCCAACTTTGATGTTCCCATTGATTGTTCTCATCTGCCCCTGAACTCAAAGGTTAGAGGAGCTGAGCTACACTTCTGGATTGCTTTGACCTTCGCTCTGCACATGCTCAGTGGGTTCACAGAGCCCAGAGCCAAACAGACACGGTGTAGCCAGGCCCGTGGGTGCGTGACAGCCAGACAACGGTGTGATGCCTTTTTTTTATTTTACTCACCCACTGAGGATGATGTATATGTGATTGATTTTTCTCCTACCCCTCTCTCTACCCTGTTTCCGCTGCAGTGCGCTAAGCAGGACTGAGTCCAGGCTTGATCAATGCATTGTTTTTCTTTTTCAATCACACTCGAGTGAGCTGAAGACACGAAAGGTTACACAGGTGAGGTTTGGCAGGGCTGGAAGCAGGGCAGAGCTTCTGGAGGCCCCCTCAAGGCCAATATATGAGTTTGCATGTGTTGTGTGTGTGTGCGTGTGTGTGTGTGAGAGAGAGAGAGCGAGAGAGAGAGAGATGTGGAAGTTGCAGAAAGAGTTGCATCCAGGGAGAAGTTCGCCAAATTCATCACGTTTCTAACAAGTTCTTCATCCTTCTTGTGGTGTCACAAGAGTTCACGCTCGTCATACATCCCCTGTCTCTTCTCCCACTGGGAGTCTTCAACCCTAGCCTCCATAAATCCTCTGTAACCTTAGCTTTACCATCTAACATTAAATTATAGGTCCCTCACAATGTCTCAGAGCTCACCTGCCTCAGATAATCTGCAGGCCTGCCTGAAGACTGCTCCTCTTGTTTCCTCTATTTGCCTGACAAACGCTTTTCTGACACTCACACAAAGGCAGTGTGTTGAAGAGAAAGGAGACCGCTTCAGCATGACGTACCCTCACCCTGAGAGCCACAGTAGCAGGACTCCAGGGACTCATATCTGACATGGACATCAGTGATGTTGAGACATTCCCAGCTCACATTCAGGTGTCTTAATGCTCTTAAAGAAACAGTATTAAGCAAAGGAAGGAAGTGGTCCTCCCTGGAGGGGTGAAGAGTGTCACGTTCGTGCTGAGCTATCTCTTAGTAATGACGCTGCTAAACCCTGTACCCAAACACCTACTCATTAAGAAATAGATAAGTATCTGCAGGAGTGGGCAGGCTCTCCTAAAGCTGCATGTCTGGAGGGGGTGAGGATTCGGCTGGCAGGGAGGAAAAGGGGTGGGGTGAGGTGCGGTGGGGTGGGAGCGCAGGCTTTGACCAGCAGGTTTCAGATGTCATGGCAGATTCTTTCAGGGACAAATTACAGGGTTTAACTCCTCTTGTACCCAGGATGCCTGTATTCAGATTTAACTTCCTCGATAGGCACTCGAGCCCGACGCTCCTCCACACCATTGTCAGGCACCCACTTGACTCTGGAGATACTTCACCTCCTCTCACGCTCTCACAAACTCCTCAAGACTTTGTTCGTGGAGTACAAGTGGCCTGCCTTTCTTGCAGAGAGTAGAGCAGAGCAGAGCGGTGCAGCCCCTCTTAAGCTTTATATTAGTTAGCGTGTTGGTGTTAAAGGGCTTTCCATGAGTGGCCCTCATTAACCTCTTAGCGTCTTTGTGCTTTGAGTTGGCACAGGGCTGCTCCATAGATAAGCTGTACTATGAAACAGCTGAGAGGCTTGACTCTGGTATTAGCTGCACATAATCATCTCCGCTGCAAACACAGTAAACAATGAAGGAAATCCAGATGTTGCATGTGCGTTGTACGACTGAGCGCACTTTCTGTTCTGTCACCTCATACATGCTTATTATTATGTGCGTCCCGTACACAACTTCGGCAAATACCTTCACACACACATGCATGCACACACAGAGATATTCCCTGTGAGCTGTAACAGACCTAAAGCTCTCTGAAGCATTTAGCAGCACGCTAGCAGGTTTACTCCACGCTGCCAGTGCTGAGGGGAGTGCTGAAGCATCTAATGCAATTTCAACCCAACATGGCTTTCTGTGAATAAACATCACTGGAGTAAACCGTCTACTGTATGCTGATCCACTGTAGTGCTTTCTATTTTCTCCATACGAGTTGATCTAATACCCCCTCCTCTCTCTCTTTCTCACACTCTGATTTCTGCAGAGACTACATTTGCCTCCAGACTTGTCTGAGACGGTGAGTCGTGTGAGCAGGGGGGAGCTGGCAGGAGCACCCACCGCTGCTTCAGCCTGTGGCACCGGCACTTCCGGCAACAAACACCTGGACTTCTAGAACTCCCACACAGTCGCCACAGGCAACCAACACCTGGAATGCCACAGCGTTGTCCTCTTAACCACGGCGACCAGGTTGTTCTCTCGCCCACATGATGTCAACAGCGATAACCCTGCCTGCCTTTACCACCTGCCAACAGTGCCAGCCAGGGGTGAAGACCTAAACATCCACTGCAGCTTCTCTCATAGGAGACACTTTGCATCGTATGAGTTTTTCTGTATGTTAAGATACAGATCATGTGACCTTTAGTACCCTTTTAGTTTTTGAACATTCCAGGCCAACATAAGAAAAATCATTTAGGTCATGCTCGTAGACATTTTTTGAGCTTTTCTCCAGATTAAAGTTGCAAAATATGTGAGTCGTACAGTTTTAGTAAGTTTGACATGCAGAAAGATCATTTGCAGGATAACTGGTATCTTTTCCATTCAACATCCAAGATGAAGGTCATTTAGGTTGTGGTGCATTTAGTTTTTTCTGCCTCTTGAGAATTTGAATATGAGTAAAATGGTATCCTGAAATATTCTTGACTCTTTACAAACTCTCAGGCTTGGAAAACATTGAATAATTTAAATGCACGCTCCCCTGCTCTACTTTACAAAACAGGCGGCCACTCCTGTCCTGTCTAGCTCCACTGTGTACAAAACTAGTATGTGCTAAAATGTTGCTCTTGTACAGTTTAATAAAAGGAAATTCAAACTAAATATGCAACATATTCTCGGGATTCAATGTTTACTCAACTGCTGCAGCTCTGAATGGAAAGGTGACTGATTGTGTGCCGACTGTGTAAAGTGAGCGTGTTCTGAATGACTGATCCCTGCTCTGCCTGGCTGGTTTCAGGTTGGAGCAGCGATGCCTCCGTCTGACCCTGAGACCGTGCCGGTGAGTGACGTCCACCTCCAGTTCGCTGGAGAGCCGAGCAGGAATGTGGGCAGAGGGTAGGAGAGCTAGATTTGGGTGCAGGCTTCACACCTCATCAGGCATGTTTGCTGGATGAGCTGCTTTGCCATGACAAGCCCAAAAGAACAAATTAGGTCAAATGGTGACATGGAGAAACACAGAAAAAAAAAAAAACATGAAAAATTAAATGTTTCATTTTTGCTTTCCTCAGTCTGCTGCTGTTGCCACTTTGAATATTTTGGTCTGTGAGAAGTGGCAGTATTGGTAAGCATCTGCAACACGTGTTGGAAGAGTGTAGTGTTACCTGACAGGTTTATGCATGGATGGAGAGCTCTTATATCGGCGGTATGAGAGAGGGAGAGGTGACGTACACAGGTCAGAGATACAGGTGACAGAAAGGAAGTGTTTCTGAGGTAAGGTTTTTGAGGAGTGGACATATTCAGGGTGCACCAATCAAGTAGATCAGAATAGGAAAAAATCATTCTGGCACTTGTTTATGTTGCCATGCTACTTGCGTATGTCCTTTTTTACACATGTGACTGTCAGTTTGGTGCCAATTCACTTCAGACAGTCAAAAAAAAGTTCATTATTTTTATAGCCATAAAAAAAGTAATATTGTCATTTAATTTTTACTGAATGAAAAAAAAAATGAGTTTTCTATTTTTATGTGCTTGTAAAATTTATTTCCAACTGATATCATCTCAGTTTTTGTTTTTCAGCCAATTTTTTTAATTCGTTGTACAAGTTAATGTGCAAAATTTCCGGGCATTACTGGAACAATGTTGACAAAACATCTTTTAACTGATTAGTCAGTATTCTGCCTCTTTATAAAGAGTGGGCCAAACATGCTGAAACTATGCAGCGTGCGACAATTAACTGGCTTCTGCACCCAGAATGAGTAATCTGGGATACCAGGAAATGACAATTAATTTAAAGCTTTTGAACAAAATAACTGGACCTTTAATCAGGTCATCACTGCAGTATTTTGAAGCACATCAGCAGATACAGTCCTGATCTCCCTCACCTTCCTCATCATAAGAAACAGCCCACTGAACCAAACACAATAGGTTTTTTTTTCTATTGAAGGATATTTTTAACTTTTTCCTTACTCCTAAAATTATTTGTATAACATATCATATGTATATTTATTCTTGTTTTGTTAGTTTTCTTCGCTACCAACCAAGTGAGATCTGCAACAGGTTACAAAAATAAACACTAACTGCTGTAGGTGCATTTTAAAGAATCTACTTCATCCAAGTCTCACTTACACTCCAGCCAAAAAAAAATTGTATTATGTAGAAGACGTGCTTTTGTAATCTTGTGTCCGGCAGCTGCAGCTCATGTATTGATCATGACGAAGGCCATCGTGGTTTTGCTGCTGTAGCTTCAGCTAAGGTCTTATGACTTCAGCCTCCACGTTTCGTCTCTGTTTAAGAAACACACTTTCGGACAATCCATTGAATCTCTCTGCAGGTGTAGTTTAAACAAACTATCTTTGAAGGTGTGTGCCACTAATTAAGTAGTGTTACTTTTTGCCATTATATTTCTCAAATGGAAAGACTCACACCTTGATGAGTATTTACTAAAATTTCAATAACCAGGGAAGCCCAACCTTGTGAAATACAGTCTCAGATTCCCAGATTTATGTCTCGTTAAAAGCATCAGATCAGACTTTTTTTGAACTTTTAACAAAAACTTATGTGACTGAGAGTGAGGTTTGAATTTAAAGCTTTTTATCTGACGCTGTGTATTATTTAGACTAGCACTAATTTCGGCCTTTCTTTCATTTTGAGTCCCTCCTTTTCATTCTGCCTGTGTAATTATTAATGTTCCTCCTCTGTCTCAGCACAGCCGCCTAACCTGTTCTCTCTTTCCCTCTCTCAAGCTTTCACTGCGGTATTCCTCCTCCGTCTGTCTGATAAACTGGATTAAATAAAAAAGAGAGATGGCATTAGCACTGAGGAAAAAAGAAAGCCCTCACAAAAACTGATTAACCTTCGACCTTTAAAGTTCTGATTGGACGATTAAATATTGAGTGGGATGTGTGAATTTGATTAATCAGTTTTAGCATGATATTTGCTGCTGTTACATGCTGTGTGAATGTTACCTGACCTTACTCTCTCCTGGACACCCTTTCTTTTTAGATGCTCTCTCTTTTTTTTTTTTTTCTAACACACCCTCTCAGACACACACACACACACACTCTCGACCCCCCTGCTGAGGCAGCAAGTGAAGCAAAATAACTCACTCTGCCACACAATCGCTCCTTTGCCTCGCTCACGGCACTGACTGCTTTATTCCATGACTTTTTTTCTCTCTCTTCTCCACTCCCTCCTCCTCCTCCTCCTCCTCCTCATTGGTTCTGTAATTTTTTTTTTTTTTTCATACCATCGTAACTCTGCTACAACAAGAGCCAGCGATGGTGAATTGCTTGACCTTTCTCATTGTGTGACGGCGGTGTGCTGTGTGGTCTGTGTCGGCTTGGTTCAGCCCATACATCAGGAGAGGGTTTGTTATTGTGGACACCTTTGTTTGGTGGGAATTGGAGGTGTTGTGTGTGAAATAGGAGCCCTTGTACTGGCATTTGTCAGCACTTAGATTTGTCTAAATTTGCAGCTATGAAGCAGTTCTGTCCAGATTTTGACACTGTCTATAGGACACAGCATTGACCAGGCAAAAAGGCTTTCTTTAAGACACAATTTTACTGTACAAAATGTTTTATAGTTTTCACAAAATACATTTAGAAAGCTCCATTTTAAATAAAATTAAATTGAAATATTTAAGAGACAGCGTGTAGACGTTTTTATCTCAGAAGCATTGCTCAGACGTAAACCCAGTGTGTGTCCATGTTCTACGTAACACACTGAAATAAAAATGCAAAAACTCAAAAGAGCATGACAGATGATGCTAGAAAAACCCTCCCATGGTCTTCAATTATAAATAAGGACTGCAGGGTTCGACTGCAGCCGCACGAACTCCAAGCCAATGTAATTGAACAGAACGTGTTTACAAAAATTTGCAACACAAGACTAATATCTTTAAAAAAACACTGTGTACTAGATGAAATACAAAGGCTTTGGTCTGTTTTACAATCAACAATGATTAAATCTGATATGTACTTGTAAACAACTGCCAAACACTTAAGTTTAAAACTCTGTCAAGCAATGTTTAATCATAATTATAGGAATTAAATATTTCTAGTTGCACAATTTTTTGACCATAGGACACTATAATACAACTATACCTAAGAGACAAATTGTACCTGACCCTAAAGAAATGTATTTTATGATGCATGGAACATTTATAGAATATTCTCGGGGATATAAATGAAATCAACTTTTATTGGAGAAATCTTTCTGGAAGATTTCTAGGGAAGACAAGTACTTTACATTTTGACATAAACAAACTGGATTATATCGAAGACGCAGTCTACCATTTACAGACTACAGGTTTTCTTTGACACCTGTTTTTTCCACATTTAATGTTCTTCGTGGTATCTTAGAGTCAATCCAACCACCGAAGCAAGAGGTCCAGGTTGGGTTGCATGTGGCACCGTCTTTGCACACACTTTGAGCTGCTCATCCGTGTTTAATAAGTCAGAGAGGAGTGAGGACCACAGCCTCAGTGGGTGGATCGAGGTTTTCAGAGTTTCCTCTGCTAAATATCCATCCGTACGTAATAGGACCAATAAATAGTTTTTTTTTTTTTTTTTCTGACACAGTAAGAGTCTTCCCTCCAGCTTTTTTCGTCTTTAATGATATGCAACAGCGTCCAGAGACCATGCAAAGGCTGGTAGAAAGTCTCGATATAAGCAGATTAAAAAGATAGTCATGGCAGAATCTCTCCTCCCGCAAACAAACGCAAGACCAACATGGTTTTCTAGCAGTCCATCTATCAGTACTTGATCTCGGTTTTCTTATTAACATACAAATGGCCATTTACTAACACACCAGAGAAAAAAGGAAACAATGACTGAAGTTGGAAATAGAAAAAAAAACAGATAAGTTTTTGTTCCATAAAAATTTAACACCGGGCACTTTACAGAGGTCCATTTTTTTCGCTCTTTCCATCCTTGTTCTCTCATCCAAGTCCTCGTCTGTTTGAATGTGCCTAGAGCTACAGAACAGCACACAGTCCCACTGGAAAAACAAAGCCCAGACGTCCCAAGGCTCTCCCAGAGTCTCTCTCTCTCTTTCTCTTTCTCTCCTTCCTCCTCTCCTGTCCTGTCCTGTCCTTCGCCTCCTCTCAACCCTCTCTCTCCTTCTCTACTCTCCTGTGCCGTGTGTGTGTGAGGAGCACTGCCGGAGGGCGATGGTGGAGTGGGTGGTTACAGGGTGAAGTAGCTCTTCTCTCTACTGTAGTCTTGACCAGTACTGAGACATGTCAGGCTCGCTGCCTGGGACTTGGACAGGGACAGACACTCCAGGAGAGATGAGTCCTGCGGAAAAGAGAAAAGAGGAAAAAAGAGATGTTAGTAGAAAGAAGAAGAAGAAGAAAAAAGACAGCTAAACAGGCCCTGAAGTCAACATGCTGAATAAGATGAGTGGATGCACCATGCACAGTTAGCCTTATGGCACAGAGCATTGTGCTTTAAACACTTGCAAATAGGTGGACGAGCGGTGGAGCTGCAATGAGTCACAATGCTCTGCACATGGTTGCACAGCAAAAGGCTCACGAGCTCGATAAATTGAGGCTTTGGCAATGGCATTTAAACAGAGAGAGTACAACAGCAAATGAATCAAATTAATTAGCAATTTAGCACAGAGGAAATGTGGTTCTGCATGATTAACTCTTCATGACTATAACCGGTATATATGGCTCCCAGTAACAGCATCCTAATGGGGTGGAACTAAACTATGGGCCAGAGTAGCGGGAGTGACATGATGGCGTAGAGCGGGCGATGAAATGAGCTTGGTTCATGCAGCTGCAGCAGCAGAATGGTGTGAGATGCAGAGGTATCGATACGGTTTAAAAGCATGAGGAGGAGGAGGAAAAGTTGCAGCAGCGGAGCATGAATCAAAGGTGGCTAATGTAAGGCCTCGTACCCCCGCAGTTTAGAGGACAGGTGGCAGATATAGGTGTCAAAACAAATGCACTAACTCCAAAGCATGTTGGTAAACAATGAGCTTTCTGCCTACCTGTTGAGGTGGTACCAGAAGTGGTCATTGATTGGCTGTTCATATGTGCCTGCATATGAGGGGGCGTGTATGTTTCGTAGCTCCGCCCATTCACAGGCGGACTGGTAGGCAGCATGCAGGAATAAGAGGAGGTCTGGCTGGGCTATAGATGGGGAGAGAATGTTACATTAGCTTAGCCAACCATATTTGTAGTCTTTAATACTGTCAGCTCTTAGAGGCCTTCAAACGTATTTATATTTGATTTTGAAGTTTATTATGATTTAATTTTATGAGGAAGATTTTATTTTGGCCAGGAAACAACATGGTGTACTTTTATTCCACTCTTAAAATCATATTAATCCTCATCAAATATATCAGATAGTTAACTCTTTGAACACATTTGACTTTCTTAGTGTTGGACTTACTTGCATAGGTAGATTGTTTGCCATGGTGAAGCTGGGCATGGGGGGCAGTGCACTGTAGGTGTTTGTTAGTGCAGAGTCAGGTCTACCCAGCATTGACCCCGAGGTGAAGGACACTGTGGAGAGAGAAAAATCAAATAATGGGTTAAAATCACACAGAAACACTTGAGTCCTCCAGTGCTTGCTCCCGTCTCATTAGCGTTTAGCAGTGCGTGCGTAAGGTGACGCCTTATCTGACAGGCTGATAGGCCCGGACAGATACTGTACACTGGGAGTCTCAGGTGATTGACTTGTGAGCATGAGCTGCAGCTCTGCCGGTGTGTGCCCTCCTGCCTGATGCGGTAATTACGCAGGGAGTCAGCTGAGAAGTTTTGCTCAACCATCCATCAAAAGGAAACCACCGCTGCTCCTTCATGTGAACTAGAGCGCACAGACAACGAGGCCTCTGCTCTTTTTAGATCCCTCCTCGGGCCTTTTCATAATAATATTTAGTCTTTTTCTTTTCATCTTAACTCATGGACACTTTAATTTTTAAACAGAAGGTGACAGATTTAATTATGTTTTCATTTTCTTCTTCTTCTTTTCTTTTCTTTGGAAGGTCTTAAAAGTATTGCTCTGGCTGTGGCGGACCTACCCGGCGTGGTGGGCTGTGGGATGGCCTGGTACACGCTGGTGCTAAAGCTGCTGCTAATGGGAATGTGACTGGAGGAGTTATTGGCCTGTCGGCGCTGGTTCCGCAGCTTCTCCTCTCGCCTCCACTTCGCTCTTCTGTTTGAGAACCATACCTGCGATGCAAAAGCAAGCTTCTGATCAGCTTGAGGACAGGAATCCTTCAGAAGTAAATAAATTAAAGATAAAAACTTGAAAATAGTTGCTGTTGAAAATTAAAATCAGCACTCACTTGTATTCTTGCTTCTGGCAGGTCGATTTTCGCTGCTAGTCTCTCTCGCGCGAAAACATCTGGATAGTGAGTTCTTTCAAATTCTGCAACAACAACAAAAAAAATCACAAAGTTGTCAGATGATTACTTATTGAGTAGTTCAGTTTTGCAGGCTCTTCAGATTAAAAGTCTTTCATTTATAATCATCAAAGATTCATCTAAATCCAAATGTGCGTCGTGCGTAATTCTTGGAGAATAACATTATAAAGAGAATAACAATTTGCAAAATAAATAAAAAAAATATGGTGCACATGAATAGAGTGCATGACAGCAATTGCTGCACCTTTTTCCAGTGCTTCAATTTGCTCCTGCGTGAATGAAGTGCGATTTCTCTGTAGTTTCCTCTTGAGCTGCAGACGCATCTGTGTCTCCTCTGAGTCCTCCCCGTTCGAGCTGATGGAGTTTGTGTTTTCTCCTGCACCGTCTTGTTGTTGGCAACCATCTGCAAACGTACAACAAAAAAAAAGAAAAAAAGGTTATAATGGAAATATACATTCAATTAAGCTAATTGAATAATGAATTCTCTGGCCCCGTGTTGTATCAGTCTGCAGCTAATTGTACGGAGCGCGCTGCAGCATCATTAATTAAAGGCCCAGTCATGCTTGATTGGACTCAAAATCAGAGGAATGATTACGATTCCTTCTTAATGTCGCCAGATTACAGCCTGTGTGAAAAGACACGCTCTCTGCGGTTAAACTGTTTATAAAATATTGTGGGAAAAACGTGCTGGCGAGGGGAAGACTCCGCGGACTTCTCTCTCCAAAACAATGGCGTGTGTTCTCAAAAGGTTAAGAGAAATGTGACAAGATGTGGCGAGCTTTCTTTTCAGGCCCTATGAAATGTATTAAAACCCCAAACTCACTAGCCCCCTTTTTTTTAGGGGCAGAGCAATGCCTCAATGGTCGTTCCCATATGGGCGTTGGTATAGCCATTGAGGTGACCACCAACTTTTGAATAGGAGAAGACGCTTTTCAGAAAGATACAATGCCTTCAGGAGTAAGGGAAACCATTAAACTATGGCCACAGCCCGGGACGAGTAGTGAGCCTTCGGTGGGTGTAATATATGGGAGGGGGAGCCATTGGAGGGGATGACAAAAGGATCCTCTCTCTCTGGAGGCGCGCAGGCTATAGCGCTTTGGCATTGTGCGCACGAGGATCCCAGTCAACAGAGCTTTGAGTCCAGTGTGTTAACCCTTATCCACTACCATCATTAATCACGTCCCCCGGCCAGCTCCACGCCAGTCAGGATTTCTGTCTTCAATTGGAAACAAATGAGTGAGGAGAGAGCATGCAACCCCCTGAACAACCCAAATCAGGCCAATCTATTCACTGGCCCTTCAGTTTGCAGGGCGAGGCTTATCGACTAATGTCTGTCTTGTTGTTGGACATCATTATCACACCGAGGAGTTAATGCGAAATTAAGCAGGGCTGCGCTGATAGAGGCCTGCTTTATGGAATATCTCCCTTATCCTCTTCTCTAGTCATGAGGAGGAATTCCTGCGCTTTACACAGATTAGGTTTATGTTTTCAAAGTGTTTTATTTGTTTGAATGGGTGGTGCCTTTGTGGGAATATAACAGGTGCATAAGGCCATGTACTGAACTTTTTACCTTCTAAGAAAATATATCCAAAATTTAAAAGGGACTGTGCAAAATTCATTCTGCAAACATGTAGTTTACTTTGCGAGGAAAAAGAGAAGTTACAAGTATATTGAGCTGTTTTGGATGAGTTTTTACGCGCCTTTTATTGCGCATGAAAACATATTAAGTGTATCTAAATGTAAAAGTTTTTGGTTCACTGGAGGCAACCTGATGCGCGACGTTCCTCGACAATTTCCCTGAAAAAAAAAAAAAACAGACAAAAGTATTCTTCTATAGGCCAATAGTTTGTATCCACGCTATTTGTTTCTTCACTCCGGATAATCCATAAAAAGGAGTGAATGTGCAGCTATTATCCGTCTGCCAGACCCACTGACGCTGGGATGGGATTTGTTTTCTTTATAAAAGCGCTGGGAAATAAACTCATTCTTTAGTATCACGATGTCTCAGCCAGTGAGGCGGAAAAGCAGCAAAAAAAAGAGAGAAAAAGAGAGAGAGAGATACCGAACCAATTGCGGCACCTTTCAGCTGCTGAGGCCGGATCAAAACACTCTTGAGAAACCGCTTAGAAGTGAAAGAGAAAGTGAGAGACTAAATCCTATAGACGGGATTTGGAGCCATATAGCCAGCGAGTGAGAATGAGAATGAGATGAAAGACGAAAATCGGTGCGGAGTTTTTATTTCGGTGCTCTTTGGAATAGAGTTGTCTTCTTTTGGGGGGCCTGTCACTCCACGCAGCCTCTCTGTGAGCGCGCTGAGCTGTCGGCTGGAAAACACGTTTATATTCCCCTGAGAAATTTTCACCACTGTGATTTTATTTTTCACCATTTTAATCTATTTTGGCACCGTAATTAAAATGGTAATTAATAGGTTGTAACTATTGTAAATAATGATAATTAATTATAAGGTAATTAACATTAATTAATCCTATGCGAAATAACAGAAATGAAAGAAAAAGTAGATTTTATTTAAGGAAAGCCAATCGCTAAAATTGAACTTCGTGGTTATAATAATAATAGTAGTAGTAATAATAATATTAATAATAATAAAAATAATGATAATAATAATTCGCACTTAATGTGATCGTTTCCGCTTAACTGCGCGTTAACAACAGCCCCACGTGTCCACATCAAACAAATGCAAATTATTCGCTATGACTGAATTCCGGCACGCGCGTTTCCTCTTTCCTGACGCGTAAAAATAAGACGCAGCTCTACATCGTAAAAGACTGAATTGATTTATTCAAGAAGTAAAACAAATTCGCGTCCTCCTCCTCTCTAAGAGGAGTTGTGAGTTTGGCCTGCAGCAGGCCGACAGGAAACCCTGTGAGGTTTAATATTTCCACAGCAGCCCGACCATCTCCACACTCCTGCATGTTGCCATAATGAGAGACAAAGCCCTCTCTAATGAGCAATTACACGTAGTGCGGAGCGTTCCCATAACCAATCATTGCGTGTGAAGGAAAACATTCCTTTGTACTAAATATCCCCGCACACACACACATGCGTACACACACACAAGCACACACACACACACACAGCTCGGCCTCCCCATCAGGAGGGGAGGAAAACTCCGGCTGTTGGATGGACACCTCTGCTGAAAGGACAAGCCGCTGTCACGCACATCCATGTCTGGGACAGTGGAGGCATTCAGACTGCATGCACGGCCTGTGGCTTCCCCTAATCGACGAGTCTTAATTGGGGGTCTTGTTCAGGGCATCAAAGCATGCCAATACAATACCTTCCTGCAAACAGAGCCGTGGACCGGAACCACTGGAAGAGTGAGCTGTAAAACTATTCAGATTCAAACATGGCAGTTTGCGCTGACCTCTGTGGAGTTCAAACCCTGACTGCTAAAGGGGAAATATGTATTTTTTTTCTTGCACCTTAAATCAAACATATGGGGCCTTCTCTGGTCGAACCGAGCATGCGTCAAGGTGTCTTTAACGCCACTGTGTGATAATGAGGCTCACCTTGGTTGGGCTGCCCTGGCACTGATGTTCCAGGGTACCAGCCGGGCCGGGTCCCCCAAGTTCCTGTCTGACCGTTGAGCATTCTCAGCTTGTCATACATGCCATCTGCGCCCATCTGTTGCTTTTCACTAGCCAGGTTGCGGAGGACTCTGTTTATCGATGACACCTGAATGACAAATTACATATGATCAGAGCGACGACTGGGATTAGGAGGATCAGTTTAAAACTCCTTCTAAACAAGAGCCAAATGTGCGCACGGGGGGATATTCCTGAAAAGCGCGTAAATGGCCAGCGTCTGTATGTTTGGGTGCATACGCTGCAATGCGCGCGCCACGCTCTCAGACGCACGGTGTTTAATAAAAAGTGAACGGATGGCTGCCCTTCTCCTCTTCCTCCACTGCATGAGAAAAAAGTCATTTCATGTGGCAAATTAAATCATGCACATAAGTTACAGTCAGTGCACTTACGCTGGGGATGTTGTCGTTGGTGCAGATCCCCTCCGACAGAAGTCTGTCACGGATCTCCCACGCGAAGATAGAAGGACACTCTCGCTTGTACTGTGCGATTTTTGCGACCACCTCCGGAGTGGCGACTCTGGGCTTGCTGCCGCCTATCGCTCTCGGTCTTATGGAGCCAGTTTCATAGTATCTGCCCAGGATCTTGCTCACGCAGCCGTTGGATACCTGGACAGGGAACAAAAGACACAATTCACATACATTATTTACGACTTTTTAGGGAATTTCTAAGATGGCGTCAAATAATTATCACCTTTTCACTGTCCAGCACTTGGACTTCATCATGGGTCTACAAACACAAAAAATATGCCTTAAATAGTACATTAGGCATTTCTAACAAAGAGGTTTATTCTCTGTAAAAGCAGGCACATTTCTTGTACTGTCTGCCTTATTTATGTGCAAATTAAAAATAGTTTTACTAACTTTAAAAAAATGTTGTTTTAACGTGGAATTCCTGTCCTTAACAGATCCATATTTTAGCTTTAAAAATCAGCTTGTACCCATAGAAAACAAAGTCTGCGTGAACCTGTTTTCTGAGTGAAGTGAGGTATTGAAATATTCACCTGCAGTATCCTGGAGATGTCGCAGGGTCGAGCACCACTGTGAGCAAGTTCAACTATTTTCTGCCTGGTGGAATCCGGCAGCGGTCTACCATTAACAAACACACCACCAAGCTGGTTTACGCCACTGTGACCTACATGGAGACAAAAGCACCGCAGTCATCACACCGCACTATCACTCACTGTCGAATAGAAGAAGAAAAAAAGGAAAAAAGAAAAACAACAACATGGCTGATAGAAAGCAAATGGTTTTTATTGAAAGTATAGGAGGATGGTAGAAGCGTTCAGGAAAAACCGAGTTCAAGATGGAACATGAAGACAGGAGGACACAAGGTTGATTTCAGTTTGCTTCAATATTAGATTAGCTCTTTTACTGGGTTGGAAAAGGTGCTTGAAATTTAACATAAATGATAAAACAATCGTTTAAAGAAGCTGTCACACCGCTCGGTGCATTCCCTTTAATGGCAAAGACTGCGCACTTGTTCAGTAACACATGCACAACATGGATTAACGATCATAAACTAAAATAATATAAACCGAAATCTCTAATTTGTGTGATTTCCAATTTAAAAAGACAACATAAGTCGCACAGCCAAGCTTTTCTTAAACAGGCAAACTCTGCTATTAAAACATCCGCACCGTTATCCATCCTATCATAACATCTGCGCATCACCAAGAGCACAATCTCACTCCAAAATATCCGTAAAATAATATTCATCGACAATAACAACCACATAAAACACCACAGCTGAAATCATATGATAAATAAGCGATCATTTAGAAACATTGCTTTCTAGAAAAGAGGCGTTAAATCGACTTTTCCTTCCCTTCAAAACACAATAATTACGCACCAATAAAGCAGCCACCACACAGGATACAAGCTCCAAAAAGCCGTTTTTATATTTAATTGTTACCCCAAAAAGGTAAATTATTCCTTAATTCTTTTACTGCATTCCTCTAAAGCAAAGAATAAGCCCGCAAACCTGAAGCCAAATGGGAGAGCTGACTCCCCGGAGTGCCTGAGCTGCTCTCTGTTTCTCCGCTGCCTTCCCCTGCGCTGCCGCCCGGTACATTGACTCCGGGAGCAGAGGCTCCTTAGCAATAAATAAGCTCCAAATATAGAAGAGGGGGAAAATATGATGAGCCTGCCTGACATTTGTCTTTAAAATAAAGCTAGCTGCACGTCAAGTTTGAGCTTAATTTCTGGAAATAGGCGGAAGTCGCCTCGGATCATGCATGGGAGGCTAATTGAAAAGATCAGTTGGAGCACTTGTGGCAGGCATGTCACTTTATGACACCGCTCTGCTTTTGAAAATCGCATCGTCACGACAAATAGTAGCATGATAAAACGACCCTTTCTGTCTGCATTTGGATATCACTCAGACAAAATTGGACGCTACTCGTTTACCCTCCGAGGGAGACTTCGTTTTAAGGTGGCCAGGGGCTACGCGCGGTCACACAAACGAGGGCGCGCCTGGATTCTTAACATATTAAAAGTGACATGCAGTTTTTTTCTCCCCCCCTTGTTTGTATTTGACAACAAATGCTCACAGCCACTGCAGTCCTGTTGTGTGCAATCGGTGGGCGTCTTAACTCTGAAATATGTCACAGTGCTGTGATTTAAACTGCACACTTTAGTTAATATTTTTATAGATTAGCCTAAAAAAGGCCTGATTGAGAATTAACCTGTTTAACCGGGTAACGTACCCTTTTGGCCGCTATGTGTTATAATCTTTCAGCGTGGATCTGATTGATAGTAAATCCATTATCATCCCTCCTGCTCTTTGGTAATTCCAGGATTAAGTGGAATTAATAGACTTCTTACGCTGAAATTGGCCTATGCGCATTAAGCAGCCCCTGCTTTCTCTGTGGGCTCTCCACGGCCGCTCAGTGTAACCACCTCTGATTTATAACTATCATATAAATCCCCCGGATCGATAAAAGCGTCAGATAAGGACATCACATAAAAATCAAACTCCCCCTAAAAGGTTAAGTCTTAATCATGGCGACAATTCCCTCAAGTGCCCGGAGTCGATCTCGCCCGCTGGCGCTGATTATGCGCCTTGTATTCTATTGCGAGTGGACTAATAGGAAAACATATGGTGTCAATTTGGACGCTCCCCACCATATACACCCAGGAGTTATTAGCACAAAAGCCACCGAGGCCGCCGCGACCTTTAGACAACCCAAAGGGCCGGGCCCAATGATATCTGCTCGGCAATTCGCAGCAGACATCACACGCCAAAACCAGGGGAGCATCCCATTATCATCAATCCGCAGCAAAGCAGGAGCGCTGGGTGTTGTACACAGCTTTGATAAAAAGGCCCCATCATCCCCATAATGGACAACTGGCAAGCGCTGCGGCCTTCAAAATAAAACTCTATTGCCACCAGCCTCTACAAGAATGTTCTCCTCTCATAAATCAGACCTCTGCACACATCAAATAATCCAACTGTCAGCTGTTGGATTCAAACATATTTGGACTCAAAAATGCGCACAGATTACAGCACAGACACGTCATCGAGGTATATGGAGAATAATATAATAAAATTATTCCACACACCTTCATCACAGATGTCATACACCTCTTGTCCAGCAGCAAGAGAAAGAATGTTTCATGTTTAACCTTTTTTGTTCAACACACACACACATACATACATACACACACCAGGTATTTAAGACAGAAATCAACTCATGGGCCACTTTAATAAGCAGCTTCATGTAGCATGTTTTTTTATGATTGGCACCCACGACAATATGGTTGTTAATATTTATCTTCCGCAAAGGGGGAAACTAGCGAGGCCTGCGGTTATAATCTGAGCATTTTCTCTCTGGTTCCTGCTGTCTGTCCGTGAAGAATATGGACTCATCTACATAAGACATTATTGCTATTCCTCATGTTTCATGCAGGGCTCTTCTCCACGCAGCTAATCTTGTATGCAGCCTGGCAGCCAGCTCTAACGCTAATGCAGACGGCTGTGCAATTATTTAATACCAACTCAAGCAGAAACAAAAAATCTCCCTCTCAACCCAGCCCCCCTTTATTCTGCCTCCCCCCTCTCTCTCTCTCTCTCTCTCCCCACTCTCTCTCTCTCTCTCTGGAGCAGGACGACGTGTGATTAACTTGTTCAATAATAACTTTGCCTACCTATCATAGTAAAAAAATAAAAAAAAAGAGTGAATTAACAGGCCTTCAAATAACTGAGAATATTCCTGCACTGCAACCTCAAAGTCATGCAAATTTATGCCTGAATATATTTCCTTTAAAGTGTTCTGGGAGAGAGAAAAAAAGTTATTGCGCTTTAATAACAACCGGTGCATAATGTCAGTGGGTGTCTCTGCCATGCAACCACATCAAAACTTGCGGTTGTAATTAAAAAAGTTTTAAAGATAAAATAAAAACAACTTACTGTTCTGCATCATTGAGGCTACTCCAGACTCCCACGTGGCTTGGTTGTGGTATTCTAAGCGTCACAGGGGAAAAAACACAAGTGGTCAGCATCAAACCATCCATACACCTGCTGTATAACACATCTTTTCACTGTCTGCTTATTTGCAATTTTTGTTTTTTTTACAATAAATAATCTCATCTCATCGTTCGATTGGAATAATGCGGGTCTTTTTTTAAAGTGCTTAAACATTACTGATGCACAATGAATTTTTACATCCTCAGTGTATAATATATATTTTAATTAAACTTGCCTGGAAACAGAGTTGACTGTCCACTCTATAACAATTTAGTCAATCATCTGCCGTTTTCACTACTTAATGTCTCCCTATAGGACAAAGCAAAACAACACATTAGCACAGCCACCACAGCTATACTCATGTACTATACTGTATCTTTTGTCTTTTTTACATAGTGCCCTACTTTTTACTGTTAACCTCAACGCTGCTGCCAGGCTAATAACTCCAAACAGACGCGGAAGAAGATTATTTGTACATCTCTGTTAGGCACTTGTCAACAAACATTTAAACTAGCAGCCTAGCCAGTGCTGTGCGCCTTATTATTATTTTTTTTACATTAAACAATCGGCCCTCAGCATCACAGTAAGACGCCTTTATGTAAAACTTGATATCCCTCCGCCGGTGGAGTCTATAGTGTGGAAATTGTACAGTGACACACGTTGTCTAGCTCGCCTCAGTGCTCTGCTAAAGTCCAGACCAGGAGGGGGTACAAAGCTGGTGTACAAAGCCTGCTGGACTCCCAACAATGCTAACCCCCTCCCTCCTTTTTTTTCTGCCTCCGTGTACCTCAAACCCGGGGCGAAAACTCGGCCTCCACGACTAGAAACACACAGCTTCCCTACTAAACACACCAACAAGTTCAGATTAATACAAAGGGCCGGAGGCATGCATCCACCCCCTCCGGGACCATTCACACACACACACACACACACACACACACACACACACACACACACACACACTCACACACACACACACACACACACACTCTCTCTCTCTCTCTCTCTCTCTCTCTCTCACCCACATACACACACACACACACATGCACACATATACACGACCGTGACCCTGGTGCCGCTGGTGTGTGAATGTGGGTTTTGTTTTGGCCTGCTTTTAGAGAGAAATTTTTGTGAAAAAGAGGTAATTTCTTGTTCTAAATATTTGGTGGTTATTTTGTGCTGCTGGTGCGGGTTGTAAAGCGAGTTGAGAGACACAACAGCGCAGTAGGGCGCTCAATTGGAAAAGACAAATGCATTAAAGAAGCTATTGACTGGGGAGGACAGATAAAAAGGGGGCCAGGCAGGGAGAAGTCTGAAGTTTCCTCCTTTCCTCCCTCCATGCTAACTTGTGCTGTGTGCCGAGCAAAATGGCCTAATAACGCCGGGTAACAGGCTGCGTTTAGAGCAGGGCTAGTTGGTGATGTGCAGTAATATAGAGGGCGGCCATTACTGCTTTAGACCGCAGCTCCCTTCATGTTTAACAAATAGGCTGAATTAATCAACCGCAGATTCCTTCACACGGCCAACAGAGTCAGAGCTAGCCTGGTTAGCACGACTGAAAATGACCAAAACAAGGGTCATGTCTTGATATAGCTAAACTGTTATCTCAGGCCACGTTTTCACGAATAATTGTGCAGAAATATTAACTATAAAAGTGACTCATTATGGCTGAAAAACGCGGTTCAGCGGTCAGTAGCTTTTAGCCTGTGGTTAATCATTTATTTAGGGTCGAAAGCTCAAACGTTGTTGTCGCCGAGGTTAACTACAAACTAATCTGCATTTCTTTTCCTCCCGTAATCCGGAACAACAATGTCGTAATTCAACATGCCGACTCTGACCACTCTCAACATTTAAATGCAGAAGTGGTTTATGTAGGCCTGGACTACAATGGCCCCGGTGCAGGTTGCAGCCTATTAGGAGGTATCTATTTATTTATAGGCCTGTATAAATACGCATGAAGGATACTTGAAAATGTGTAACACCAGTAAATTAGTTATTAGCATGTTGCTAACTGGTTTAATTAAACAGGAGAAATTGCTTTTTCAGGGATAACTTTTAAAAGATAGGCTTTTAGTATTTTTGCAGTTATTTTTTATTTACTATATTTTAAAACGGATTTATTTTAAATAATTTTATAATTGAAAATACATAACGTTATTGACGTTTTTTTCCCCTTGATTTTAGAAAATAGTTTAAAAACAGCAGCACATTTTAAAAATATGAGGGTTATATTGACACAATATATAAACTATCTTTCATAAGAGTTGGTAACACTGTCAGGATAGTATGTGGTTTATTTTTATTTTTATCTTTATTATATAAAACAGCACAGCCAAACTAGGCTACTCACATGTTTAAAGTGTTGTAACGTCAACTAGAGTAGACAAAATTATTATTAAAAAGAGAGTTAAAGTTGTGTTTTAACTGACGCACAAACACGTTAAAACAGGCCTCCTACCTAACTGCTTTTTCTCTTTCTTTTTCTTTTTTTTTTTTTTTACAAGGCGCTTGGGTGACTCGCCTGCATGAATCAATCTGACACCTTTCCTCAACGGGTCATTGCGCCCCATTCTCCACGATGATCACTGTCCTGGCCCAACGTGACTTTTTACTCTTTACTGTCATAAATAAGCGGTAAGCTACCCGTGCAGGGGCCTAAACACACCAACAAAATGGAGCAGATAACACGGACAGAAGCGCTAAAGGCTGTTCGAGTCCAGTCAGAAGAAAACAGGCTGCACACTCCAAACGGTACAACAACCACAACTTCAACACTGATGAACCTCTGACTAGACCACAACACCGTTTAAAGTTCTAATTACTACAATAAATAACAGGCTTTTAATACATATAATTTGAAAAAATAAACATAAAATAACAACAATATTTGAAAATGATTGTATTATTTCTGCACAGAGAAACTTTTCGTCATGTTCTCACCTTTTTGGGGCATCCTGGTTCGTTGTCAAAGTCCTTTTCAAACTACAGGCTTCAGCCTAGTTCTCCACACCACAGAAAGAGAAAAAAAAGCCGACCAGGATCAGTCTCTCTCTCTCTCTCTCTCGGGGAAGTTTGGAGGAGGGAAAAATTAGTTTCCAGTGGTCTTCGGCGGAGACGGAGGGGATATCCCTGCGAAGTGGACAGAGATTGACAGTGAACTCAGATGTCAGGACGCACGGAGTTTGGCGAGGATGTGCGCTGGCGTGTGAGAGAGCGAATGAGAGAGTCGGAAAGAGAGAGAGTGGGAAAGAGAGAAAAGAGAGCGAGAGAGAGGGGAAGGAGGGGGAGTGGTGGTGGTGGTGGTAGAAGAAGGAGGAGGAGGAGGAGGTGGGGGTAAAAGAGAATGAACACACCTATGCTGATTGGTGATGGAACAAGTGTATTAATGTATGTGTTCGTGGTCTGCTGTGCGCGCCTCGCCTCGCCTCGCCTCCCTCCGCTGCTCTTCACTGGCCCATTAGCGCGACCCGACCTCTGTCATCATCCCCCATATAAACACTTCCCCCTGCACCACAGCCAAAGCGGGAAACGGGGCCGAGCCACAGCGAGAGAGAAAGAGAGAGGAAGAGAAAAGGAGGGAGAGAGAGAAAGAGAGAGAGAGAGAGAGAGAGAGAGAGTCTCGTCTTCCCAACCCACTAATCAGCCCACGCATGCAAATACCCTGCGCTCACTTTCTGAATATTGCCCTATTGCAGAGCAACTGTCTCGGAAATGCCCATTGGACGGGGAGCTCTTTTCTTCCAGGCTGAATTGGGTCCGCGCAGGGAATCTCAGGCATGTTCAGCTCCAACCTGAGGCTAACTAGAGCTGCGAGCGAAGTAGGACGGAAAGGAGCAGTGGAGCAGCGCGCCCGAGGATGGAGGATGGAGCTCAGGATAGAAGAATAGAAATCACTAAGAGCAGCTGTGTGCAGGGTTACATCTTATACAGAGCCATCCAACTCTGTGTTAGAGCCGAACAGGTCTTTGACATGTTGCAAAAGTCACATTATTTTTGTTTGTTTTATAGTTCTTCGTGGATTTTGTTCTGTTTATGTCAAAAAATACAGAGAGGGTATCGTTTCGTCTTTAGTTTAAATAACTCTAACAAGTTTAAATCTCTTTATGAACTGATTTAAATCAGATTTACACTCAGATTAGGGCCGCAGTAATGCAAAATGAATCTTAAAACTGTAATCTGAAGTCTGAAAACTTTTCTTAACCTGAAAAAAATAAAAAACTTCAATTAGATCATCTTTACTTTAAACGTTTTATTAAACATGGATCCTTACATAATAACATTTTTAAAAAATTCCCACCACGTGCATTTGTTGATTCTTTTGGGTATCACCTTCCCCTGAATAGCCTTACCCCTCCTGTCAACAAGAAAGCCATGCGTAAAGAGCGCAGCCTTTAGGCCAAGCTCCACTGCTCTTTATGGACACATTTGCAAGGCGCGGCCGCCGGCGACGTCACTCCTGCGCCCTGACAGCAAATAGCACGCGTAAATAAAGTAAAGCAAATGACTGTGTAGCCATGGCCACACGCTTCCCAAAACAGCGCTTGGTTTGAATGACTGGCTATTAACGCACACCTCAACGCACCCAAAAGCAACCCCTCTGCGCCCGTGTTTGAGTGTCCACCCGGAGCTCTGGTGCAGCACCAGTCTGAGCACTGAGGAGCCCCGCAGTTTGCTCCAAAAGGAGGAGAAACCGAAGCGGGGAGAGAATGAGGGTTGTATGGATGTGGAAGCAGAAAAGGGGGTGCATGAAAGGGCAAAGAGAGAGAGAGTGTGTGAGAGAGAGAGACAGGGTAGAGAGAGGGGAGAGGGCCAGGCAGAAACAGGGGGAGGGGGAGAGAAATTGCTTCTTTTTTTTTTTTTTTTTTTTTTTTTTGGATGGGAGGCCATGAAATGAAGTCATGGAGGCCTACACTTGACTTTCTTTGACATGTGAAAAAGTAGGAGAAGTCAGAGCTCATCAATAAAACACTTTGGAGGTGAAAGAGGGCTCCCTAACAACCATCGCATTCCTGACTATGGGTTCAATGAGTAGACAAACGACGCTGCCACAGAGGGAGAGAGAGAGAGAGAGAGAGAGAGAGAGAGGGAGAGGGAGGGAGGACGAGGAGGAAAGAGTGAGAGAGAGAGAGAGGGGGGACTGCCCGGCCTGAATGGGGCCCTCAGTGGGCCGGCGAGATAATGAGCTGAGAGGAGCGGCTCAAACTGTCACCGAGGGTCCCGCGGTGAGGAACAACACTTTGGCCAATACTCCTTCATCAAACAAGCCGTAAACTAAACGAGCACATTCATCTGTTTCTCCTTGCTGCATTGTTTCTACTCACTCTGACTGGTGGCTCAGCCTATAGGCCTGCCGGGAATGAACGCAGCAGCTTATATCAGAGAGGAAAGAAAGGAGGGGAGGGGGGTCCCCAAACATTTTCACGTCAAGGACCCCCCTATTAGACATGCACTGGACCGCAAACACACCCACTTGTCCTGTCAACAGCTAGAGTTTGTACCAGAAAATGTAGAAATGTTTCAGACTGAACTTTCATTTTCTCTGTTTCCCAGAGTTGAATAAAAGAAAGACAAGTTGGACGAAGAGGAGAGAGTTTGGAGTTTGTAACCCTTAAAAGTTTTTAAAGCAGTCTGAACTCCTGCAGTGTTTACTAAGACCATGTGCCACAGCTGCAGCCACTGCCTGAAGTCATGATTTTAGCACAAAGTGTGCAACAATATGCTGATAAACATCTACTCTCTACTCCAAAGAAAGCCCAACATGTGACCTCAGCTCCAAACAGCCTCCCATCTCTGTGCGTAAAAGGCGCATTTCTTTGTGGTGCAAATGTTATTGGCCCAAACTGCAGCTGTCAAAAATTCACACCACTAACCAACCTTCAGCTGAAAGACAGATTCCCCGATGAGTGAGTCAAGTAGTTTTCTTTGGAAACAATACCTCCACTAGGTTATTGATTTCTTCGCTTAAGCTGTAAATCCGCTCCAAGAGCTTATTCGGTGTCTCCGCTTTTAGGAGATTTTTTTTTCATAGTTTCCAATACCCCCCAACATGATATATTCCACTCTAGCAGCAAGACTCTGTTTTGAAAACATGTTCCCTTTTTGTATTTTATTTTATTTTATTTCTGTTATGGTCTGGATGACCGTGGAAGCTTTGAAAAAAAACATGAAGATAGGCTGATGTTGGGAAAGCAATTAGCCCAATTCGGATTAGCAGCAACTAATGCCACAGGCCTTGAAAAGAAAGCCTAATCTGGTCGCTATTTTCCCCTCAGGCAACGTGGTATTTGTACCATCTCGAAACTTTTCAATACAAGAAGAAAAAGAGAAAGAAAGAAAGGGAGGAAGAAAGAAAGAAATGAAAACAGAAGGGGAGGGAGCAGCAGTGAAAAACAGTGACATTGTTTTTGGACAGGAGAAAAGGATGTAATGCAGCTCATTCACAGAGCTCTTGTTTGGGATTAGAGTTTACCTTTTACAGGCTGATGCAGCTTTTTTTTTCTTTTTATCAGATTAATCCATCATGTGTCAAAGTACTGCTCACAGGGCTGCTGCCAGTTTGATTTCAGTTTTTTATTCTGATTTATTGGTTTGCCTTTGTGATGACCCCCCCTCTGGAGGTCACGGTTTACTCCCCTCTTAGAAATCAGGACATCTGCTGAGCTCCATTAGAGAATGTTACAGGATTGTAACAAGATTGTTTTCAGTCAATAAAAGATGGCTGGGCTGGAGCTCCTTGATTGGTGCAGATGGAAGAAATTTTGAGTTTCTCCATATATTTCCTGATTTTTATTTTTGATTTTTTCCAGGGACTATGGTAGGAGAAATATTTAATGTCAGATGAATTAACCAGATATTTATTTATAATTAATACACAATAATTTATTGCTTCATAATTCACTCTGCATTACCTGATTTTAGAAAGTTTCTAAACATCATTATAATTTTATTTATTATTATTATTTAAAAACATAAAATACTGATAACAATAATGACATGAAAGTACAATAATCATAATAATAATAATAATAATAATAATAATAATAATAATAATAATAATAATAATAATAATGAATAAGCTTTCAATTATTTTATATAATGTTGATGATGGAAAATAAAAGATTCTTGGCTTATTTCAGTCTCTTCTTTATTTCTCTCCTTAATTTTTTATTTTATTTTTTTCATTACGAGAACAAAAAAATATATATTTCAAAAATTACTATTCTGTTATCGTCAAAATGCTACCACTAATTTCATAGATTATTATTAATCTTTTATTATAATTATTATTATTATTAGTATTATTATTATTATTAGTATTATTTTTATTTCAGGTGTGGTTTATTTTAGAATCTGAAAATAATAAATGGACTCTGCTGTGGGTTAGTCTCTGTGCACACTCGTGGATCTGACCTGTCATTCATCACGCAGCCTCGGTCTGTCACTTTTATTCTCTCTAAAGAGATTCATGGGCACGTCGTCGCTTCATTTGCATAAATTATTTGCACTTTTACAATGTGTGATTTTGTTTTTTTTATCAACAATAATTAAACAATCACATGCTTGTGTGACTTTTGCGCAAGACATTTCCTCAAAGAGCTTTTAAAGTGAGCGCGTCCCGGAAACAGGCTCTAGTTCTGTCAACTTTCTTATCAGAACATTTTAAACGTATAAAGATAGGAGGAAAAATTATGTAGGAAAACAGGATAAGAAGGTTTGCAGCAGGCCACACAAGCTAAAAATCCCCGCTTTAATGGCGTTTAATGGCGTATGTTCACATTGTCCTTCATGATAGTTTGACTTTTTTTTTTTTTAAGATAAATAATAGACAGATGGAGATTTTTTCTTCTAATCTGAACACCATCTCCAGAGCTTTATCGCAGGACTTTAAGGAAGAGTGTCTTGTATTTCGAGTTTAGCCCTCAGAAGGTGTACAGTCCACAGCAGCCCTCTCCTGGCAAAAGGCTGAAGGCTGGGATAAACACCGGGGCTAATGGTGTCACAGCGCTGCTCGGCAAGCGTGACAGAAAGAAACACTGGACCCAAACACACCAGAGCCTGGACCTGAGGCGTCCACAGTCCCCCAGCCACTGACGGGAATCACAATAGATTTTTATCCTGCATGAGGCACTCATACAAGCCTAGGGTATGGGGGGGAGAAAAAGGCCCCAATTTATTTTTATAATCACACTTCTAAAACTGAGTATAAAAATAAGGGTCAGGCCTTTTTTTTATGAAACAAAATCAAAATGAAGACCCCGAGGGCGCACATGTCATTCCCCTGCATGCTAAATTGGAGTTGAAAATCTGACACACTTTCTTGTTTTGCAAGTTGCACCAATCAAAATAAGAAAATGTGCGCATTTTTAGCTTCCCTAAAAAATATAAATGAAGTTATTTCTCTAAAGTGAGGCGTGTAATTCTGGCTTTAATCTGCAGTCTCGAGAGTGTAATATTCCTCTGATAGACAGCGTCACCTCCGCCGCTGATGGATTGAGCAGAGCTGAATAGATCCCTCACACACACCGAGTTTACAGTACAGCTCTGAGCTTTTGATTCCCTCCGCCGTTAAACTCACAGTAATGGACGTTTGAAAAAAAGGGACCGGCGTGCGCTTTATTCCTCGGTGAAGATCGCTAATTACACGCTGTATGTTTGTGTGATAAATGACAACAGGAGCGGAGTGGGCTCGCTGTGTGTGGGTGCACACCTCCTGTAGGAAACACACAGCAACGTGCGAGCACTTAACCACTAATTTTACCTAACTTTGCCAACGCACGAGGCTTGTAATCAATCTGTAGCCAATGCACGCTCAAGTTTCTGTTGACTTTTCCCTGCATGCTCAAAGTTTGAGTTTTGCAAAATGAGTGCGTAATTTTGCATTTTTTCTAAACCAAAAACGGAGAAATTCCTCGGTAATGCAGATTATAGTACTAAAAGCGGGACCTGTTTTAGATTATAATCCATCCAAACTCACCGGATGAGAGGCAGCAGACGTGTGTGTCCGGTATCCTGTGCGCGTAAAGTCGCTTCTTCCCTCCGCGGATCTCTCCTCCGTGTCACAGCGACAGAAACTTATAGGTCCAGATTCAAAATCTATCTACCTTTGGATCCGTCGTGGAGTTGAAATGTCAATGAGAGTGGGAAAAAAAATCTGCGGCTCTTACCAGCAACTTTCCCTTCAGCATCAGCCCTCAAGTTGGCAGTGATTGGCTGGAGCGACGGGTCGACGTCATACCTTGGACAGGACGCGGAGCGGGGAATGGGGAAGTGCACAAGGTAGCGTACATGTGGAGCACACCGGCCTGTTTACTGTCCCACTGAGTGTGCAGCATGTGTGTGCAGGGGATGTCACACAACAAAGCACTCTGTACAAGCATGTTTCAGTAGATTTAAAGGTGTTTCTGTCGTATTTAAGCTTCAGATTAGATATTTTTTCACATTTTCGTTCGGTTTTTATTATAAAACCAGCTCATTTCCTCTCCTACAAGGGTATCCTCACTGTCCTGGGATGCTTCTTTTTCTAACTCTAACTTGGAATTTGTGTTTTCAGTGATATGATGAATAAAAGTCCAACATCTGGTGAGGTTTTTCAAGTTTATGCAGGAGAAAATATCATGCAGAATATGCACAAACATGCCATATTGAGTTAGAAGTTATAGTCTTGTAGTTATCAATTTGTTATCAAGTTTTGCCACATTTGAAAGCTGATATTGATCATAAACTCATTTTGAATTTATAGACCCGAGTGCCAATGTGTAGCAGCTTCTTACAACAGGTATTGGGGACTGAGATAACCAAGCATGTCTCGAGAGTTGTTTGTTCTTCTTGCATGCTCAATGTGCAACAGGTGTGCACAGGCAGGTCCCACTCAGCTGACCTGCACAGTGTGTCATGGTGTCTTTGGACTCAAGTATAAACTCCGGTGTCAAGTCACATGTTGGTCCAGTTCTGTGTCAGGGATTTAAACTGTGATCATAAACGTAAATGATGTTACAGTTGCTCCAGCCTGCACTAAAAAACGCTTTTATTTCCACTGCCCTATAAAGTTGTCATCCGCCGCTCGTAATGGGGCTTCAGCGTTCCTTTTACTCGGGCTAAAAGCCTCCGAGCCTCTTTCACAACCTCTGATGTTTGTGTCAATTTGAACAAGACCTGTGAGTAAATGGGCAACCACGCCGCTGCCTGTCTCTCAGGAAGAGACCGGGGCGGAGGGCGCAGGTACGGGCCGGTCAGGACTGGCTGTGTTTGGGGCCATTATTTGGAGGGAACAGCCATTAAGAGGCCTCGATACTGTGCAACGCAGCAGGGTGCTCGACATCCGCGCTGGAAACCGCACGGCTTGGTCCCTGCTTATCAGGCTGTCAATAAAAGGAGATGGGATGCAGCGGTCGGGCCAGGTGCTCCCTTTCCCTTCCCACACAGCCGCGCTCTCCAGAAGCAGATCAGGCGTGAACGCAAATCTGTCCAGCCGGTTTTCCCTCTGCCGTCACCACGCTGCTGCACAACGCCACCCCCCTCCCCTTCTCCCCCTGTCACCCACACACACTCACACTAAACCACACTGACAGGATTTTTTTTATGCATATATGGAAACGATTTTGCAACACAAATCCCGGTGACAGTAAACATTTACCCATATTTGCATGTCATCCAATTCCCAGCTCTCATGCATATTAATCGATCACATTTCAATAAAAGTTAAATATTTGACATTTCCTCTGTTACATATGCACGTGAGCAGGCCTTAGTTGCGTGGTCAACATGTGGAAAAGTTCTGGGAAGTGTCTCCAACCTGTGGGAGCTCTGCGCGCGCTTTCCATGGGAAATGCCAATCTCCTTTCTCGCTCTGAGTGATCAAATTTGAAACAAATTGTGTAATGATCGACCTCCCCTCTCTAGCCATGCAGAACATTATGCTGCCATAGCCTACGCCTCATGAGCTTATTGTTTACTGCCGCTGTAGCAGACAGAGAAAAATGTCCAGGGGACCGGCCGAGCACGTTAGCAGACAGCAGTGGGTGCACGCGGAGCTGGTGCTGCGTTCAAAAGGAGAATATCATCCATCTAAATTAGGATTAACTGCAATGGAGAGCAGGAGGTAAGTTTTTATCTGAACTTGAACTTTAAACTGTCTGTAAAATGGGCCCTCTGATGGGTTGACACTTTGACAGGTGCGTAAAGTTATATGAACTTTTAAGGCACATTTAGCACAAGTATCTTGATTTACCTGCAGTTAACTGTAAACAAAGGCCAGAGGTGGCCCAAACGCAGCCTCACTTTTCTTTCAGGTAGTGTGTTAAAGCTGTCAGGCCTGACCCTGCTGTCACACACACACAGCAGGCATATGTGCAGGGATGTTTAGATTGGTCATTTCATATCTTTCATTTAAGATATACAGATAATATAGCCTAATTACCCCTGCACACTGCACACACACACATGCACCGGCACAGACACACACACACTCCTCTCCCTCTCTTCCCCCCTGTGTGAAATGTTTTAATAAGCCCTACACGCTCTGTGTGCAGAGTTTGATTTGTTTTCTCTCCATGCTCCCCGGCCCTGGATCGAGACATTAGCCGAATTCCCCCGGGGTGATTGGATGCAATTTGTCCGGAGTAGACAGGCACGTCCTGGATGTTAGGAATTCACTCTGGCTCAACGTGACAAGTCTGACTTCGATCTACAATTGCATCTGAAAGTGCAGCGAGCGGAAAGATCCCATGCCATTAAGGGTTTTTCTCCCCTTCCCCTTTTTTTTCTTACAAAATAACAAGATCCTCCAATTGGTGCACAAATATTCATAATAATTCCATTTGCGACACCTCTAATCTGCCAACGAGGCCTGTGTGCTGCGCCAAATGCGGACTGTGTCTGCGGTGATGCACATGGTCAGTCCGCCGAGTCAGACATGGGAGAGAAAGTCCAAACGAGGGGATATTATGCCCCAAATCTATGACCCTTTAAATTAGATTAAAGATTGACAGTGGACTTGGTTTAAAAAAGAAAAAAAAACTTAGACTGACACCTGCCACGCAGACTTCCCTGTGATTGATTGTGATGCTTCGTGCTGGCAACAATAATGCTGCTGTTTTGCACAGGGCTGAGTAGGCGCATTTATCACTCGCTTGCCAGGAGTGGCTGAAGTCAGTGTCCGTGTCGCGCTGTGAGCTGACAGGGGAAAATGGGAGCTAACGAGGTTGTCAGATGTCCTGACAAGACAAATGAGAGCTCGTCACTCCCTGCGCTTTAATAACGTTTAATGGAAACGTATTGCACCGTTCAAAATAAAGTGTTACACATACCGGGGTCTGGCGGCGACGCACTTAATTACGCACGGCGAGGTAAATTACGCATCAACTAAAGGGTGTTGGCCCGGATTCAGCACCACCAAAGAGCACTGTATCTGCGTAACACCTATGATATTTTTGTTAAAGACCGACAGGACCTTGAGTTTTTATGGTGGAACTTAAAAGGAGCTAATTAATCAGACCCTTTTTGTAAGTGACTTGGAAGTGTGTGGTGATTGTTTCCAAAATTATTTTCAGAGCATTTCAACAACAAATCATTATTTTTATTATTTTTTTGCTGATGAAATGACCGTGGAAGTAGAATTTTTATTTCTAAAAAGTGCTTTGGTGTTAAACAACTTAATTAGCTATTAAACCAAAAGATTTGACATATTTTAAAGTTTATAAATGTTTAATTTTCTCAAGTCTTTTTTTTTTCACCTTAAAGCCTTAACCCACAAAACACACAACCTAAAAGATTTACACTTTAGATTAAACATCATTTCATGGGTAATATGCTAGATGAACTGACATAAAAATCTTCTTGCTCCAACATGCTTGCAGAGTATTTGCCTCTCTATCAGGAGGGAATCTTATTTTTCGTGCGTAAACGTGCGGATGAGGCGTCCCTCCCTCCACGTGTCACAGCCTTTGCAGCGGTCCGCACTAACCGGGGTTTCCCCATCATCACTCGTGTTAAGGACTGTGATGTGACTGATTTTTTTTTGTGAATAACGTTGAGCGCTGGGGTTGTGCACTCTTCTGTGTAATTCATGGTGCGCGATATCGCCAACACACGGTATGGTAGTTATGGTCATGATACATAATCCCCAGGGCAGGGCTGATGTTGGGCTTCAACTCACCATAACCGAGCTGTGGATTGTATCACAGACTGTTGACCTCTTTGTTTTTTTAATTGTATAATGTTTATTTTCTCATTTATCTGGCATTTTTTAATTGCGCACCTCTTTGTTTTCCTCACTATAAACACTCAGGATGATCTGCTCTTCCCTCCTGGTTCCTGTGTTGACTCATAATGAGGATTTCTGTGTAATCAGCTGACTCACAGTGACCGGAACCAACGTGTTTTTTTTCAAGAGGGGGAAAATACAACAGGGGAAAACATGTTTGAAAAAGCTGGGGCAACTTATGGGCAAATTAACACTATATGAAAATTAAAAAAAAAATAAAAAAAATGACATGATTTGATCATCAAACCGAAAAAAGCCTCAAGATTGAAACAAGACATAACTCTACAACCAAACTCAAACGCTCTGCAGCAGCCTTCAAAACGCGTGGTGACTGACAGGTGATGGCATGGAATTTTTAAATAAATTATCTCGCCCTGCTCCTTTTTTTTCACCTGAACAAGAACTAAAGAAACATATTCCAGTAATGTCATCACCTGGCCTGTGGCAGTGTGTGTCTGCGGGGTCAGAGAGGCCGAGCACCTGCTGCAGAGGAGAGGAGATGAGAGAAGGAGAGAGAGGGAGGAGAGGTAATTATTAAGCCAATGCACACAGAGTAAAATAGATAGATAGATAGATAGATAGATAGATAGATAGATAGATAGATAGATAGATAGATAGATAGATAGATAGATAGATAGATAGATAGAAAACAAGTCTGTGGCTCAGAGCAGTAGAGCAGAGAGAAGATAAAACAGTAAAAGTGACAGACTCCTCGCAGATCTGTGTGATGTGTATAAATGGATGCAGCGGCGCAGCGCTGAACATGAACTCACACAGATAACTGGGCGATGTAAAACAACACACACTAAATCAGGCAATAACGACGACAAACCGTCTGGAAAATGGACGCGCACAGAGCAGCAAGAAATCACTTCTCGTGCCTTCTTTCCCCCCTTTCTCTGTATCCGGATGACAAATCCTTTCCTTGAGTAAATATTTT